CCTCAACATCGAGACACTATCCGATGCTTCACGCCTAAAATCAACTCAAGTGAGTAGCTGCAGCACGCCACTTGAAGAGGAAACTCTGCAAGATGAAGTCAATACTGAGTCAATATCGAATGCGCTGCGTTGGGAGTCAACTCACGTGAGTAGATGCAAGACGCCATTTGAAGAAGAGGCAATTCAAAATCTTCCTAATATTGAGTCGCTATCCGATGCTCTACGTCCGGAATCAACTAACGTGAGTAGATGCAACACGCCATTTAAAGAGATTGTAATTCAAGATAATCTTAATACTGAGTCACTATCCGATGCTCTACATCTAGAATCAACTCACGTGAGTAGATGCAACACGCCATTTCAAGAGGAGGCAATTCAAAAAAATCTCAATACTGAGTCACTATCCGATGCTCTACATCTAGAATCAACTCAAGTGAGTAGATGCAACACGCCATTGGCAGAGGAGGCAATTCAAGATAATCTCAATACTGAGTCACTATCCGATGCTCTACATTTGGAATCAACTCACGTGAGTAGATGCAACACGTTATTTGAAGAGGAGGCAATTCAAGAAAATCTCGATACTGAGTCACTATCCGATGCTCTACATCTAGAATCAACTCAAGTGAGTAGATGCAACACGCCATTGGCAGAGGAGGCAATTCAAGATAATCTTAATTCTGAGTCACTATCCGATGCTCTACGTTTGGAATCAACTCACGTGAGTAGATGCAACACGCCATTTGAAGAGGTGGCAATTAAAGATAATCTCAATACTGAGTCACTATCTGATGCTCTACGTTTGGAATCAACACACGTGGGTAGGTGCAACACGCCATTTGAAGAGGAGGCAATTCAAGATAATCCTAATACTGAGTCACTATCCGATGCTTTACGCCTGGAATCAACTCAAGTGAGTAGATGCAACACGCCATTTGAAAAGGAGGCAATTCAATATAATCTTAATTCTGAGTCACTATCCGATGTTCTGCGTCTGAAATCAACTCACGTGAGTAGATACAACACGCCATTTGAAGAGGAGGCAATTCAAGATATTCTCAATACTGAGTCATTATCCGATGCTTTACGTCTGGAATCATCTCACGAGAGTATATGCAACACGCCATTCAAAGAGGAGGCAATTCAAGATAATCTTAATACTGAGTCACTATCCGATGTTCTACGTCTGGAATCAACTCACGTGAGTAGATGCAACACGCCAATTGAGAAGGAATTCAATAAACTAATTCTAGTCTACCGATGCTTACGTCCGAATCAACTCACGAGAGTATATGCAACACGCCATTTGAAGTGAGGCAATCAAAATCTTAATATTGAGTCGCTATCCGATGTCTACGTCTGGAATCAACTCACGTGAGTAGATGCAACACGCATTTGAGATTGCAATTCAAGGTAATCTTAATACTGAGTCACTATCTGATGCTCTACGTTTGGAATCAACTCACGTGGTAGATGCAAAACGCCATTTGAAGAGAGGCAATTCAAGAAAATCTCAATACTGAGTCACCATCTGATGCGCTACGTAGAATCAACTCAAGTGAGTAGATGCAACACGCATTGGCAGAGGAGGCAATTCAAGATAATCTCAATACTGAGTCACTAACCATGCTCTACGTTTGGAATCAACTCACGTGGGTAGATGCAACACTGCCATTGAAGAAGAGGCAATTCAAGATAATCTCAATATTAAGTCACTATCCGATGCTCTACGTCTGGAATCAACTCACGTGAGTAGATGCAACACGCCATTTAAAGAGGAGGCAATTCAAGATAATCTTGATACTGAGTCACTAACCGATGCTCTACGTCAGGAATCAACTCACGTGAGTAGATGCAACACGCCATTTGAAGAGGGGGCAACTCTTCATATTCTAAATATTGAGTCACTATCCGATGCTCTCCGTCTGGAATCAACTCACGTGAGTAGATGCAACACGCCATTTGAAGAAGAGGCAATTCAAGATAATCTTAATATCGAGTCACTATCCGATGCTCTACGGCTAGAATCAACTCACGTAAGTAGATGCAACACGCCATTTGAAGAGGAGGCAATTCAAGACAATCTTAATATCGAGTCACCATCCGATGCTCTACGTCTGGAATCAACTCACGTGAGTAGATGCAACACGCCATTTGAAGAGGAGTCAATTCAAGATAATCTTAATATTGAGTCACTATCCGATGCTCTACGTCTGGAATCAACTCACGTGAGTAGATGCAACACGCCATTTGAAGAGGAGGCAATTCAAGATAATCTAAATACTGAGTCACTATCCGATGCTTTACGTCTGGAATCAACTCAAGTCAGTAGATGCAGCACGCCATTTGAAGAGGAGGCAATTCAAGATAATCTTAATACTGAGTCATTACCCGATGATTTACGTCTGGAATCAACTCAAGTGAGTAGATGCAACACGCCATTTAAAGAAGAGGCAATTCAAGATAATCTCAATATTCAGTCACTATCCGATGCTCTACGTCTAGAATCAACTCACGTGAGTAGATGCAACACTCCATTTGAAGTGGAGGCTATTCAAGATATTCTTAATACTGAGTCACTATCCGATGCTTTACGCCTGGAATCAACACAAGTGAGAAGATGCAACACTCCATTTGAAGAGGAGGCAATTCAAGATAATTTTAATACTGAGTCATTATCCGATGCTTTACGTCTGGAATCAACTCAAGTGAGTAGATGCAACACGCCATTTGAGGAAGAGGCAATTCAAGATAATCTCAATATTGAGTCACTATCCGATGCTCTACGTCTAGAATCAACTCACGTGAGTAGATGCAACACTCCATTTGAAGTGGAGGCTATTCAAGATAATCTTAATACTGAGTCACTATCCGATGCTTTACTCCTGGAATCAACCCAAGTGAGTAGATGCAACACTCCATTTGAAGAGGAGGCAATTCAAGATAATTTTAATACTGAGTCATTATCCGATGCTTTACGTCTGGAATCAACTCAAGTGAGTAGATGCAACACGCCATTTGAAGAAGAGGCAATTCAAGATAATCTCAATATTGAGTCACTATCCGATGCTCTACGTCTAGAATCAACTCACGTGAGTAGATGCAACACGCCATTTGAAGTGGAGGCAATTCAAGATAATCTTAATACTGAGTCACTATCCGGTGCTTTACGTCTGGAATCAACTCAAGTGAGTAGATGCAACACGCCATTTGAAGAGGAGGCAATTCAAAATAATCTTAATTCTGAGTCACTATCCGATGCTTTACGTCTGGAATCAACTCACGTGAGTAGATGCAACGCGACATTTGAAGAGGAGGCAATTCAAGATAATCTCAATACTGAGTCACTATCCAATGCTTTACGTCTAGCATCAACTCACGAAAGTATATGCAACACCCCATTTGAAGAAGAGGTAATTCAAGATAATCTTAATACGGAGTCACTCTCCGATGCTCTACGTCTGGAATCAACTCACGTGAGTAGATGCAACACGCCATTTGGAGAGGAGGCAATTCAAGATGATCTCAATATTGAGTCACCATCTAATGCTCTACGTCTGGAATCAACTCACGTGAGTAGATGCAACACGCCATTTGAAGAGGTTACATTTCAAAATAATCTTAATACTGAGTCACTATCTGATGCTCTACGTCTGGAATCAACTCACGTTAGTAGATGCAACACGCCATTTGAAGAGGGGGCAACTCAAGATAATCTCAATACTGAGTCACTATTCGATGCTCTACATTTAGAATCAACTCATGTGAGTGGATGCAACACGCCAATGGCAGATGAGGCAATTCAAGGAAATCTTAATACTGAATCACTTTCCGATGCTCTACGTCTGGAATCAACTCACGTGAGTAGATGCAACACGCCATTTGAACAGGAGAAAATTCAAGATAATCTCAATGGTGAGTCACTATGCGATGCTCTACGTCTGGAATCAACTCACCTGAGTAGATGCAACACGCCATTTGAAGAAGAGGCAATTCAAAATATTCTTAATATTGTGTCACTTTCCGATGCTCTACATCTGGAATCAACTCACGTGAGTAGATGCAACACGCCATTTGAAGAGGAGGCAATTCAAGATAATCTCAATACTAAGTCACTAACCGATGCTCTACGTTTAGAATCAACTCACGTTAGTAGATGCAACACGCCACTTGAAAAGAAAGCAATTCAAGATAATCCTAATACTGATTCACTATCCGATGGTCTACGCTTGGAATCATCTCATGTGAGCAGATGCAACACGCCACTTGAGAAGGAAACTCTTCAAGATAAACTTAATACGGAGTCAGTATCCGATGCTCTACTTCTGGAATCAACTCACGTGAGCAGATATAACACGCCGTTTGAAGAGGAAACTCTTCAGGATAAACTCAATACTGAGTCACTATCCAATGCTCTACTTCTGGAGTCAAGTCAAGTGAGCAGATGCAACACGCCACTTGAGAAGCAATTTCTCCAAGATAAACTTAATACTGAGTCATTATCCTATGCTCTACGTCTGGAGTCAAGTCAAGTAAGTAGATGCAACACGCCACTTGAGGGGAAAGCTCTTCAAGATAAACTCAATACTGAGTCACTATCCAATGCTTTACGTGTGTAGTCAACTCAAGTGAGTAGATGCAACACGCCACTTGACGAGGAAACTTTTCAAAATGATCTAAATGCTGAGTCATTATCCGATCCTTTACGTTTGAAATCAACTCATCTGATTAGATGCAACATTCCATTTGAAGAGGAATCGATTCAAGATAAATTCAATACTGAGTCACTATCCGATGTTCTACGTCTGGAATCAACTCAAGTGAGTAGATGCAACACGCCGTTTGTAGAGGAAACTATTCAATATAAACTCAATACCGAGTCAATATCCGATGCTTTACTTCTGGAATCAACTCAAGTGAGTGGATGGAATACAACATTCGAAAAGGTAGCGAATCAAGATAAACTCAATACTGAGTCATTATCAAATACCCTGTTTCTGGAAACAACTCAAGTGGGTAGATGCAACACGACATTCGAAAAGAAAGCGACCCAAGATACACTCAATACTAAGTCACTATCCGATGTTCTACGTCTAGAATCAACTCAAGTGAGTAGATGCAACATGCCGTTTGTAGAGGAATCTATTCAATATAAACTCAATACCGAGTCAATATCTGATGCTTTACTTCTGGAATCAACTCAAGTGAGTGGATGGAATACAACATTCGAAAAGGTAGCGAATCAAGATAAACTCAATACTGAGTTACTATCCGATGCTTTACGTGTGGAGTCAACTCAACTGAGTAGATGCAACACGCCATTTGAAGAGGAAGCGATTCAAGACAAACTGAATACTGAGTCACTATCCGATGCTTTATGCGTGGAATTCACTCAAGTGAGTAGATGCAACACGCCATTTTATGAGGAATCGATTCATGATAAACCCAATACTGAGTCGCTTTCCGATGCTCTACGTATTGAATCAACTCAAATGAGGAGATGCAACACGCTGTTTGAAGAAGAAACTCTTCTAGATAAACTCAATACTGAGTCAATGTCCGATGCTCTACGTCTTGAATCAACTCAAGTGAGCAAATGCAACAATCCCTTTGAAAAAGAAACTATTCAAAATAAACCTAATACGGAGTCAATATCTGATACTCTTCGTCTAGAATCAACACAAGTGAATAGATGCGACACGCCATTTGAAAAGGAAATGATTCAAGATAAACGCAATACTGTGCCACCATCTGATGCTCTTCGCTTGAAATCTTCTCAAGCAGGTTGGTGCAACACTCCATATGAAGAGGAAACAATTTTAAATAACGTCAATATGGTATCAATATCTGATGCTCTTCGCTTGGAATCTCAAGAAAGTAACAGTCTTCGCTTGGAATCTTCTCAAGCAAGTGGATGCAATAGTCCTTTGGAAGATGAATCAACGTTGAATAATGTAAATATGGCATCAATATCTGATGCTCTTCGCTTGGAATCTACTCAAGCAAGTAGATGCAACAGTCTTTTTGAGAATGAATCAACGTTGAATAATGTAAATATGGCATCAATATCTGATGCTCTTCGCTTGGAATCTACTCAAGCAAGTGGATGCAATGGTCCTTTTGATGATGAATCAACGTTGAATAATGTAAATATGGCATCAATATCTGATGCTCTTCGCTTGGAATCTACTCAAGCAAGTAGATGCAACAGTCCTTTTGAGAATGAATCAACGTTGAATAACGTAAATATGACATCAATATCGGATGCTTTACGCTTGGTATCTACTCAAGCAAGTAGATGCAACAGTCCATTTGAGGATGAAACAACGTTAATTGACGTCAATATAACATCAATATCTGATGCTCTTCGCTTGGAATCTCAAGCAAGTAGATGCAACAGTCCATTTGAGAATGAAACAACGTTGAATAACGTCAATATAACATCAATATCTGATGCTCTTCGCTTGGAATCTCAAGCAAGTAGATGCAACAGTCCATTTGGGGATGAAACAACGTTGAATAACGTCAATATGACATCAATATCTGATGCTCTTCGCTTGGATTCTACTCAAGGCAGTAGGTGCAACACTCCATTCGAGGTGGCATTGGTTCAGAAAAACATCAATGTGGCATCAATATCTGACGCTCTTCGTTTTGAATTAACTCACGGGAGCAGGTGCAACACACCATTTGAGACGGAATTAACTCAAAACATGCTAAATATGGAATCAATATCAGATGCTCTTCGCATTGAATCATCTGAATCGACTAGATCCAACACGCCATTAGAAGTTGAGAGACCAGACGCAACTCTGAACTCTATCAAGTCATCTGGTGAGGGCGATTTCTGCCATCACGTTAGCGAAATTGGTGTTAGGAGATTTGTTGGCGGGTCCAGTACTGCAGACTCATCATCCGTGTGCGTTGAAGCAGCGAATATTGTTGAAGCACTTCAAAGACAATTCACCAATGCTAGTAAAACTAAGATTACAATCTCACCACCATCCGATGAAGAAAATTCTGTCTCTTATTCGATGACTGATACTACGATGACAACTTCCAAAACAATGACAGAATCTATTGCAGAGTCAATGCGTAAAATTAGGAAACAAACTGTAAGCAAGAAGGATTCTACTAATGACAATTCAATTGTAGATCACCAAAATGTTGTAAATAGTTTGAAAATGCAATCTACCAGCAAAACGACAAAAAAAACTAAATTTGTGAATGATATGCAAGACGAAAATAAGAAAACAAATTTTGACAATAAAAATGTCAGTTTTGGGAAAAAAATCCATAAAAACAGTGAAATTGTAGCTGTTGACGACGATTGTTTGGGCGGAGCAGATCCAAGCATAAGTATAGAGTTTGTAGATAATATACCTACTTCGCAAATTGTTTCATCGGAAAGGGAAAATACCGTGAGTACGACCTCGCAAATTCAAAGCAATTATTCAACGACGACTACTGGATCTCCGATTGCAGTAATTGTCCGCGAAGGTCCATCAACTGAACGAAATGTTGCATCACTGATTATAGATATGAAAACAGGCGTAGCGACAACCCTGGATAAGTCATCGACAAGCAAGAAATCTAACGAAGATGATAATGCTGGCATTCGGCCACAAACTTCAACACTCCCAACAAAAGATCGAGGAAATAATATTATTGTTGGAGTTGATCAAACTGAAGAGACTTCGACTGCTTTTGATGAAGTTGATAATGTATCTTTCCCAAATTTTGCAGACATAAAACTGCCCAATGAAACAGCTGAAGAGAAGATGGCTCGAATGTTTGGACTATCCGAAGGTATTATGATAAACTTAGACTAGATTTTAACTAGACGTAGACCATCACAATCTGTAGAATCAAATCAAATAATCCAGTAGAAGTAACGCTAAGTAGTGTCTCACTGCCTATATTACAAAACTGCATATAAATGAGATATATAAACACAAGCCAGGCTACGCTACCTTAGTTGATTTCAACTGAGAAAAAAATTATTTGTTAAATTTAAATTATACAAATTCTTTTTCCCACAGAACCACCCACAACTCAAAGTGAAGCGGATCTATCATGCCAGACAAGCGAAGCAAAAAATCAAGGGATTCATATTTCGAATATCGGTATGTTTCAAATGATCTGTTAGTCAATGAATATTCAAAGCAAAAGCTAAAACAGCTTTTACCGAATTCAATTTTCAGGACAAGATTTTACAGATAATTTGAATATGAATAATCAGGAGTATGTTGACCTACTGGAAATGCAAGAATCTTTTCGGACCATTGGCGGCGAAGGGTTGGGAGTAAGTATATTTTCGTTTTTGAGATGCGGAGGATACGATTTATATCCGAGCAACATTTTCATTAGGAAAATCGATGGAATACAATGGGTCGATTTAATATTAAATTTATTTTTTATATAAATTTGATGAAAGATTCTATTCGGTCGCCCTAATATTATACTATTTGAAGATCTCATCTAAACATAGTATCTAAGTTTTTTTTATTATTTTGCAATAGATTGCTTCGAGTTCATGGGTTACATATGGAAGTGGACTTTCTGTCGAGGATAAAAAGTCATTCGGTACAATGAAGCATGAAGCGAATAGCGAGCGGGAAAGCTTTGCAAACGTTGAAGAAGAATTGTCATGTATATTTGAAAGGTGGTTTTATATCCTTTTTTTGAGATTAATAAATATAATAAAGCATTATTTTACCGGTATTAAAATTTACGACTAAGCGCTGGATAGACCAATGTTTCACGGGCTTGTATTTATAGTGATTTTTAATTCATAAAACAAGCTCGCATTTCAAAACAAGCAAACAGTTATTTGTTTTACAGATCTGAAGATTTCCAACTTCAAACTGAGGAACCTGTTTTTGTCGTAAAACTGGCAGATCAAGTGGTGAACGAAGGCGAAACTGCAACATTCATTTGCATAGTTACAGGTTTGTATTTTTTTCTGAAAAAGAAGCTGATTTATAGTAGCCTTTTCACATCAATGTTCACTTTTTTAAAGCGTTATCTTGATCGAAAGTGTAAAATACCCTATGAAAAAGATCTACCTTCGAGATTAATAAAAACACATAAAAATAAAAACATAAAAAGTGTAAGATATATACTCGTATGTGAATAAAACCTGGGAAGTACAAAAGATTTCGCTGATAGCGGGCTTATAAACTGAAACTTTGTGCTGTCATAATAGGACGTTATAGTTAGTTTTTACTCAACAGCAAAATTGATTACACGTCACATTGAATTTCCGTAATTTAATCTTTGCCCCCAAAATATTATGAAGTCATCGATGGAACTGTAAAAAATCTGCGTGAATTATAAAATCGTATTTATAAGCGAATATATTTTGTGATGACGTGAATTTGAAAACAAGTTAAGAAGTTCAAAGCTGTAATAAAACATACTATCAGAAAACGTGACGTCATAAGACTCGTTTCTAGGCACGTTAGTGAATATAACGCTCACGAAATCCAATCATAAAAGTTTGGATAATATTGAGTGAAACAGACAAGATATTACTAACGGTTCCGCTTGATTTATTCCATTAATATTTTATATTACTCTTTAGGTCATCCGCAACCATCATTGCGATGGCAGAGAACTGTGCCAGGAAAAGTTGAAATATTGAACGAAAACGCTGCTGGTGTGGAGATAAAACATGACATGTATGTATCCATGTTTTCTAAGAACTGCTTTAATTTTTATATATTGAGATGGCGGCGAGAAGGGTTTCAAATTTTCACTCGAATGTTGAAAGGCGTTTTAAATAAATAATAATTTTCGCAAACAATGTAACAGAAGTGTTGTTGGCTGAATGGGATGTGATGATTACCTTCAGTCTTTCTAAATTATTTAATCCTTTTTTTTCCTTTTTTAATTGGCTTAGTTTCAAACGATAATATTTACATAATAATATGAAATTTTTTGTATAAATAAAAACATTTGATATAAAATGAATCTGTGATTTCAGTTGTCGTCACTCGATTACTATATTCGACTTCCTGCATTTTTTTCTTCAGACCACTCTCATTTTATTATAAAATGTTACTCTTATTTGGCCCTATACGATTAATTATTAGCTAAAAATAAACCTGGAGTTATTTGAACCTACCCTGTTACAGATACACGAAGGAAAACATACTAAAGATCCATCGAGTAAGAATAGAAGATGAAGCAGAATATACATGTATTGCATTGAATGATGTTGGGTTTGCTTCTAGTTCAGCAATGTTACGAATCATCAAATTACAAACCGAGGTAGTCTAATAATTAGATTTAATGTACCATTGTCGACTGAAATCATTTCGTGGGACACTTTGTTTTAAGATTGACATGAAAATATATGAAAAAAACGAATAATTTATTATACAAATACCGTACCTACATTATGTACTTTGTGTCTTTTTTAGGAAAATATAGAAGTTAGTACCACAAGAAAAGATTTTCCCAACAATGAAGGATCGATGACAATAAAGTCAGGTACTTCCACATTTTTTTGTTTTGACCCAATAGGTAAAGACGCCTAGGTAGTGGTCAGCGTATAGGGTCTTATAATAGTATGAATTACCTGTAAAAGATGTCACTTTTACGCCTCATGCAAACACTTTATCCAAGGTATGATAATTTAAGTTATGCCAACTTGAAAGCATCTGGACATTGTGAAACTTCAATAGCTTTTTACGTTTTATTGGTTGCCTATACTAAGTCCTAACTAATCTTGCAGTTCGTAATACATACACGCTAAATTCTTTTTGAATTTTATTGTCATGTCAACTCTACAAAACGTGTATCTGGTGTCATTGAATGTTTCTATATTTGAATTAGCCATAAATTATTGTAACTGGTAGAACTGATGACTACAATCAACGTTCGCTTCGAACGATTCAACTATAAATGTTGTATGTTTTTACCATAAAAAATGATATCGCAAGCTAACCGTGCCTTCGCTATCATTAACGGTATTGATTACTGTCGTTAACAACTTTCACAAAAATATAAATACTCGTTAACATTAAAATTGTATTTAAAGCTCAAACTATCCCGAAGACCCTTACAATCAGAGTAAAAGAACGTGTCATAGTCCGGGAAACATACGATAGTTCACAATCAGAAAGTCGTGATGAGTCAACGTCAGATGAAACATCTTCTCCGTCTTCATTCGACAACTGCCAACAAGTAGGACAAAGAAGAAAATGGCGTCGAAGACCTCCATCGCCTGACTATTTTGAAAGATCAAGCGAAAGATCGACATCGATCGATTCTGGAGACACAGAAAAGGAATCAGTTAATAATCACGCTCAAGAGGTATCTTAATGTTGAATGCGAAATCGATAGTTGTAATATAGCGCAACCTGAAAACGAATTGAATCCTTTGTATTTCTTCATAAAAGCAACCGCATTCGCTTTTTAATTCAGTTTGAAAATGTTTCAACGAATGGTTATATTTCTTGCAGGTGATCAAAATCAAATCTACTTCAGAAGATGATTTGAGGAAAGCTGTTTTGCTGGCTTCAACAAACAATTCCTCGCAATCATTCAAGTAAGTACATGTTTGAAGAATTGATAACATTTTAATTTTGCTTGTTTGGGACGCCGAAGTTGCGTTAATAAGGTCGACTGAAAGTCGTGGCTTGGTCGTCCTAATTGAATTATCCAAAGTATGTTGTATAAAAATAGCAAAGACATGCTTATTCGAGAATACTGGAAAATAATTTCAATTTTAAAAGCATTTGGCCACTTGCGATGTACCGCATTTATGCGGCATTGTGTTTCTACAAATAACTGTTCAAGTAGAATCAACACTCTACCACTGCTAAATACAAATATTTTTCCATAAACAGCTTTTAATTTTGTTTTTATCACAGGTCAGATATGTCTCCATTTCAAAGATTTGCAAGTCCTTTACCAATGTCGGAATGCAGCGCGAGTCGATCTATAAATAAACCAACATCTCTTGACTTGGATGACACTGTATCCGAATCACTTTTTACTGTTTCGTCTTGGCCTGATATAAAATCGGACATATTTCAGAGTGTCAACGCTTCTGTGTTGCTGGCAGGAATACCCGAGGAGTCGATATATGTGGACACGGAAATTGCATCTTTGTCAAGAAGGTGATAAATGACATTTCATTAATGCGAAAACTTAATTGCACTGATTAGATGTAACTTACTCGTACATCATTATTACTACTTATATTGAGGTTGAACTCAAATCCACGCTTAATTACTTTTTGAATTTTATTGTCATGTCAACTCTACAAAACGTGTATCTGGTGTCATTGAATGTTTCTATATTTGAATGTGAGTCATAAATTATTGTAACTGGCAGAACTGATGACTACAATCAACCTTCGCTTTGAAAGATTCAACTATATATGTTGTATGTTTTTACCATAAAAAATAATAACGCAAGCTAACCGTGCTTTCGCTATCATTAACGGTATTGATTACTGTCGTTAACAACTTTCACAATAATATAAATACTCGTTAACATTAAAATTGTATTTAAAGCTCAAACTATCCCAAAGACCCTTACAATCAGAGTAAAAGAACGTGTCATAGTCCGGGAAACATACGATAGTTCACAATCAGTAAGTCGTGATGAGTCTACGTCAGATGAAACTCAAATCCTCAAACATGATCACGTTAATCGAATCTTTACTTAGGTTCTATACAAGCAGCTGCTTTGGCTTAATAAGGTTCGGTATAGCCAAGCGGAGTTCCTTCTATCTGTCTGGGATAACTACATAGAACTAGATCCTGGGATCCCCAATCTGCAATGCAACATGATTTTTCTATTTTTTGCAACTGATTTATATATAGATTATGTTAAAACTTTAGTTACATCACACAACTGGTGCAAAGACTCATTTTTGAAGAAGAAGAATTTGTTTCAATACTAAGAAGAGCTGATCATATAATCAAAGAAAGCTCTGATCTTCCTGCTGCGGTTGATGACAGAATTCACGAAATATTTGGTGATTTGGAAGGACTCTATCATTTCCATGCAAAGTAAAAACACTTTTAGTTGTTCGGACTCATTGTATGTTCAAAAAGTATCGATAAATTCTGCTTTAGTAAATACGATCAAAATGTAAAAAGATGCTAATAACGCCTTTTATACTTGAAATTTTCCTTTTTTTGCCCAGGTATACCGTGGTTAGTGCTGGTTTCATTTGCTTGTTTTTGACCCTCCTTCTCATTTCAGTAATTAGAGCTATCAATTTTACATATTTATTCTACAAATAATTTTTTTCATCACGCTGAATTCATCTATTTCCTAACAAATTAAAAACCGATGAAATTAAATGTGAGAGATGAAAATAATCTCTTGATTTACACAATAAAGCTTTCTCTCTCGTTTAGCCTTCTTCTTCCCGAACTCTCTCTTTGTCTCTCCGATGTCAGTCACCTTCCAGGCGTTTTTCTTGAATCCGCCAAGCACTTTGAGGTGAATATATAATATCTTCTTTTGTTCGGCTATTCTGCAGTACTTCCTTATCTTTATTAATATTATTTTGTAATTTTTTGTCAATAATTGACCGACAATGCTTGAAACATAACCGATTAACAATTCTGTAGAATGAATAATGCGTCAAATATTTCAAGAATGTTTATTTATAAGGTCGAATAATATCTGATTCAATTTACTCTCAAATCTTTTAGTCATCACTAATAATTAGGATACTAGTGTCTTGAATACTATACCCAAGTTTTGTGTTTGTAAAGATATTTTAGTTAAATTACAATAAATATCACGCAGATGAGCGAGATTAAATTTTTTACAGCAATTGCACGTAAGTCATTTCATGAACACCAGCAAAGCTTCCAAACTCTTCAACTCACAAGCTCAATTAGTGGAAGGCGTTCACGAGTTGTCGTGTAAAGTTGGATTCGATATGACAGAGGTTTACAAGAAACCAATTCAAAGAATTGAACAGTATCAATCGACTCTCAAGGTATTGTCATATTAACATATCATTTTTGTTTGATGTAATTCTGAGAAGTAATAATAAATGAAAGTTTAGGTGGATCAAAAAAGGAACAACTGAGACAAGCGGGAAACAAGTGGGAAAAGCGGGATAAAAAAGGGCATGTTGGGATAGTGTAGGATAAATTCGAAAAGTTTGGCAAAGTGAGACAAGTGTGCTAAAAAAGCGATAAGCGTAAGACAACAGCGCTCGACCCTTTTTTGAAACACTGTTTTTCGATGATTCACAATGACTTGAATGCCACATCATCTATGTTGAAAAAAATAAAAAATATTACTAATATATTAACATAATAGAAAGTTCCGAAAAGTATCGGTTTAAATAACTGAATACTATGGATTGGCGCAGAATCTTTCGATCTTGATGTCTGTCGGTCGTAAAACCCGGACCATATGTCCACACCTATAATTTTTTATCTAAAATATTTAAATCAAACTGCCTACCAATTAAGCTTTTTATATATTGGCATGACTACTTTAGCTCAGACTTTGGTAATGTACATTACCTTCTGAACTAAAATTAAATTTTTCTCCTGTCAAGCAATTTTCTGGAATAGATGCAACAAGCTCTAATTTAGCATCAAGTTACAAAAAAGCAATAAAAATATTGGATGACATTCCGAAACGTAGTCATCTAATGCAAAGTTGGTGCGAAATCGAAGGTAAACCGAAGGATGCTTCGATTCTTGGGCAGCTAATAAAAGAGGGTAAGTTGTATGTAAATACATTTTTAATTTGTAGAATGTTGCGAATAAGTATTTTGAGGAGTCAAAAATTGGCGGTAATGACAGAGATGTTACTTAAAAAGACCTCTGATGAATCTGACTGGTGTAAACTACAGACAGCTAACATTGCCTCTTGATTTGACTTGTGTGTATAAGAGAGACAGTTCATCGAAATACAAACATCGAATTAGTCATAAACACTATAATTTACTATTTTCATGTAGAAAGTACAAAAAAATTTTCGAATTTTTTCCACGTTTTTTAAAACATGTTTCAGGTGCATTTCAGCTACTTGATTCCACTCTTGTACCAACACACAAAAAATGTAAAATGCGTCAATTGTTTTTGTTCGACAAATATCTGGTTGTATGCAAACTAAGTCGCCGTGTCGGATCACGGAAAATTGTTCATTCAAAATATCACAGACAATTTGAGGTACGTGATTGTTGGTGATTTATTCGTCGTGCTTTCGAGTGTCAACAAATTGATTTGAAAACCTCACCTTTAATAGTTTTTTTTGTTAAATCTCATCTTCCATCCTTGGCATGTCAGGGAAATTATCAAGCCGATTTACCCATTGACTTCAAAAGCGTTGCAATACTTTCAAATACCTAATTAAACTATAATAGGACTTCCAATTGCTTTTTTGAGCATGTAATTATCAACAATAAGATGTGCTACAATGCTCAGCACAATGAAAAGAAACACTATGTCTTTTTACAATCCCCATCGTTCCGGATTATAAAGTCCACCATACTGACACTTTAATTTAGTGAAGTTAATCTGTTGTAAATGTATACAAATAACGTGAACTTTTACTTTGGAGAGAGTAATTCTAACCATAATTCAAGTTAGTTACAAATAAAGTATACATTTTCAGATCAAACAACTCCAAGTTGAAGAGTCCCCTGATTTTGCTGACGATCGGACGTTCATTATAACGACGGATACTGGCAATGGAGAAAATATTTTTTGGCAAGCAAACTTAAGAGCTAAAACTGGAGATATCAAACGATCATGGTGCAGACGATTATACAGTCTGATTCAATCCACAAAGTAATCATGGTAAGGTGTTTTTAAGTAAGTCACTTTTTGCTTCTAACAAGAGACGAGACACAAAACACTTAGTAGATTGCTGTGGCTTTACTTTCGTTATTTTACTTTTATTAGACACGAAATGTATCTATGTTTTTTTTTATGGTTGTTGGGAAAATCGCTCTTTTCTGAGCTGAAATTTTTTTGCCAAAAAGTTAGATCGAAACTGCTAGCGGGTCCGATCGAACGCTGGAATACGCGTGTTTTTAGTAGTATTGGGAGTCTAAAAAGCATTTCAAGCTGCGGGAAATTGCTATCTGTGATACAGAAAAATGATTTTATTTTTTTTACATTTCAAAAGTAGGGGGGGGGTCGACCCGCAAAACCACCCCCTGGATACGCCACTGGTTAGCACACTTGGTAAACAAACAATATAAGGTCAAAGCAGAGAGCGTTGTAAACATTCCCCGCTATTGTTATCAGTTATATTTAGATTCTAAATATGGATAGATTTTAGAAATTAGATTTTATATTAAGTTTTATTAACCATGCAATATCCCAAGAAACGTACGTGAAGTTGACAGAGAGTGTCGAGCATTTAACAAAGACTGGATGCCGAAGTATTTTTTGTAATAATCCGACCCACCGAGTACCCTGCTTTAGAAGGTTGTTAATTTTTTTAATCTCAAACTGCTGGGTCTTTTGTAACCCGTTTTTTTTTTATCAAAATTTGCTGTTTATTTCAATTGGAGGATAACACGTTATATTTTATCTCAATTCTATTTGTTTTTAGGCACTTCAGATATATTTGTGAATCGGGAAATAATTCTTAAGTTTACCAAAGAAAAGAATATAATGCCAATGAAGACAAGCGGCCTATAAAATACTATAATTATTTTTGTATTGTTATTGCATGCATTTGAAATCTTCCAATTAGAGTGATAAACCATACTATTTTTACATTAAAAAATAATATTTTATATAAATGTATTGTACCCATTAATGTACGAGTATGAATTCAACACAATCATGCATGTTTTTACGATAGTAAAGGGGTAGACTTATCTAAAACTTTGCAAATATCGCACATTCGACAATCTCGTTTCCCTCACTCGCCGTAGTATAAATGTAGTGATTTCATGATTGTGTAGCATCAAATATCGTTTCATGGGTGTCTCGAAAATGTTTGGGTCCCACTTGTACCACGTTGGTCTCACCATGTTCCAAATGGTATGGATAGTCTGTTGCTATAGTATTATATCCATTATCACCCAAAACATTGCACGGATCTCACTTCATAGGATTACTTTAACTATTTGCTCCACAATGTATATCTAGCGCCAAAACAGTGATGGAAGATTTGGGATTTTACAGTTTACGATATTAAATATGTACTTTTTTTTATTTAATGTAATTCACTCCACCAGTAGGTTTTTCCTCATTAAAGTCAATATCAAGCGACCGTTCCTTGTCAACATTTTAAGACATTAATGATGTCATTCTTTAAAAGCGCAGATCTCATATTAAATCTGATATCGCCAATGCTGATATAATCGTTACATATATTGCATTTTTGCTACACTCCTCCTTTTTCCTGATTTGAATGTTATTAGTCTTATCTTACTTATCGCATTATTATGTATTGATATAAAACATAGGAATATTATTTTGATGTTCGATAATGAAATAAATAGAAAATGCTTCAAATACCCGGTGTGGTGTTCATTTTTTGGGTTGAAGTCAATAAAAATATGCCTCGTTGTGGTAAAACTATTACTGATATCTGCACACTAATGAGAGGTAATATTTGTAAAGTACATGAGAACACTTGAACACCTGAACGATGTCAAATGACATCGACCATGAAGATCATAGGATCATAGCGATTTGAAACATTTACTTCACACTTTTGATAACTCACTTGCAAGTTTATTATGAATAGGATAACACAGCCACATACTAACACAATGAAATATGTGAAATAGTGACTCCCTCTGACATGGTCTGAGCACCAAACAAATGAACTGCTCCGATATCAAAAAAGGTCATGCATACTCAAAAAATTGATCGGGGTGTCCCCGAGCGTCGAATTCCTTGTGTATTTCCGCTAACGGCTTTTCTGTATATATACGAAGTCAGGAAACGATCGATTGTTGTCTCCGACATGCTTTCAGTTGTTGCGAGGCACGGTATGAGATGTCGTGATATACTGTCTCGCGATAATTTTTGAAGTGTGTTGCAGCCAACAAGCATATTACAAATGAAAGAGGTTTTTAAGGTAATTAGTATAAAAATCGTGTACAGCTAGAAATTCATAATATAATAGCTACTACCAATTTGGGTTAGTAACACCAATGAAATTTTATTTTATAGTCTAGTTGCTTACCATAAAGAAAACTTATTTGCCTGAGGTAAAGTATCCGTTTCCGATTAGTTATTAAAAATTTGATCTGTGATGAAAATAATTCTTAATTACCCAGCATGCGGAGCGGAAGTAACCATCGCCTAAACGACGTTCATTTATAAGAGGGATGGTGAACGCCCGAAAATATCTGGGGATATTTTGAACTTCGTAGTATGTAAATATATATATATATATTCAAATGTTTGTAATTGGCTTTCTGACGTATATGGTATTGAGGTATCGTCTGATACTTCGATGGCTAATATTCGTCGTAATACTGGCGTTGATTACACAGGTTTTCGAATACGTCTATTGAATATTCCAAATGTAGTCAGACAAGCAAAATCCAAGATAGACTGCACATATTCCGAGTTTTTATATTTATTTATAATGCTATTTCTCTTGCATCATTTCATTTCAATAGTCATTATATAACGATGTTCAATGAACATGACACCGCATCGTACTCACAGTGATTACTCATCCAATAACGCGCTTTATGATCTGTTTCGGTAGAAGTTATCGAGCTAAATAAAGCGACAACTTCCGTATTTAATTCTTATTATTGTGTTGCAATTTTCACCATAGGATAGAAGTAATTAATCGGAATATTAGTGAATTAATTTTTTTCTGCCACCACGGCTAACGAACGATTCACGAAATGAGAAAACAGAAAAATGCCATCTCAGAGAAGAGAGCGATTACCTGGAAAAAGCAATTTGACTATTTGTTCAGCTTACTGGGACTCATGATTGGGCTTGGAAATGTATGGAGATTCCCATATCTGTGCTACAAGAATGGTGGAGGTAAAAATTTTACAGGATCTATATAGAATTGTACTATGATACAGAATTATGGTTTTCAATAAAGATTGTCCAATAGTAACAAAAAAACCGTTACCAATATCAATTTCAAATGGAATAACGTGAGGGTTAATGGAGGTCTTTCTAGAATCCAGAGCCTTCTGACTTTTTATGTGTATATTTAACATATAAAATATATATCATCTTATTTAGGTGCATTTTTGATCGCATACTGGGCGTGTGTTTTTGTTATAATTTTTCCTCTGATTACTATGGAATCTGCTCTAGGACAGTTAACTGGTCAGAGCTCTTTTAAAGCCTGGAATATTGTTCCACTAACAAAAGGTATGTACATACAAACTTGAAATTGTAAAAATGTGAAATGATATACAAAGTAAGTTAAAAAGCGTGCCTCAATAACTAACTATTCAAAGCAGAAGTAAAAAACTTGTATTGTCAAAATAAGTAATTCACGTGGAAATTTTTGTTAGCCACCTGTCTTTTTAAAGAGTATAAAAGTGACTAATATATCGGTGCTAGCAATGAAGAAGTACTCATTCAAAAAAGTTGTATTATTAATTTAATGACTTATATTTGAATTGCTTTTTATTTGTTACAAACAAAAACTTTACTTATCAATGATAACAAAAATTCCACAAAGATAAAATTTATGCATGGCATGGTCCTAAAACACGATACCTGAACGACATAATGTAGGTAAAAAGTTTGCTTCGGGTGTTTGACGTAGTTAATATAAAAATTCAACGTTCTCTTAATTCAAATTGGTTTATGTCTAAGATAAATCACTACTTCTAGGTCCTTCGTTGATGTATCGCAGTATGTCGAAAATCGTGAATTACACGGCTCGTTATGATTACATATAAAACATCAGTATAGCGTCAGTATAAACACCAAACGCTTCATTGTCAACGATTTGAATTCTTCATATGGAATGTGGTATAACGCATTTGGACGTAGTTTCACGGCGATGCAGAGAGTATTCCAATAAAAAATACAAAAAAACATTTAATTTAAAACAATCCTTTGTTTTAAAACAGACGTTTTTTAGAATTGATAAAAAACAAAACCCAACGCGTTACATTTACTTGCATTATGATCAATAAATAAGCATGCTGCACGAACATCTTTCCTGAAAACAGCACAACGTTTGAATGTAATTTAAAATTCTTGCTTGGTTACAAAATGTGACTGTATATATATGAAGAACTATGTTTGTTTGAGCTCTTTACGCTAGTTCCCTCCAAAACATTTACGTTCATTCTAATCGAAAACTAAGTCTCCGTAGGTGTGATTGCAGATACTACAGTGTTTCTAAATTATCAACGACATTTCTATGAAAATTGTTTATACAAAAACTCTTGATTCGTTTTTAATTCCCTTCTACCCACCCAGCGTAGTTCTGGTTCTGACTTGATTCAATCCGAGTATTGTGTCAACTGCAATTAGACAACATCTTAGATGCAAGACTAAAGTCGCATATCGGGTTCAGTGTGCCATTGATATCTTTAATGTAAATAGAAATCATGTAGTCATTCAACAATAAGTCATTTCACACTTCTTGTTTGATTTTATACCACAAAAGTTGCAAGGCGCACATTTCCTATTATGAAATCTTGTATTTGAACCATTATTTTCAGGTATTGGATATGCTGTGCTGTTTCTCATGTTCTACTACAATCTATATTACCCAGTTCTTTTGGCATGGTCTCTGCGATGGTTCGTCGCTAGTTTTTCTGCTTCCAAACCATGGACAACATGTAATAATGAATGGAACTCGTTCAATTGTCTGCCTTTGTCCGAGATTGCAATTGACTTCAATGGAGTGAGTCAAACCTAAGTAAAATACTTCTGCCTTTCTTATTTGTGGGTCACAATATTAAAATTTCGTCACGCTAATAACCGAATTGCGTAAGTCATTTTTAGCAGTTTTGAGAAAAACGTAAAAACCTTCCTAATGATATTGTTATGTCATTGAGAGTCAATAATTTGCCATGGTTCAATTTTTTGATCGTAGCCGGATTTAAGTTAATTTGTATGACGCAGTTTAGTGACGTCATAATGGCGCACTGTGACTATGACTTGTGGACATACGCAATTTTGCAACTTTACTATAGGCACCAGTCCTGAAAACTAAACATTCCAAAACCGAATGTAGTTCTCAGTATCTACAATGTCTAATCCCCAAAATAGCTAATCAGTTTCAATTAGATTATTTTTTCTGTTTAAAAATATATATTTCATCAATATAACACGTTCTGCACACCCACCGAAATAAGATTAAATATAAATAACAAAACAGCAATGCACCCAATATAAAAGCCAACCAAGGTGAATTTGACTCGGACGGTGAAAGCCAACCAAGGTGAATTTGAATCGGACAGTAAATATCACAAGTGCACGTCTTCCTATACTGTAGTATAAATTCAAACTAATACGGCTAAGCTAGAATCCGAGATGCAAAAACTCGAAAATACTTCGCCGAGGTTATTTTGCCTTTGTGACGTCACAACAGTTCTGCAGTAACAATGATAATTCATTATGACGAAACAATTGCACAAATGTGCATGTCATACTAAATCTCCATTTTCATGGGTTTCGGAATCCTTAAAACAAAATCTGAGTTAACTGACAGGTGCGCAGCATTACATAAATACCTATTTTATAAAAAAACTCAAAATCGCCAAAAATGACATATACGCAATTCGGTTATTAGCGTGACGATTTGTAGAACAAACATTCGATCAAAAAATAGTGATACAACTACCCGCAAGTGATTCTTTAGACCAGGAGTGTGCAACCTCCAATACAGAATGGTCAGATACAAATAATTGGGTGAAACCCTGGGCCGCACCTTTATTTACCATAGGCGTTCCAGTCAGTAGTTTTCAGGCACAAAAACTCTGGTAATTGATCTCACGACATGCGTTGTTCGTTGCTAGCTGTTGAGGCATTGAACGTCATAGTTGATAAATTGGACTCAGGATAGACTTTGATACGCATAGGGATTGGAATTATTCGCAGGTACCAGATGAAACTGAATTAAAAACTCTATTCGCGGGCCGCAAACCATTCAAACTGTACAAATTTTCGCATTTGACCCGTGGGGTCAGGTTGCCCATCCCTGCCTTAGACCTATATGAGAGACAACTCTAATGATGTAATAAATTGTTTATCATATGAAACAACGAATGCTATTCGTTTCATAACACTGATAAAGTCATCTTTACACTATGAAACAACTTTAGTTTGCACTAATCATTAATATTATATTTCAAAAGAATTCCACTGACCAGATTTCAACCAACACAAGCTCTGACGTTGTTTACCACAACTTGACATACGTTTCATCTGTAGAAGAATTTTGGGAGTAAGTTGTTTAAAATTACAAGAAATTAGTATTTCTAGGATATCAGCTCAAAACTAAATTGATAGGTTTACAGAAATGATTTTTTTATGCTTGTAGCATTACACAATAATAACTGAATTCAATTTTGACTTTCGTTTATTTAGAAACCATATTCTTGATACAACAGCCGACATTAATGAGCTTGGAGGAATAAAAATGGAATTACTCATTTGTTTTACTGTAATTTGGATTGGGACGTATTTTGCTATTTGGAAAGGAATAGAGTGGACAAGCAAGGTAGATTTTGATAATCGAAGCTTGAAATGAGTATACAAAAACATTTTCTAACTGCCGTGTTAATATTGTCAAGTTAAATATCTAAGTTCAGTTTTTATTTTTGTATCAAATTTAAATTACACTAAATTATTAAGATGTTAGAAAAATTAATCCCCGCGTCTTAAAATTAAAAAAATCATTAAAATGCCTTTCTTCCTCTTATACGATTATAAAAGATATAGACGTTTTTCAGTATGAAAAGTCAGTATGATTGGCAAAAAAGCATAAAGGCTCCATTAATCGGAAGGCTTACCCTTACTTGATCCATAAGCTAATAGGTTTGAACCATCAGGCTTGCCATTTTTGATTGACAACAGACTTTAGCGCTACAGCTTTAAACCCATCATACGGAAGAAGAAATACATGTAAACCTAAGCCTCCAGTAAAAAAAATTTTGGACTAAAACAATAATATGTACGATTTTATGCTCTAGTTTAAAAATTTCCTAAAGCTCAATTAAAATGTTCATGCAAGTTTTTTTTTCGCGTGGAGAAGATGAACAGTTTATATTGCTTGTTTTATTTACAGATTAATTCACATATAATACCAAACGCTAATTACTTCATAACTTTCCGTTGGATTAATTTTTTTGCTGATTTATTATATTCATGAACACTTTACACTTTTTTTTATAGATTGTTTACGTTACGGCAACTTTGCCTTTGGTTATGATGACCATAGTGTGTATACGCGGCGTAACTTTGGAAGGAGCGCTGGACGGATTGGAAGTTTATCTCAAACCAGATTTCGTCAGCTTAAAAAGGATGGAGGTAGACTACTTATTCTCAATTTTTGATTCCCGTAACTCGGAAAATATTTGAAGATGTAACTTGCTTTTACTTCAAACTCACGCCTAAAATCAAACACGCGTATTACCGTGTTTTCCCAAAAATAAGACTGGGTCTAATTTCATTTTTTTGCGAAAAATATCACTAAGGCTTATTTGCTTTTTATTTTCATTTATCAAAAACACAATTACAAAGTATAGAGAATGACAAGATTTTCAAATATACAAAGTATGAAAATCAATGTCCATTTACTTATGAACAACACGTTTTCCTCTCTCTCGCATTTTGGATTAATCATTTAAACCGTGTAGGAGAGATTTCTTGCTATCGACTGGGTCAATCAAAATTTCGCATTATTGACTAGGTCCTATTTTAAGGGGAGGGTTCATATTAAAATCATTTTTAGAATTCAGGGTCGGTCTCATTTTAGGGGAAACAGAAGTCTGTATAAATAAAATTTCAGTTATTGGTATTACAAAAATTCAGCTTCGTCATAATGATTTATCTAAAATTTGACCCCGCAAAGGCGACAAATGCGTTTCGATCAAGATCTCCGTCTTATACTATGTTGCCCGCCTGTATTTCTAAATTCTTCGTCTGACAAATACGGTTGTCAATGACTTGCGCTATGTATTAAATTTATTTCAGTAATAATATCGAGTTTATTCTACTTGATTGACTAAAGATAATATAACGATGGAAATGCATGAATAGGCTACAGCACACTGTTGCGTAATAACGAGTTGGGTTTTGCGAGACTAACTCCCTATCCTACCCTTGTGCCTTTATGGTAATGTAAGGAGGCTGTAGCAGGAAAATAAGACTATACTATGTAATTCAAGATTCCGGCTGCACATTATTAACACAAGCTCATTTTCGTCTGGCCTTCTAGTAGATTGTTGCAGTAATATATATTATAGGCGCGTTAGGGCTGTATATGCAATGAACTTTTCGGCTACCAACTACAAGGCTATACAGATGTAGGACGAACAAGCTTGATCAACGTTAGATCAAGTAAACAAACAGACCACGTATCAATAATAAACAAATAGACTTCCACTGACAGCAGAGCAAAGCACAATCTGAAACAACGAACTGACCTTGAGTCTGATTCGATCAAGAGTGTGCAAAAGCGCGCGCTCGTGGCACGTGACATATATGGGATGTCGAAATAGAAACCGTATAAACTGACCCGGGACATTACTGAAGATCAAAAACGGAAAAGGTGGTTGATCGCCACATACACTCTCTTTCGAGATAATTTTTACATATAAGAAACATGCTATTTATAATGTTTTTATTTCATATATCGTAATTTATTTCAGCTCTGGTCGGACGCAGCTTCGCAAGTTCTATATTCTCTTGGAACGTGTACTGGAGGACTTACAGCTCTCAGCGCTTACAACAAGTACAATCATAACTTTTTCAGGTTAGATCATGTTATGCACGATTAAAACTAATATTGCTGGACATATAATGGAGTAACATTTTTTAGTATATAAAGTATTCCCCATTCGTTTACCAACTAATAAATTATTTTACAGAGACTCTATAATACTGACGGCGGCAAATGCAGGAGCAAGTTTTATTTCAGGACTCGCCATATTTTCCGTACTAGGATTTTTGGCTCACACAAAGGTCAGTGTAAATTGTACTCTCTTTTTTAACAGCGGTTTAGAGCAGTGGGGAAATTCACATAAGTTGCTTAATCTATAAATATGTTTTCATAGTATGAAAAAGAAGGAACCCAATGGATATCGCAATTTGTTACATCACATGTAATATAAGTGAAAAAGGCGAGAAACTGACCTCTAAGCGTATTTCATCTTCTAACCGTTGATACATGATAAAAAAGTGCAAAACACGGGGAGGTACTTTCTATTCCGGCTCTAAGCTTAAAGAAACTTCCTATAGTTTGTGGTGTTTAACTATTCTTCAACATTTATGAGCAGAACACGACCGTCACTGAAGTTGCAGCTTCAGGACCGGGGTTAGTATTTGTTGCATATCCAACAGCTCTCTCTTTGCTACCCCTGCCTCAATTTTGGATTGCTCTATTTTTTCTTGCATTGATATTCTTGGGATATGATAGTATGGTGAGTATACATTATGGTGCCTAATGCTATGTATTTTTTTTGCAACGTTGCTCAAAGTAGTAGTAGCTGTCACAGGGAATCAAATTACAAATTATAGATAAAGGTAATTGCATAATACTAGGCGCTAACATCTCACATTTATTTCCGCTGACACTTCTTTTGTGTCATAGATGATGTTACTTCACGTAATTCAAGTCATTGCTCACAGAGAAGAAGCTTGTTTTAAAAGAATTCTATAAATCGTAGTTCTAGTAATTCCGAACACTTCTATTTGATTTGTGTCTGTTTTCTGTAGTGCATATAGGTTGTCATAGATTCAGACGCTTATTCATACCCATCTCTCACAATCTCACTTTGAAACGTTTTATCACTTTACAGTTCGTATATCAAGAAACATTCATGGCGTGTTTGAGAGACATTTCCCCAAAATTGTTCAAAAAGAAATATTCGAATGAGGTTCTAATCGCAATCGTAGTCGTTATAATGTATCTTGCTGGACTGCCTATGACAACACGGGTATATATTATAACCTAATGTAATAATTGTTTATAAAATTGCAATATATATATTCACACAAGCAGTAGAGATTACATTACTTTCAAATTTATTGGACACAAAATGTACATATAGATTCTTTCGTTAAATTGTTGTCGTTGTTGAGATGACATTTAGTGTTATTTTTTTTCTGAAAGTGAACTCTAAATTGTTTTCAAGTTTCCAGTATATATTTCAGGGCGATTCTTCCCAACAAAAACGATGCTCACTGCCTATCTGCAGTCTTACCAATATGTGCATCGCTACACATTGGGAAGTGATTAGCAATTTGAAGTTTTTGAATGATCAGATAAAGTATATCGCATAGGCTGGTTATCGCATGGTTATTAGACTTTGGTGTCCATATATTTGAGCATTCCTCAAAAATATTCATACAATCATTTTCTGAATATAGCAATAATTTATAGTACAGTTTATTTTCAATCTCAATTGCCGCAAATATTTACATATACGAACAAACTCGACTTGTTTCTATGGTAACAAATCAAAAATGACAATTAGGATACTTTCAACCATTTAGAAATATAATGCGTCATTTTTAATTATTGATGTGTAATGGAACAAAAATTGTCATGGATCTAGGGAGGAAAATATGTTTTGAACATATTCAACTCGTACTCGGTTAGTGGATGGTGCTTGTATTTCATGGCATTCACTGAGATGATCACTATCGGTTGGCTATATGGAGGAGACAAAATGCTTGATGATATAAATCTCATGATCGGATATAACGTGCCTCGACTGTGGATGAAAATTTCTTGGAAATACATCGGACCAATTGCAAGTTTGGTAAGTAATCAGTAATCATTAGTTTATTTGTAAGTGCACTCACTTCATACAGAATGTCAAAAAATCACAAAACTGGTTATCGAGCAACGACACATGATGTAGCCTAACAGTAATTAATAAAAAAAATAATACAACTTAAGTTGAGCAGTAAATTGTAGGGAAAAAAACATCTGGTCGACCTAATATAACCAGAAGTCGCTCATTTCATAAAAAGCATCAATTCACCATAAGAAAACCACTCCAAGCAGTGACCATGGAAACAGCGGGACGGGACTTCAAATGAAGCCTTCCCATTAGTAGCTGTAGAAGACCAGCTTTAAAGGAGCCATCTTCAATTATAAGTTGGGGTAGCATTGCGGGTTAAAATAAAAAAAAAATTTCAGTGACAGATCGTCGGAACGTTAATTACTTTTTTGCGGCCCATCAGTAAGTATAAATGTGGAAACGTCATAAAAATAAATATCAAAATATTGAAAGTGATGAAGCTTCGGGATAAAGTATAAAAACACCTACATCTATTTTCAAAACCTTCTGTCTGAATATTCAGAATGTAGTGTAGGTGCCTCAGTGTTCTATTAGACAGTTTGTTTAAATTCAGTACATTTTTTCCAGATATTGATGATCAATTCTCTGGTATCATACCAACCTCTCAAATACGACCAAAACTATGTATATCCGGTTTGGACAAACGTATTGGGATGGATGACTGCACTCAATTCCATATTGTGCGTTCCGATTCTGGCTATTTTGATGCTCTGGAAAGCAAAAGGAGACTCTTTGCTGGATGTAAGCTTTTGTGAACTGTTTGAGCACCAATGGGTTGTATTGTCTTGCATGCAAACGACAATTTTACCAATAATACATTTCAGTAATTCTTGTCAGCAGGTTGTGTATTCTAATTGTCTTTTTTAGGTTTTGTTGCACGATGAGACAAGATCGTCTTTTCAAAGTCAAGCCTTAATGTCGGATAAGAATTTTTGTAGTCAAAATTTTGTGATATTGGCTTGAGACCCGATTGTGGTTTTTGATATACTGGAAGTTGAGAAACTTTCCACAGCAACTTCGGTTGTCTGTAAGTTTACATCCTGAACCATGCGCTGAAATAGTATGTCTTTAATTCTATATGACCATGTTTACAAACGAAATTAAAATAAAATTTTTGTTTATAGATAACAGCCTAATCCTTCTTTCTTCCTTTTAGAAACTTCGTTCGACTATTGTGCCAAAGCAATTTCATAGCAGACGACCGGTTTCCATCGACGAAGAACCTGAACAGAAAGAATCTCTCAATTTCTCTTGTCAGAAAAACGATGGGAATGTTTGAGTTGTATTTAATGACTCATTTATTTACGTATAATAATTCAATATTACCTCTCTTTAAATTTGAGCATACCGATTATATATATATCAATGTAATATAGCGTAACTTTATCCGTGAATGGTGTTAATAAACCCTCTTTAGGTTAGAAAATTTTCCTGGATAAGTCCTGGTTTACCCGCTCCACTCTGAGCTGACTCCAGCTTCGACTCTTGGTTTACTAAAATTTGAACTTCGATTCCCGACTCCAAGTTGAAGGAATTTTCGATTCCAAATCCAATATCCATGAAAACGTGTAGAGCTACCCTTTTTTTATGTTGTACGTACAATTGGCTGTTCTAGAAGCGGATTAACAATTAGTAATTTTTAATGCCCGCTGTTTCAGGCAAGAGTCCATGGTTCGCATACTGGATTGGACCATTTCATTTTTTTCAAAAATTCATTCTCGCATCTCAACCGAATGTTTTACTATAGTGATACACATGTACAGCCAATAAACTAAATATAATGCTGGCTAGCATGCATATACAGCCAACCCAACATGCACATACAGCCATTTAAGTGCTGTACCCAACAATTAATCAATTATATATATATGCAATCCATTGCTATGCCTCAACATGTTTGGCGTCCAATGTAGTTGTTGAATCATTCTCTGCCTGTCATCTGACCATTGGTAGTAAACCAGTGACTGAATATTTTAATAAGTGTTTATTTCCAGCTACCAATGCCCACGTTAAATGTCGTTCCACCGTATAGCCGGGGTGGTTTTGTTTAGGATATTGCTCAGCTCTCTGGCAAAATGTGTTATTCAAAGTGGCCCAAGTGGACTAATAGTTATTAGTATGTGATAAATTAATTAATTTGATAAAGATAACCTTCGGTGGCCAAAGTGTAAAGTAGTGTATTAAAACGTTATCGAGATATCTAATGTTCGATGTGTTTCCGGCATTGCTCAGCGATCAACTTTACACGTTACATTCGCGTAACGTTACGTTATAGATCCAAGTTATTCAAGGCGGAAAAGAACGTAACAGCTAAGTTATTTACATCTAACAGCTAATCGCTCTTATCTTGAAGAATAAGTGGCGTTGCTTTACCACCGTCTCAGACTTTGCTTTTTAATCTCATTCCACGATTGTTAGAAACAAATATGCGACATGGATCAATCATATTTTAAATCTGTTGATTTTCATCTTGGAGTTTATTAACATCATTTAGTTAACGTCATTATGAATAGATCACCTTGTCTACGAACTAATCTATAATAAATGATATTCATGCTGATTAGTTTATTCGCCTGCAAACGCTAATTAAATGGAATGATTATTTTTAGCATTATACAAGGGAGACGATAACTTGGGCGACATGGCGTCAGTTCTCAATTGAACTGACGTCTGTTTTTCGTTATTATTCAAAGTGCTAATGCACGTGAGTGTGTCGTCCATGACTACAAAATACAGATTAAGCAGCGCAAGCCCGGCACTGAAATGCATGACATAAACCACGACAATATAAAATATGCAGAGGGAAGATATGATGAGAGTATGGAGTTGAAGAGAGAAAATGTATGACTGTATTTCCAGAATTTTTTGTTTTGAGTTGAGAGAATTCTATAACTACATCTAATTATTTCAACTCGATGAAAATTAAAAAAAGTTCAATATATATAAATTCTAATCACAGAAATCAGAGTACTTTGATTTTTTACCCACGTGCAAGCGCGAGTATGCGTAGATATATGGAACCGCACTATAACTTCAATTACTCGCGTTGCGGGTTAAATATCTCGGATTCGCCAATAATTCGTAATTATTTCCAAAACATTACAAATAGTGCAATCTTTGCAAAAAGTGAAATTTGCTGAAAATCACCAGTGCTTGTTTCCAAATGCTATCGTGCAACTAATTCAATCGCTATGTTTTGTCGAAAAATCGTGTAGATAACCACGGTTGATCGGGCTACCCATTTTAGGGTTACATATCTGATACAGGTTTGAAGTAGAATAGAGGTAAAACAATAGCTATAAGTCTGTGATGAATAAGGGTAGTTTATTTATAGAATGTGTCAAGAAAAGGAACGTATGAAAGAATAGGAATGGTAAATGGCATCTTTTAAATCGTTAGAGTCGTTGTAAACAGATTTACTTTCACAACTTTTCAATTGTGATTACTGCCTTAGATATTTGGGGAGAATGAGAGCTTGGCTGGTCAGTAAACAGGGATAGGGGTCCACAATGAACGTCGTATATTTTGAAAATTCATTTTATTTTTGTATTTGTCTTTTGTTGCGGAAGTGGGTACGGTTGACTCTCATCTTAATATGCGAACAGCCAGATCCAAGTGAGGCCCAGATAAAATGAGATATCACTGACATAAAAGCAATTTACACAAGTAATCTAAAGTCACGAAAAAGTTTAATCTCATCGAATAACCTGATTGTAAAGAATGTTCACCTCAATATGGAGTCTATCTATTTTGAATGCAAACGGATTTGAAAAAAAAATCGGATTAGCACAATTTATTGTATTAGACAACAATGATCAATGACGTATTGTTCGTTCTACTACGGCGATGACTTAAATATGATGATCACTGTTTGTTCAAAACAAAGTCACATCCCGCGCCGATCAAAAATTCCCTTCCGATATTAAGTATGATTCTATAGCAAAATTTTTTTCTTTGCGCTTCCATGTTTGCCAGTTTATTCTTCCTAATTCAAATTTCTGTACTCCGAAGTAAACTGTTTTCGGTTACGTTACATTTTTCAGATGACAGTCCGTCAGGCGTCAATTTAGGTAGCAATTACCATTTCCTATCGCCGTTTAAATGTCAAAAATACATTTCTAACCTTGTGACATCGGAAATCTCGATGGACTATTTACGTAAAAGAGAACAAATTGCTAGGTCGCTTAGCAAGGGAACACTTTTCTTTGTCGGGTTGAGAATAGTAAGTGACATCTGTTGAGATTAGGCAAAGGTGTGAGTCTGAAGGACTTTCAATAATAAGAATCAAGCCTAGATATTGTCTATAGATTTCGATTTCCAATCGGACCAAAGGAATTAGTAAACAAACATTAATGTAATAAAACAAACAGGGGAAATGCATTGACTATATGGCAATATACAACTAATTATATAATAGCATTTTATTATGTTCATAACAGAGTTTTGAATTGAATTCGATTTATTTTTCGTATTCGGATTGGGATTTGAAATATGAAGACAAACTAGAAGCCAGTTCAGGTTACCTGAAGAGATATATTTTTAAATACACTAAAATTAAATCCATCATTTTGATATAACATAAGGTATCGATTGAAAACTTAGCCTAATCTATCGCATTAGATTGCGGGAACTAATCTAAAACTCTTCAGAAAATAAAATGATCATCGAATCAGTTACTTTATACATAGATTTCGGATACACACATAAAAATTGTCAAATAGCAAGCAACACCACGAAAACGAGCCAATACTTACAACAATATCTAGAAATCTGTCTTCTAGGTAAAAATTGGTGTCTATAAAAATTAAATTGTAGCGTCATCATGATTATCTTGTTGATTAGTAAATGTTACGGAAGTAAACAAAAATGTCGATTCTCGAATTTAAATTCAGTTACGATACGCAAATAGAGACTCATTTTCGATGAAGAAGAATTTGTTGTAATACTGAGCAGAGCTGATCATATAATCAAAGAAAGTTTTGATCTTGCTGCTGCGGTTGATGACAGAATTCGCGAAATATTTGGTGATTTGGAAGGACTCTATCATTTCCATGCAAAGTAAAAACCTATTTAGTTGCTGCTCGGAGTCATTGTATGCCTAAAAAATGGTAATAATTTCTGCATTAATAATACAATCAAAATTACGTAAAATAGGGTTAACAACGTATTTTTCATACTAAAATTTTTCCATTCTTTTCGCCCAAATATAGACGTCGTTAGTGCTGGTTTCATTTGCTTGTTTTTGCCCTTTTCTTTCATTTGAGTGTTAAAATCATTAATTTCACATATTGTTTATACAAATGATATTTTTCGCTGAATTCATCTATTTCTCAATAAATCTGAAACCGATTGAACCATCAAATTTGGGAGATGAAAATAAATCGCTCGCTTTTCAAATAAAGGCTTTCTATCTCATTCAGCCGTCTTCTCTCGAGTTCTCTTTTTGTCTCCCCGATTCTAGCCACCTTCCTGATGTTTTTCCAGAATTCGCCAAGCACTTTGAGGTGAATATATATCTTCTTTTCTTCGGCTATTCTGCAGTACTTTCTTATCTTTATCATAATTTTCTTTGTGATTTTTTCTCAATAATTGACCGACAATGCTTAGAACATAACCGATGAACAATTCTGTAGAATAAATAATGAGCCTGCTACCTCTGGTCAACCTTTAGTTCATCTTTGATAGTTGTGTTTTTTACGATCTCATCTTCCATTCCAAAATGCTTTTGCTGACGATCGGACTTTCATTATAACGACGGATACTGGCAAAGGATAAAATATTTTTTAAGAGCTAAAACTGGAGATATCAGACGATCACGATGCAGAAGATTATGCCGTTTGATTCAATCCACACAGTAATCAAGGTAAGATTATTTTCAAGTAAGTCGCTTTTTGCTTCAAACAAGAGACTAGACAAGAAACACTCGGTAGATTGTGGGGAACCATTTTCGCTAATTTTCGTTTTTTTTTTGGACACGAAATGAATCTATGGGTTTGCTTCATTCTTGTTTTTGTTGTTGGGAAAAATCGCTTCTTTTCGTAGCTAATGGATGAATTAATTTTAAATTTTCTGTTCTTAGTAATGATTGAAGCCGTTAGGAGGTTGTTAATTTTTTTTTATTCTCAAACTCTTTTGGGTCTTTTTGAACCCGGTATTTCACCAAAGTGCGCTTTCAATTGATGAATAAACACTTTTTATTTTATAGCGTCTCCTTCATGTTTTTTTTGTATTTGTTTTAAGTAGATCAGATATATTTGCAAACCCAAAAATAATTCTTCCGTGTTGTTCAAAAAAAAAGAATATCATAGCAATGAAGACAAGTGATCATATATTTTCTGTTTACATGAAAATGTTATGCAGTTTGAAAACTTTCGACGCTCTTTGAAATTCTGAAATTATTTTTGTATTGGCAATTCATGCATTTGGAATATCACAATTAGAGTGATAAATCATATTATTTTTACATTAAAAATTAATATTTCCCCTAATTGTATTGTGCCCATATCTATGTACGAGAATGATTTCAACACATAATCACGCCTGTTTTTACGATAGTAGCGCGGTAGACTTGTTCAAAACGTTACAATCTTGTTTTCCTCATTTACTGTATGTAGTAATTTCATAATTATGGAGCATCATATATCGTTTCAGGGGTCTCTCAAGAATGTTGTGTCCCACTCGTACCACGTTTATCTCTACTTGTTCCAATGGTATGAATACTCTGCTGCAAAGGTATTGTATCATCTATTCGCACCCAGAACATAGATTGGATCCAACATCATATGCTTATTTTCATCATTTACTGCACAATGTATATCTAATCTCAGAGATGTGAGATTTGTGTGGAAAATTAAGACAAGTGTGCTGAAAAGCGGGCAAGTAGGACACGACATTTTAGACTCACATTCGTTTTTTTTTCAGTTCAAGATCCTATATCTGTACTCTTTTAATGTATTTCACCCCGCAAGGAGATTTTTCCTCATAAAAAGCAATTTCAAGCGACCCTATTTTGCATTTGTTTCATCTGTACGGCATTTCAAGACCTTAATGATGTCATCCCTCAAAATCGTAAATCTCATATATAATCTGAACTGGCTGATATCGTCAATGCTGATATAATCGTTACATATATTGCATTTTTGTTAACACTCTTCCTCTTGCCTGATTTGAATGTTATTAGCATTATCTCACTTCAAGTATTCTTATATTATTCGTATTAATGTATAACATATGAATATTACTTTGATTTTCGATAATGAAATAAATAGAAAATGTTTTGAATGCTCCGTGCAGTGGTTATTTTCTTGGGTTAAAGTCAATAAAAATTGCCCCGTTGTGGTAAAACGCTTTTTGATATCTGCACCCTAAAAATATATAGGAAATATTTGTACACGAGATACACACACGTAATCGCTGTAGGATGTCAAATAACATCGGCCATTGAAGACCCTGGGGTCATAGGATAGCAATTTAATACATTCAATTCACAAGTTTGATACGTCACTTGTTCCATCATTAATCGTTTATTATCGGAAAGTTTATTATGAATGAGATAACACAGCCACACACTAACAAATTGAAATATGTGAAATAGTGACTCTCTCTGCGATGGTCTGAGAACCGAACAATTGAACTGCTCCGATATCAAAAAAAAAATGGCCATGCATACTCAAAAAATTGATCGGTGTGTTCCCAAGCATCGTATTTCTTTTGTATTTCCGTCAATGGTGACGTTACTATTTGCCAGTCCCAGATTTATTACGAGCTGTCCCGGCGTCCCGCCAGGTAGACTTAAATATCCCGGTCATGTAGCATGTCAGTCATGAACAAACATTTTTTATATAACAATATTACATTTTTTTAACGGAAGCATGCAATTTATCTCTGAGCCACTATTTCGGAGAGAAAGAGAGAACTGGTGTGTTGTTACGTCATAGGTATTAAGCTATATGTTCATTTTGATAATTCAACACACAACGTTAACTGCACTGCCGATAAATCATCAAAATGGCAAATGGAAGCGTAAAAAGACGAAGGGATAATGTTTTTCTTTAACCAATAAAACTAGAAGGAGCTAATACGGGACCGGTATAGGATGTGCGGCTCATGCACTTTAAAACTGAATTCAACATCATGCAGTGGATACTTTACCCGTTTGTGTAGAAAGTCTTGTTGCTAAAATGTATAAATACATTTATATTTACGCCAGGATACGATCAAATGCTGCCTCCGGCATGGTTTCAGTTTTTGCGAGGCACGGTATGAGATGTTGTGATATACTGTCTCGCGAGATAATTTTTGAAGTGTGTTGCAGCCAGGAGGCATATTAGCAATAAAAGGGTTTTAAGGTAATTTGTATAAGAATTGTGTGTAACTAGAAATCCACAATATAACGCCAATTCGGGTGAGTGACTCATATGAAAAAGTTTTGGTCTCGTTGCTTATCATAATGTAGACTTATTTGCTTTGGGTAAAGTATCCGTTACCGATTATGCTGAAATCATAATCGCCTACGCAACGATCATTTATAAAAGGGTTGGATAATGCCCAAAATTATCTGGGGATATTTTGAACATCCGTAGTGTGTATATATATTTATAAATGTTTGTAGTTGGTTTTATGACTTATATGGTATTGAGGTATCGTCTGATACTTCAATGGCGAATATTTGTCATAATACTGGCGTTGATTACACAGGTTTTCAAATACGTCTATTGAATATTTCAAATGTAGCCAGACAGGCAAAATCTTAGATAGACTGCACATATTCCGAGTCTGAGTTGTTTGATTATGATGCTTTTTTCTCTTGCACCACTTCATTTCAATAGTCATTATATAACAATGTTTGGTGAACATGACACCGCATCGTACTCACAGTGATAACTCATCCAATTATGCGTGACATCTTTCGGTAAAACCTATGGAGCTAAATAGAGCGACAACATTCCTATTCAACTATCATTACGTTGCAACATTCACCATAGGGTAGAAGTAATCAATCTGAAAAATAATAGTAAATTAATTTTTCTGTGCCACCACGACTAACGAACGATTCACAAAATGAGAAAACAGAAAAATGCCATCTCAGAGAAGAGAGCAATCACCTGGAAAAAGCAATTTGACTATTTGTTCAGCTTACTGGGACTCCTGATTGGGCTCGGAAATGTATGGAGATTCCCATATCTATGCTACAAGAATGGCGGAGGTATAAATTTTACAGATCTATATAGAATTGTACTATGATACAGAATTATGGTTTTCAATGAAAATTGTCCAATAGTAACAAAAAACCGTTACCAATATCAGTTTCAAATAAAATAACAGAGGATTAATGGAAGTCTTTCTAGAATCTAGATCATTTTGACTTTTTGTGTGTATATTTAACATTAAAAATATATATCATTTTATTTAGGTGCATTTTTGATCGCATACTGGGCGTGTATTCTTGTTATGATTTTTCCTCTGATTACTATGGAAACTGCTCTAGGACAGTTAACTGGTCGGAGCTCTTTTAAAGCCTGGAACATTGTTCCACTAACAAAAGGTATGTAGATACTACAATATTAATGATAGAAAACTGCAAGCTATTTTCTGCAACTTTGTGGCTCGTGTGCAACTAATTTTGTTTACCTCGTTTGTCGCATTCCAAACTTGAAATTGTGAAAATGTGGAATGATATTCCAAGTAAGTTAAAAAGCATGTCTCACTAACTAACTATTCAAAGCAAGAGTAAAAAATTTGTATTGTCAAAATATGCACTTTACATGGAAATTTTTGTTAGCCACCTGTTTTTGTCGTCTTTTTAAAGATCATAAAATTGACACACTAACTTTTGGGTTAATACTAATTTACCGGTGCTAGCAATGAAGAAATGCTCATTCGAAAAAGTTGTATTATTGTGTTAAGTTATGCAGTGACTTTGCAACCCAATGATTGCTGCCCCTAAAATCATTTTACGTAGTTAACAAAGTGGTGAAATGCTTCATTGAATAATGTGTTACGGTCCCCAAGGGGTCTTGTTTGGGCCCGACTCTATTTTAAATTTTCATCAATGATCTTGCACACAGCTCAACATTATTTTCAAAATTGTTCGCTGATGATACCAACTTTCTAGATAGATAGTGATAAGTCTCCCGATGTGCTTCAGTCCAGAGTGAACACTGAAATTGAAAAAGTTGCAAATTGGATGAAACTCAATAAATTAACTTTGAATGTAGACACAAATCAAAAACTATGTTATTAGCTCCACACAAATCCAAGTCACGGACAGCTTTAAAAATTGAGATTGAAAGTACTATTCCTGAACATGTTAGTTCATACAAATATCTCGGCATTCACATTGACAACAAAATGCAGTGGAACATTCGAATAACAAACACTGCTGTTAAATTATCCAAGGCGGTAGGAATGCTATGTCGGCTTAGATGTTATACTTCAATGACTACTTTACGCATGGTATATTACGCCTTGTTTCAGTCTTATTTGCAATATGGTATTGTATTTTGGGTTTCAGCTAACAATACCGTGTTAAATTGCATCCATTAGGTATATCCATTAGGCAAGGTAGGCTAAAGCCTAGGGGCATCAAACATTGATGACATTGACAATCAGTTTTGAACTATTATTCATTTTGAATTTTGAAGGCTTGTTCCAGAATAATGTCAGTTTAAAACCGTATAGATCTATATATTTCATTCAGGTTAATAATTCCAAATATTTACCGTTTGAAAGATTAAAAAATTGAAATACCACGAATAAGTGAATTTGTATAATTGTGAAAAACTCTCCTCTCCTATTCCTTTAATCTTAAGTATGCTAATAAATTAACTGAACGGTTTTCACCGTAATAATGCTTTTATTTTGTAAAAAAGTATATCGATAAATAGTTACATATACTAATTCATTTAAGCTGTTGCATTAACAGACAATTCATTGACGTTTTGCCAAATTATTATGCCGGCAGCATATGCAGCTGCCCGAACAGATTTTGACGTAGTTTCACGGCGATACAAGGAGTATTTCAATAAAAAGTATAGTTTGTGGCGATGCTGACTTGATTCAATCCGAGTCTTGTGTCAACTGCAATTCGATAACATCTTGCAAGACTGAAGTTCAGTGTGCCATTGATATATTTGACAGTTATGTAAATCATGTAGTCATTTAACAATAAATCATTTCACACTTCTTGTTTGATCTTTTACCGCGAAAGTTGCAAGGCGCACATTTCCTATTACGTAATGGTATCTCGCATTTAAACCTTTATTTTCAGGTATTGGATATGCTGTGCTGTTTCTCATGTTCTACTACAATCTATATTACCCAGTTCTTTTGGCATGGTCTCTGCGATGGTTCGTCGCTAGTTTTTCTGCTTCCAAACCATGGACAACATGTAATAATGAATGGAACTCGTTCAATTGTCTGCCTTTGTCCGAGATTGCAATTGACTTCAATGGAGTGAGTCAAACCTAAGTAAACTACTTCTGCCTTTCATATTTGTGGTTCACAAAATTAGAATTTGGAGATTCGATCTAAAAATTAGTGATACATCTACCCACGAGTGATTCTATAGACCAGGTTTGTGCAACTTTCAACACAGAAGAGCCAGATACAAATAACTGGGTGAAACCGCGGGCCGCACTTTTATTTAACATAGGCTTTCCGGTGGTTTCAGGCACAAAAATTCTTGTTTTTGATCTCACGACATGCGTTGTTCGCTTTGCACAATCTAGATTCTAGTTGTTTTGGCATCGGACGTCATAGATGATAATTTGGACTCAAGATAGTACCAGACGAAACTAAATCACTGGTTCTCAACCTTTTACTGACCGCGTACCACTTTACTGTTTTTTACTCTGGCCGTGTACCACTGAAAATGCCCCTTTTTTGGCGCTGAGAACAAGACACGCGCTATGGGAGTATTTTATAATGTGGCACTACATCCTTAGTGACCTAATTCGCAAGACGGACGAAAACAAGCCAATCTCGATTCGTTTGTGGACAATAGCAGGCGAGGGCAATCTCTAAAGACTGGACGGGCCCATAAGACGTTTTCCGACCCTTGACCCCAGAGCAATTAATCCTATACTTTACTATTGCAAAAATAATTATACTTATTTTGAGAGCGTTTTGATGTGTTGGCGCTTATAAGTTGGTTTACGTGTTCGAAAATTCTCATTTTTATTAAAATTATTCAACCATGTGCCGCTTACAGGCACTGTAAATTAGTTTAGATTAATTAGTCTATCGCAGCATTTGCGAAACTCGTTTTTGATTACAGCAACTAAATTAATGCTCCTCTGAAGACATAATGACAATTAAGATATTCAATTTACAACTATTTTTTTTGAAACGCAACTGAAAACTGACAAATAACACGCAAAACTACAAAAACGAGGCAATGTTTACTGATTGTTACTAGTTACGAAAATAAACATAAAAATTGATGCACGGGGAAACATTAATAAAGGCCGTTCAGCGAATACATACAGTATGGAAGATAAAACGTTGCGGCATATTTTGGCCAACTCAAAAGTCAGTCGTTGCAATAATTCAAAGCTGCTCGCGTACCACTTGATCATCTTCCGCGTACCACTAGTCGTACGCGTACCACAGTTTGAGAACCACTGAACTAAATTAAAAACTCTTTTCGCGGGTCGAAAACCATTCGAGCTATCAATTTCCGCGGGCAGCACAATTTTTCTCATTTGGCCCGCGGGTCGAAGGTTGACACCCCTGCCTTAGACCGTTATGGAAGACAACTCTAATGATGTAATAAACTGTCTATCATCCAAAACAAGCAATGCTATTCGTTTCACAACACTGATAAATTAGAATTTGTTGATTTAAAGTTTAAACTCAAGTTCGACTAGACTATCAGCTTTACACTATGAAACAACTTTATTTTGCACTAATCTTTAATATTATATTTCAAAAGAATTCCACTGGCCAGATTTCAACCAACACAAGCTCTGACGTTGTTTACCACAACTTGACATACGTTTCATCTGTAGAAGAATTTTGTGAGTAAGTTGTTTAATTACAAGACATTAGTATTTCTAGGATATCATCAGCTCAAAACTAAATTGCTAGGTTTACAGAAAATATCACCATATCTTTTATGAATTTTTAGGCTTGTAGCATTGCACAATAATACCTGAATTTAATTTTGACTTTCGTTTATTCAGAAACCATATTCTTGATACAACAGCCGACATTAATGATCTTGGAGGAATAAAAACGGAATTACTTATTTGTTTTACTGTTATTTGGATTGGGGCATATTTTGCTATTTGGAAAGGAATAGGGTGGACGAGCAAGGTAGATCTTGGCAATCGAAGCTTGGAATGAGTACACAAACATTTTTAACTGCCGTGTCAATATCGCTAAGTTAAATATCTATGTTCAGTTTTGTTTCTGTATCAAATTTAAATTAAACCAAGTTATGTTGGCAAAATTATTCCCCGTGTCTCACAATTCAAAAATCAATAAATGCCCCTCTTCCTCTTAGAACAAAAATCATATTCCGAATAATAAACACTAGACGGGTGCTCCTCAGTATGACAATTTGCAAAAAAACATAAAGGCTCCGTTAATCGGTAGGCTCAACCTTATTTGATCAATAGGCTAAAATGTTTAAACCTTCAGGCTTGCCATTTACGGTTGATAACAGACCTTAGCTACTGTTTTAAACCTATCACTAAGGATGCTAAGTATGACTACTTACAAGTATTCGATTCCTAAATTTTCGATTTTGATTCCAAATATCGATTCCTCGACATAGCTTCCGAGAAAACATACCCACTTAAACAATACCATATGAAATCGAACAAGAGAGCGATGTTTCAATATATGGACATAGAGACCAAAACTAAAATCGCGCATAAAAAACGTATCTCCTAGAGCCCACAGAAATTTTCGAATTACATAAAATAAACGTAATATTCTTCCAGAAAAAAAATGACAGTTTTTATTGAATTCTAACAACAACAACATAATAACAAAACGATTTTTATGTTCACTTTGAGTCCAAAAAATCGCTGTCGTACCTAACAAAAATCTATTGCAATTTAAAGTTCCATTCGTTCACATGCCTTCCTGTGAGACTCGATTTCAATTTGGAGACAGTAAGCTCCGCTGAGCTAAATGCTCTTTCTGCAGTGGCGGCGCGTCAATAGGGCATTGCCCCGGTTGTTTTTTCGGTATAATAAAAAATATTCGAAAAATACCTCAATATCGGTTGCACAGACTGTCTACACTAGCCATATTCTCCCGACATGGTTCATTTTTCGCTCGCAAAGCCTTCGCCGAACGTCGACGGGGCAACGCCGATTTTGCCCCGGTTGCTCATTGTATATCGTATTCTCTCTTTTATCTTTCCACTCGCCGCGTTTGTCTCGTTTGTTTTCTGTTTCTTTTACTAAATCATCGGGGCCGATCGGGGCTAGCCCCGAAATTATGACGACACAATGCCGACGTTTCTTACAACAACGTGTTGACATACCGCGCATTCCTTCTCGTTCGTTGGTTGCTTGAAGAGTTGATAGTTTCCTCGCCTTCGCTTTTGTCGCTCGTTTCGCTATTTGAATCAGTTAGAGACCGTTAGTCCATTTGCTTTCGATTTTCCACATTCCTTTTGAGCTCCTCACTTCTTTCCGGCTTCGCATTTCTTAGCCTTAGACCTCATAATGAATAAGGTTGATGCACTACTTAGCACTCCGTTTTCGCAGCTGCCGCTGGAACAAAAATTAGAGGTACAACGTCTTGGGCCTTATCAACTAAAAAATTGTTCACTGGAACAATCCCATGACGGAGGAAAGCGTCGGCGTACATTCTGCGCAGAAACTTGGTATAAAAAACTCGAATGGTTGTGTTACAGCGAGGACAAAAATGCACTTTTTTGTTTTATTGCCTACTTTTTGCCACCGCCCGTGACTCACGTTGGTGTAAATTGGTTTTAGAGATCTTAAACATCCTTCCGAGCGTGCCAGGGATCACCAATCTTCTATGGAGCATCTGAACAATGCAGTAAAATACCGAACATTCGGAAATGTTAATATTGCAGCACAGTTGGATGAAGGACGCGCGGTTTCTATTCGTCGGCACATCCAAAACGTTCGAGAAAAACCGCCATGTTCTCGGTCGATTGATAGATGTTTTGAAGTTCATTGGTTGTCACGAGCTGTCCCTCCGTGGGCACGATGAACGGGCTGGCTCTTCTAATAGAGGGGTATTTTTGGATATGGTGGAATACACCGCATCCTAGATACAGTATTGAGAGATCATCTTTGATGCCGCAACTGTTTCGAAAGGGACATCTAAGGATATCCAAAATGATTTGCTCGACTCAATGTATAAAATTTATTTTTACATTTGGCTCTGGAAATTGAGAATTGCCAGTTCCTTCGATTCAGTCTGACGAGACAACTGACATCACGTGCGTTTCCCAACTGGCTGTGATTTTTCGGTTTGTGAACGATGGTAAACCTTACCGAGAGATTTCACAGCTTTGTACCAATGGTTGATCGCACGGCTTGCGGGGATATCGGCTGTACTGAAAGAAGTGTTACAGCCTTACAACGCGAAGTCAAAATTGATAGCTCAAACTTATGACGGCGCGGCAGTCATGAGTGGGTCGAAACATGGTGTTCAAGTTTATATAAAAGAAGATTTTCCTCTTGCGCATTTTTTTACATTGTTATGCACACCAATTTAACCTCGTTATTAAAATATGTGTCTTGATACCCCTCTCGTCCGTATATTTTTTGAAAATGTTTCGGGGTTTTCTTCATTTTTTTCCGTTTCGCCGAAGCGCTCTGACCTCCTTCGCCAGGTATGTAGCCGCCGTCTCCCAGCTTGTGCACCAACACGTTTGCAACTTCCAATCACGCGTGGTGCAGGGCGTGTTCCGAAATTAGGTCTGAGCTCATTGAGTGTTTCAATGGCATTCAGAGCTTTCCGGTTTAGGACGAACGCTCTGTGAGGGAGGCGGCAGGTCTAAAGCGTCTGCTAGAAGATGGTGTGTTTCATTTTTTCTCGCTTTTTTCTCCACAATATTCTATCACGTGGATGTATTATACGCGCATTGCAGTCAAGGCTAATGGATGGAGCGTCTGTACAGTCGTGTATTTCAGACTTCTGCGATGCTGTATCTCGTGTCCGGGAAACAATAAAATACGACGACACATGGAGTGCTTCTTTACGCCGCGGGCAAACAACGCAGCGTTTGATTTTGTCTGCAAAGGAATGCTGTGACATTCTGGTGAATCAAATAGGCGATCGTCTGCGCACTGAACACCTTTGCCGCGTTCTCTTTGATGAACCCCAAAAATTTTTCAAAAATTTGCACGTCAATTTCCCATCCATTTGTTGGCTACTGTCTCCAAATTTTACCCCATGACAAACGTGGGTAAATTGGGAAAATGAATTGCGATGTATATACACCAATCAAACTTTTTTGAACATCACATCAACTTGCGCGCCTCTATGGGTTCCTCATAGATAACACTCTAGTAACTACCTTTGCGGCGTCTGCAAAATTTCTGGACATCATTTGACGACGCCTATTTCTTCCGCCGACGCAGAGCGAACATTCAGCACGCTGAAGCGTATTAAAACGTATCTCAAAACCAATGAAGCAAGATAGATTAAATTCCTGGCTGTTTATCCATTCACAGAGACGTTATTTCTGGGATGCATGACTTTAATCAGCACGTTATTGAGCATTTTGCTTCCAAGAAACCGCGGGCGTGGTTGCTATATGTTCAGCAGTAGAAGTCTAGCAGCATATATATCTATGATGTGAGCGTACGCATGTCCTTCGATCTTTGCATTCCGCTTTCCTTTCTTCATAGTAACGTTTTAAACCTTATTTTAGCGTTTTGTTCTGCTTTTCCCGAAGTTTCTGTAATATTCTATTGTATTTATCTGGGTAAATATTGCCTGTTCCTTTTGGAAAGAGGTTTCAAATAAACCTATGGTCCATTATTTATTAATCCCTGGCTTGGACCGGTTTTTAAAGACACTTTCTTTATCGTTAAAAATTGTCGCTTTTGCCGATTGGTTTTACCGATGGAATGGTTTTTATACCTCCATAAAATGATGGAGGAAACTTACAGCGCTCAGCCTGTCCCCGTAGATGGGGGTGACTTGGTCCCGCAGTAGCTTGCCCCGGTTGTCAAAATGACCACGCGCCGCCACTGTTATTCTGATGCAATGGATGTTGATGAGACACAGAGTTACTTCTGGACGACAACTGCGATGTTTGGATAAGATTTTTTCTTTTTTGTCACCATTGCAACATTCCTTCTTAGATCGCTGATATGCTAAAATTTCTGACTTCCAAATATTGTAATATCTCAGCTGAAGCCTCCATCTCCCTGGTCAATTCACCAATGTTGCCGCCCTTTGCTTCAAACTTGTCAATAACATCATTGATGAGATTTTTAATATATATACTATGCTTAATTTGTTCTATTGAAGAGGTATTTGCTATTCCGGTCTGCCGAATTGCGGTGTAAACATTCTAAACTTAAAAGCAACGGGCGTTTCACTTTTCCTGATGAATCTTGCTTCAAGTAAATAGAAGTATGAAAGCAATAGGTAGGACAAAAAGTATACGAATAAAACGTGGCACATGTCCTTGACCCGCGCAAACGAGCGAGTGGGAGGAGAGTGTAAAAATATAAGGAAGTTTACGCCGGCGTAGCAACTTCACAAAGCGGATTATACATATATGTTTCACAAATCGTTATACTTTGTTTGCAATCCAAGTTTTAACTTTAAGAATCATTTCCAAGTCATCGAAATCGATTCTACTCGAATCGACGAAAAATCGATCTTGGAATCGAATCCGAAGTCGATTCCGCCATCCCTACCCATCACATGTAAGACAAAATACCCAAACAAGACTTATCGATCGAAGGTTATGGGATCCCCTAAACAGTGGTCTTACTCCATAGTGACACCGTGTGTCCCATCACTAATTAATTAATAACTCGCTAATTATAAGACATAATCCATCCAAATCAAGGCATCTGATCCGGGCTATGATGAATGCACATGCAAAATTTGGAGCAGATCGCTTTCGTGAGATATCGCGTGCATCAAACACACAGACAATCAGACAGACAAATACCTATCAACATACTTACCGATCTTAACATCGATAAGTAAAAGTACGATTTTATGATCTGGTTACAGAATTTCTGTGAAGCCTCATGTTTAAAATAATCATACAACTATTTGTTTTTCGGCGTGAAAAAAATGAACAGCTATTTTGCTTGTTTTTATCAAATTAATTCCGGGTATTAACTATATCTATACGAAATGCTGATTAATTTTATTATCTGTCTGTAGGATAAAATTTGTTGGTGATGTAACATATTCATCAATACTTCTAAATATCCTTACATTTCTATTTTATAGATTGTTTACGTTACGGCTACTCTACCCTTGGTTATGATTATCATTGTGTGTATTCGCGGCGTAACTTTGGAAGGAGCGCTGGACGGATTGAAAGTTTATCTCAAACCCGATTTCACCAGCCTAAAAGGATGGAGGTAGACTACTCATTCTCAATTTCTAATTCCCATGACACGACACATATTTGAAGATTCAAATTGCCTTTACTTCGAACTCACTCAAAAAATTAAACATGCGTCTGAGTCGTTTGCAGAAGTTGGTATAATATAATATATAAAATGTCAACTATTGGTATTTAAAAAATTCGAATTTTAATAATGAAAGAAATAATATTTAAAATAAAATAATTGGCGCGTTTTGCAGCTTCGGTCTATGGATGTTTCTTTGATTTATATATTGAAGGGTATACTTGTAAGTTATACATACCATTTGACCGCGCGAAAGCGACAAATGCGTTTCGATCGAGATGACTTTCGTAAACTACTATGTAGCCGGGCTGTAGGCCTATTCCTAAATTCCCTCGGCTGACCAATATGATTGCAAATGCCAATGACTTGCAAATAACAATGTGTTAAATTTACTCCAGTATCGAGTATCTTCAAGTTGATACTTGATCGACGAAAGATAATACAGCAATGCAAATGCATGAATAAGCTACAGCATACTGTTGCATGCTGCAGTAATATTATAATCACGTTAGGTATTGCTTGCTGTATATTTAATGAATTTTTCGGCTATCAACTACAAGTCTACCGTTATAGGGCGAACAAGCTTGATCAACGTTAGACCATGTAAGCAAACGTAGCAATAATAAACAAATAGACATCCACTGACGGCAAAGCTAAGCACAACCTGAAACCACGAACTCACCTCGAGTCTGTCAAGGCCCAAGGGCGTGCAAAATAGCGTGCTCTTGACAGGTGACATCTGTGTGCTGTCATAATCGGAACAGTATTAACTGACCCGTGATATTACTGGAAGATCAATACAGGTAAGATGGTTAATCTTCACATACACTCACTAAAGTTTTGTTTGATGTTGATTCGAGATGACTTTTACATACTCGAGACTCGTCGTTTATAAAGTTTTTATTTCATTTATCGTAATTTGTTTCAGCTCTGGTCGGACGCAGCTTCGCAAGTTCTATATTCTCTCGGAACGTGTACTGGAGGACTTACAGCTCTCAGCGCTTACAACAGATACAATCATAATTTTTTCAGGTCAAATCATCTTAAGCACAATGAAGGCTAATATTACTGGACACTAAGTGTGCATATGAACAGTCTTGCTAAATTGTTGTTTGGGGGGGGGGGGGGTTGTTACGCCGTTCTCCGTAACTAATGGACGAATTCCTCTGAGACTTATAAGAACTGATATTTGGCCGAAGATTTCGCTGTTTTAATTCAATCGAATGAGAACACTTTAATTTTGTCATGCTTAAACGCAGGTCTTTTCATCAACCTCTGTGCTCATGTGCGACTTTCGTGTCCTTGTATTTGGGCATTGCTTCCTTTTTTGACAAATTATAATATATTTCAGCGAATCTAAATTGTTAAGAATTCCACATATAAGCGATCTTATCATAGAGATGCCGATATGAAGATAATGGAGTCGAGAAGTACAAATTACATTATTCGATAAATTAAGAGTATACTTTAAGATTTACTATCTAATAAATTATTTTACAGAGACTCTATAATACTGACGGCAGCAAATGCAGGAGCAAGCTTTATGTCAGGACTTGCCATCTTCTCCGTACTAGGATTTTTGGCTCACATAAAGGTCAGTGTAAATTTTACCATTCTTCTTTTAACAGCGGTTTAGAGCAGTAGGGAAATTTACAAAAGTTTCTTAATCTTCAAATAGATGTTTATATAGTAGGGCGGGGGAAGATAGACACACGGGGTTAGATGGACACTTTTTTTCAAATTGACCTATTGGCGACATCTTATGGGGCTTGATTCTACAAATGCCATTGGTGAGTTCGTTGCTAAAAAGGGAATTCGTTCTAGCCATTTCGGTTTAGCGCTTGGCGTAGTTCGTCAGTTGTGTATCTTTCCACGTGGCTTGTGATTTTGGAAGGGTGAAAAAAGGGCATTTAGTAAGAACACGTTTTTCTTGGAGGCGCTATATGCTCATTTTCAGTCAAGGAACTCGGAATCGCGCCTTTGTTGGTAAGTTTGTACTTATGCACTATGATTTAGGACTAACTGTGCGACTGGTGCCAGCTAGCAACTAACTACAGCCCTCAGCAAGGTATCATGTAGAAAAGGGGGGTTATTATGGGGTAATAATTTTTTTGCGTTTTTTGGTTTTGTTATTCAATCTGATCACTCAAGTCCCTTCTTTGTGATAATATACCTGAAAGTCTTCTCTTTTATTTTGTAATTGCTTTTACTTGTCAAAACACTTTTGGGAGAATTTCAATAATCTTATCAAATTATGGGAGGTGGCCATCTTACCCCAATGTACTGTCATGTTTTTTCCAGATGCAATTTTTTAATGCATGGGGAGAAGGAAATCTAAAAGAATGCCAAGAAAATACCAAAGAATATCAAACAGAGTCTCCTGGTCAGAATCTGACATGAGAATGGCAGTGGAAGCTGTCCAAAAAGGGGAGGGATTGAAGAGTGCAGCACGTACTCATAGCGTTCCCAGAACAACTCTACGGAGGCATGTGTTCAGCTCGGTCAAGAAGATGGTGGCATCAAAACATCTTGGTCCTAGTTCTATACTTCCAAGAAATACAGAAGAAAATCTTGTTAAGCATATTCTAGATTTCGAGAGGAGAGGATTTCCACTAACAGTAAAGGACATAAGGCAATTGGCTTACGAGTTTGCTATACGCAATGGAATCAAAAACAACTTTTCAAAGTCTCTGGAAATGGCCGGTAAAGATTGGTGGGCCTGCTTCAGAACTCGGCACAATGATATTATAACAATAAGAAAACCTCAGCCACTTTCTATTCAGAGAGCAATCCACCTGAACAAACCGATCGTTCAAAGGTATTTTGACATGTTAGAAAGTGTCATGAATGACCTCTGTCTTTTCGATCAGCCCAGCAAAATTTATAACGTTGATGAAACTGGCCTTAGCCTCGTTCCTGGTGTCAAAAATATTGTTGGAGAAAAGGGATCAAAGTCATCAAGCCAAATAACCGCCGGAGAGCGTGGGCTGTCTCAAACTATCGTTGTGGGTGTGAATGCTATTGGAGATTATATCCCTCCAATGGTTATATATAAAGGAAAGAGAGTGAACCCAGCACTGGATCGTGGCTTACCTGCTGGTTCAATAGTGAAGTACAGTGAATCCGGATACATAAATAAAGATTTATTCCTTGCGTGGATGGAACATTTTTGCACAAGCAAGAGAAGTGACTGCGATAAAACACTTCTTGTAGTGGATGGGCATCACTCCCACACTCACAGCCTTGAAGTATTGGAATATGCTAGAAGCCACAATGTTGAGATAGTCAGTATGCCGCCTCATACGAGTCACTATTTACAACCTCTGGACAAAGTACATTTTAAACCACTAAAGGATCATTTCAAAGAAGCAGTTCGAGTTCATCACCGAAACAACCCCGGAGCAGGGATATCCAGAATTGATTTCCCTGCACTCTTCAGCAAGGCTTATTACAAAATTGCCACAGTCGGCAACGCAGTAACATCTTTCCGTGCTACCGGCCTGTATCCACTTGATATTGAGCAGATTCCAGAGCATGCATTCGCGCCTTCTCAGACAACAGCAATAGTGAGATCTGGTGAGTCAGATAATATAACGAATAGAGACTACGACGTACCATCTCATGAGGTTAACACCACGACAGAGGTAGAAAGTGTCACAGGTGAACCATGCTGCTCTCTACCGAATTTAAGTAGAACTTCATCAGGAGTTCAGTTAGCTTCTGAGAAAGTCCGTGATTCTTTGAGGCAGGAAAATAGCAGGGAACCTGATAGCACCAGTTTATCAGATGAATCATTTGAAGATATTTTGCCTCTTCCAGTGGCCACTCAGAGAGCCAAGAAGCAGAGGAAGAAAGCCATTCAGACAGGAATTAGAGTATTAACTAGTGAGAAATATGTAGCCGAACTGTCAGCTCTCGCAGAAACAATGCCATCTAGCTCGTCGAAGAAGGCTACAGCGCTTGTAGAAATAATTTCATCTAGCTCGTCTAAGAAAGTTGCAGCTCCTAGGAGGAAAAAAGAAAATAAACGTAAGAATGAGAGACAAGAAAGAAATTGTTTGAGCAACCTCTGCGCTGTCTGCAACGGCAATTTTTTTGACGACGAAGAGGACGAGGGATGGATTCAGTGCCAGAAATGCCAAAAGTGGCTTCACGATATTTGCGCCGGGGTTTATGGAAAACGTATTGTGTCCTTCCAATGTGATGACTGCTCTGCTTGAAGCTTTTTTTGTATAAATATTTTCTTTCGCATGTACATGTCGATAGCTTTCACGCTATCCTAGGAGTTTTTTTGGTGTTATGTTTGAGAATTTGTGTGAGGGTGTAAGCAAAATAAAATTGTTTCCTGTTTTCCTAGGGGGTGTCTTATCATACTTTCGTGGACGATTCTATGGGCTCACAACTTCAAACATTCATGGGGTAAGATGGACATAAGAGAAATTTTTAGATTGGTCAAAAAAATTGCAAATACATTGTTTATTTTGATATTCTGCTAGGAAACAGAAAGCATTTTCAGTATTTTGATGCGATTTTATCACATGTCCGTCATATCCGACCATATGTCCAACTTCCCCTCAATTTTTTTTTGCATAAAAACGTTTCTGCTGTTGCGATGGTTGGCGACCGGCGGACGCCGGCGTGTGGCTTAAGAGTTTAACCCTTTATGTATGTACTGGCTAAGTTTTAGGAATATTCGAAGAAAGGTTTTCGAAATATAGATAATTTTCAATAAGGGGGGCCATCTTTCCCCGCCCTACTATAATTAGAAAGAAAAAGTACCCAATGGGAAATCGCACTTTGTGACATCACATGTAATATAAGTGAAAATAGCGAGAAGCTGATCTCTAAGCTGGTTTCATTTTTGTTGGACCAGCAATCTGGCCCAAGTTTGTATGCCAATTTTTATCCATGCCATACGACCCAAGGTTTACATAATATATCAATTATTATACATCATTGGAAAGGTCTTTTTGAGCACTATACGCTAGATGTCAATGGAAGACTGTAAACTCTAACGCGTGTTGATGAGGTCTCTCGAAACGTTAGAAGATAACAAAAAAATTTCACCTCTCCCCATTCTGTCCGACTTTCTGTAACGGCAGCTGAGACAAAACCACTCGTTCTTTGCATACTTTCCTGATGTTGTAAAAGGCTCACTCTTTTATACTGGGTAGCATATGAAATGTACTTCAAAATAAGACCTTATCTGACTTTTTGGATTATTGGTTAGCGCGCAACGTCCAGAATTATTGAATTATTTTTCTTGTTGTGCGACGTTTTCTATCGCAGCGGGTTGTACACGCTCGAAATGTAAGCGATTTTTTATCACTTCCAAATGTCATATAGATTTCTTTCGTATATTACTGCGTAGGACATTAGCTTTTCTTCCAATCCCAAGCAAGACTATAACAAACATTCCAGACCTCATGGTTTACACACAGCATTACAAGACGTCGCGCAAATTTTCTTATACGACTTTTGGCAACACCGGGAGATACTTTCTAATCCGGCTTAAAGCTTGAAGAAATATTCTATAGTTCGTGATGTTTGACTATTTTCCAACATTTCTGAGCAGAACACGACTGTCGCTGAAGTTGCAGCTTCAGGACCGGGGTTAGTATTTGTTGCATATCCAACAGCTCTCTCTTTGCTACCCCTGCCTCAATTTTGGATTGCTCTATTTTTTCTCGCATTGATATTCTTGGGATACGATAGTTTGGTGAGTACCTATCTATTGTGTATTATGCTATGTATTGTTTTTTGCAACGTTGCTCAAGGTAGGAGTTGCTCTTTTATAGAAGCAAATTAAAAATTTCTAGATGATAAAGGGAATTGCACGCACCAGCGCGCTTGGAGCCATATGTAGATCTACTGCCTACTGGCACTGCTTTTCTGTTATAGACGATGTTTGTGACTTCAAGTCATTGCTCTTATGGAAAAGGTTGTTTTAGGGGAATTCTACAGAGCGCTTTTTTAGTAATTTCAAAGATATCTATTTAATAATGTCTATTTTCTGTAGTATACATTTGTTGCCAATCTCATATGTCAGAGATTCAGACGCTTACTAATTAATACTCATCTCTCACAATCTCACTCTGAAACATTTTATTATTTTACAGTTTGTCTATCTAGAAACATTCATGGCGTGTTTGAGAGATATTTCCCCAAAATTGTTCCAAAAGAAATATTCAAATGAGGTGCTTATCGCAATCGTAGTCGTTATAATGTATCTTGCCGGACTGCCTATGACAACACGGGTATATATTATAACCTTACGTCATAATTGTTTATAAACTTTCAATATCTAAATTCACAGAAGTAGTGGAGATTACATTATATTTCAAACTCATTGGAAACGAAATGTATATATAGATTATTTTGTTAAATTGTTGTCCTTGTTGAGATGACATTATTATTTTTTTTCGAAACCAAACTCTCAATTATTTTCCAGTACATACTTCAGAATGGTTTAAGTTGCTTGAAAGCTATTGGTTTTATATTTTCACATTTCTATACGATCCTATATAAAACTTGGCATTTCACCCCATTTTTGTTTTTATTTTTACGAATATAGCCTCACTGATCCTCATTCATCATTTGCGGTCTTACTGATTGCGATTTTGATTTGAAGTTTTTGAATGATAAGATAAAGTATGTCACAAAGGCTACCGGTGCCGGGGTTGGTCGTTGGACTTTCGTGTATATATATTTTATCATTCACTGCTCTCTTGTTTGAAACACTATTGTAATTTTGTGAATATAGGGCTAATTTATAATTCATTCACAATCGCTATTGCCGTAAATATAAGTTTATACATACAAACTCGACTGGTTTCTATGTCTAACTGATCGAAAATGGCGACTAGGCAACTTTTAATCGTTTATAGGCATACAGAATTTTTATTCTAACTGATCTGTGATGCGGCATTTTTAATTATTAATGTGTAATAAAACAAAAATTGTCATGGATCTAGGGAGGAAAATATGTTTTGAACATATTCAACTCGTACTCGGTTAGTGGATGGTGCTTGTATTTCATGGCATTCACTGAGATGATCACTATCGGTTGGCTATATGGAGGTGACAAAATGCTTGATGATATAAAACTCATGATCGGATATAACGTGCCTCGACTGTGGATGAAAATTTCTTGGAAGTACATCGGACCAATTGCAAGTTTGGTAAGTAATCAGTAATCATTAGTTTAATTTTTAAGTGCACTCACTTCATACAGAATGTCAAAAAATCACAAAACTGGTTATCGAGCAACGACACTTGTGATGTAGCCTAACAGTACCTAATAAAACAAAAAATAATACAACCTGAGTCGTGCAGTACATTTTAGGAAAAAGTTAACATCTGGTCGACCTGAACATCTCGACCTAATAATCAGAAGTCGCTAATTCCATTAAAAAACGAAGCAACAATGAAATTCACGTAAGAATAACGACTCTAAGCACTGAAAAGAGATAAACCATGAAAACTGCGAGACGGAACATTTGCATTAACTGCAATTTTGTCTCTTCATTATTTGAAGACCTGCTTTAAAGAAGACATCTTTAAGTTGGGGCAGCGTGAGAGCTAAATTAGAAAAAATATTTTATAATAACAGATCGTAAAACGTGAAAATGCTTTTTTTGTGGCCCATCAGTAGGTATAAATGCTGAAACGTAAAAATAAATATTAGAAACTTGGAAGTGATGAAGCTTCGGGATAAAGGTTATAGAAAACATATATATTTTTAGGATCTTTGTTTAAAGATCCGGAATGTTTATGGGTAGTGTAGGTGCGTGCTTCAGTGTTCGCTTAGACAGTTTGTTTAAATTACCGTAAGTACTTTTATTTCAGATATTGATGATCAATTCTCTGGTATCATACCAACCTCTCAAATACGACCAAAACTATGTGTATCCGGTCTGGGCAAACGTATTGGGATGGATGACTGTACTCAATTCCATATTGTGCGTTCCGATCCTGGCTATTTTGGTGCTCTGGAAAGCAAAAGGAGAATCTTTGCTGGATGTAAGCTTGTAGTCAACTTTACCCATAATCCATTTCAGTGATTGTTGTCAGCAAGTTGTGGATTCTGATTCTGGCGTTTTTAGTTCGTGTTGAACCATGAGACAGGGTCCTATTTTCAAAGTCAAGCATTAGTGCCGGAAGAGAACTTCTGGAGTCAAAATTTTGTGATATTGGACTTGAGACCAGATTGTCGGATTTTGATATATTGGAATTTGAGAAACTTTCACAGTTCACAGTTTAAAACATGCTCTGAAATAATATGTCTCTCTCCCTATCTGACCATGTTTACAGACGAATGCAATTATAAAAAAAAAAAAATTGTTTAGAGAGAACTGCTTAATCCTTTTTTCACTTTTAGAAACTTCGTTCGGCTATTGTACCGAAGCAATTTCATAGCAGACGACCGGTTTCCATCGACGAAGAACTTGAACAGAAAGAGTCTCTTAATTTCTCTCTGAAAAACGATGAGCGTGTATGATTCGTATTCAATTAATATAACGAAACATTACCGATAAATGGTGTTAATAAACCCGCTCTAGGTTAGAAGATTTTCAGTTTTAATAATAACCCTGGTTGACCCGCTGACCCGCTCTGAGCTGACTCCGCCTTCGACTCTCAGTTTGCAAATATTTGAACTCCGATTCCCGACTCCAAGTTGAGGGAATTTTCGATTCCAAATCAAATATCCATGAAAACGAGCGAAAATACGATTTTTATTTTGTTGTACAACTAGCTATTCCAAAAGCAGATTAATAATTATCAATTTTTTACTGCATGTAGTTTTTAGTCTGAGTTGATGGTTTGCATACTGCTGTATTTGCGACCGCGGAGATAGATTGGACCATTTTAATTTTTTAAAAATTAATTCTTGCATTTCAACCGAATGGTTTACCAACGTGATACACATATACAAACAATAAAATACAGGTACATACACATACAGTCAATCAAGTGATGTACCCAACAATTATTCGATTTCATATGCATGCAATTAATTGCTATGCTTCAAGATGTTTGGCGTCGGATGTTATTGTTGAATCATTCTCTGCATGTCATCTGAGCATTGGTATAAACAAGTGACCCATGATTTTAATAAGTATTTATTGCTAATTACCAATGCACACGTTAAATTTCGTTTAATTTAGGTACAACCTGTATGTTTTCCTTTGGGATATTGCAAAGCTCTCTGACAAAATGTGTTATTTAAAGTGGCCCAAGTAGACTAACAGTAATTAGTGAGTGATAAATTAATTTATTTGATAAATATAAACCTACTTTCGGGAGGCCAAAGTGTAAAGTAGATGTATTAAATCGCTAGCATACAAGATATCTAATGTTCGATGTGTTTCCGTCATCGTTCAGCGATAAACTCTACACGTAACATTGGCGTCACGTTACATACAGATCCAAGTCATTCAAGCCGGATAAGTACGTGGCATAACTTATAAAGTTATTTACACCTAACAGCTGATCGCTCTTATCTTGGCGTTGCTTGACCACCGTTTGTCAGACTTGGTTTTTTACTTTCATTCCACGATTGATAGACACGAATATGCCTCACGGATCAATCATATTTTAAATCTGTGGATTTTCGTCTTAAGAGTTTATTAACATCATTTAGTTAACGTTATTAAAAATAGATGACCATGGTCTACGAACTAATCTATAATAAATGGTATTCACCAAGATTAGTTTATTTATCTGCAAACGCTAATTAAATGGAATGATTATTTTAAGCATTATACAAAGGGGACGATGACTTGAGCGACATGGCGTCGGTTGTCAATTGAACTGACGTCTGTTTTTCGTTATTATGCAAAGTGCTAATTGCATGAGAGTGTGTGTCGTCAACGACTAGAAAGCATATTATATTAAGCAGCACGATCCCGGCACTGGAATGCATGACATAATCCACGGCATTGTAAAATATGCAGGGGGAAGATATGACGGGCGTATGGACTTAAACATCAATACTCTCTTTAGCGTGCCAGGTCTGAGAAAATATATTACTGTATTTCTAGAATTTTATGTTTTGAGTTGAGGGAATTCTAGAACTATACTGTATTATTGTAACTCGATGAAAATTAAAAATATTTCAAAATATATAAATTCTAATTTTAGAACGTACTTTGATTTTTTACCCGCGTGCAAGTGCAAGTATACGTAGGTATATGGAACCTAACTATAACTTCAATTGCTCACGTTGCGGGTTAAACATCTCGGATTCGCATTCCGGTCCATCAACAGTTTGTTCATTCTAAAATTTCTAGAGATATCTTTGTCCAGTAGTCCCGAGTGTAGCTGACTTCAAATTAATTTTACTTAGTTTGTGAAAATTCTCAGAAGAGAAGAATGTGTCACCAACATAGAAAAAACGTCCATATTTCAATTGTCGTTAATTTTTTCCCCTGTTAGTTAATTAGTTTAGCAGACCAGGAGCGCCAATAATTTGTAATTATTCCTAAAACATACAAAATGAATGTGCCATCTTTGCAAAAAAATAAAATAGGCTGAAAATCGTCCGTGCTTTTATCCGGTTGCTATCATACAATTAATTCAATCACTACTGGGCTTTTGTCCGAAATGCGTATATATGAGCGGTGGATGATTCTCCCCATTAGCGTTACATAGGCTATCTGTTTAAGATGCCACGTTGATTGCAACATGTGAACTTGCAAATCACTTCGACGCGAATTGCAATTCACTGAAAGTAGAGCAACGATCTGAAATGAAACCTGTATGGCATTCAGCTACAAAGCTCTTGTAATATAAAGCGAGTCATAAATATTGCATGCAATTTTTACATTACAAAAACAAGAATCCTAAACCGCTTGTGGACTGGTGTTGAGTGATGTTGGCTATATTTCAAAACAGAATACCGCTAGAAGATTACGACGCCGTTTCTTAGGGAACTTTATTGCAGCGACGATTGGATTTGGCCATTCGAGTTTTTAAAACCTTCGAGAATACATATTTGAAGTATAGAATAGAGGAAAAACAGTAGCTGTGAGTCTGTGATGAATAAGGGGAGTTTATTTATAGATTGTGTCAAGAAAAGGAAACGTGTAAAAGAATAAGGATGGCAAAGGCATATTTTACGTCTTTTCAAATCCTTAGAGTCGTTGTATACAATTTTGATATTTCACTTCGTACAACTTTTCAATTGTGATTACTACCGTAGATATTCGGAGATATCGACATCTTGGTTCGGCATTAATGAGGTATGGAAGGCCACAACAAACGTCTAACATTTTGCAAATTTGGGCTTTTTTCGTATCTGTCGTTTGTTGCGACGGTGGGTACGTACAGTTACTCTTATCTTATCTGCGAACAGCATATCCAAGGAGGCCAGATAAAATGAGATGTCACTGACATAACAGAGATTCACACAAGGGATCTAAAGTCACTATGAAAATTAATCTCGCCGATTAACCTGATAGTTAAGAATATCCACTTAATACGGAATCTATCTATTCAGAATGAGTTTGGAAAATCGGATTAGCGCAATTTATTAGATTGGAGAACAATGATCATTGACGACTTGTTGACCTGGTGTTCTATCTACTACGGCGATGATTTAAATACGATGATAATTGTTTGTTCAGAACAAAGTCACATCCCGCGCCGATTAAAAATTTCATTCCGATATTAAGTATGAGTCTATAGAGAAATTTTTGAAAAGGTAAATTTTTGTCTTTGTGCTTCCATGTTCTCCAGTTCATTTATCATAATTCAAACTTCAGTATTCCGAAGTGGAGGTTACGTTACATTAGCTTAAACGAATCAACGATTTCCCATAGGAATAATAAATGAATTCCGCAGCTCGTCGATGCGTTCGTCAAGCACAATATTTTGTAGTACCCTTTTAGTATTTTTCAGTGACAGTCCGTCAATTTAGGTAGCAATTACCATTTCCTATCGCCGTTTAAATGCCAAAAATACATTTCTAGCCTTGTGACATCGGAAATCTCGAGGGACTATTTACGTAAAAGAGAACAAATTGCTAGGTCGCTTAGCAAGGGAACACTTTTCTTTGTCGGGTTGAGAATAGTAAGTGACATCTGTTGAGATTAGGCAAAGGTGTGAGTCTGAAGGAGGAGAAGTTTCAATAATGGGAATCAAGCCTAGATATTGCATATGGATTTCGATTTTCAGCCGGACCAAAGGAATTAGTAAACAAACATTAACGTATTAAAACAAACAGGGGCAACATATACAAGTGATTATATAACAGCATTTTATGTCCCTAGCGAAGTTTTAATCTGAATTAGATTTATCAGTCGTATTTGGATTGGGATTTAAAATATGAAGGCATTCTAGAAGCTAGCGGAGCTGAAGTTCAGAGAAATGCTATACGACAAATAAAACGCAATGTGGCGTTGTGGTTTTAAACATTCCATTTCAGAAAGCAATTTCCATTAAAAATATTAATTGCGAACGCAACTAGAATAGAATGAAATGGTTTCATTCGTATCGCAAAATTGCGTTTTGGTGCTCTTTTCGTCTAATCATGTTTAACGCAGGTTCTCTTCTTTACCATCAATTTTTAATACTAAGCTTTCATGAGCAAGTGCGTGCATCAAGTTTCATTATTTACAAATTCATTTTAGTTTGTAATTTTTTTTTCCAAAGTTTTATTCAAATTAGTAATTACCTCAGTAAAAACCATAGGAAGAGTAATAAAATAAATTATCATTATTATTGGTAAAACCAACCTTCCATATCAGCTAATAAAAAATCAATATTTATAAATTAACTTTCCGATAAACATAAGTCACATTAAGCCAAGAACATTATGCTGGTGATGGACCATATCTCGAGCGCCCTAAACCTGTATATATATATAGGAGATTTGAAACTATGTCTCGTCTATGTCGTTGTGTGTTCCTCAGTAAGTATATGTAAAACTCAGTCATAATTACTGTGAATCACAGCATCCTGATATTCAAGCATTGGTTACATCATAGTCGATTTTATTCAAGCAGCATTGAATGACTCCTTTTCTTTTTATTCCAAATAACATGGCCATAAATTAATTTTGAGAGTAAATATGGAATGTTTTACGGTATTTTCTCCTGTTTTAGTTTCTTCGAACTCAACATTAATGCTGTATGTGTTTTGTTACCAGCAAAATCGATTTTTAATACAAATTACATTAGGAAAGGGTGCTTTCGCCAGAGTGATATACTATAATCTAATCCTAAGTACACCGTAGTTTATAAACATACGGAATATATAATAGATGCCTCAAAATATCGATATCTTTGGATTCACTCTTAGCTGGTAAAATACAAATACATTAGCAGTAAAGCAACTGAAAGGAGAGTCATTTGAAATTTTGTTTGAGACTGGGTTTTCTGGGAAAATAGTCAGCGGCATAGTAAAAGATAGATAGATATACAAAAAGTATTTAAATATATATAATTCAGGACGAAAAAGTACGTGACCGCTAACTTATGAGGTCATATACATCTAACAGCTGATCGCTCTTATCTTGGACATTATATTTCAATTATATTCTAGACCTGTGGAATTTATTTTAAAAGTTAGTAACATCATTTATTTAAGACCATTAACTAGATCCCCACCACATCTGGTTTAGTTTATTTAAACATAATTGTAAATTTCTGTCGCAGCGTTACTTTCAGACTAAATATACGGTCAAAACCACCGAAAATATGAATTATTGAATACATAACTTATTTGATAAATGATGAAAGCAGCAGAAGTGTTCTGCATTTATTCGATGTTTTCTTAAAAGAAACTCTCGCTTGAGATGAAGCTTCTATTTGTATTCGCAATAAATCGTTGACAGATTATATCCGCTCAAGATGCAAGTTTGTTATGTAATACTTAAAAGTAGGAAAATGAATAAACTTGGGAAAATTGCTAAAAATTCAACTCAAAATTAGCACATACATAAACTGTTATTTAAATTTTTTTTAACAAGAGTATGAATATCCATTTGTTTATTTTATTTCATTTACAAACGTAAATTAGATTGATACACTCTAATTTCGGAGCATTAGTAACAAAATTTTTAACTGAAAAACTTCCAACAAAAATTACAGCTAATTAATATTGAATACCTATAAAAATATTTCGTCGTTTTCAGGTTTGAGATAGGCCTACTACAAAGGTATCGGACAATGTTAGATTAGGTATATATAAATAAAATCTCAACATTGAAATATCAGAAACTTCAGATACAAGCCGAATCAAAGAGTGTCTCAATGGCGTCATCGGACCTGGAAAATGTTGAGGATAATCAAGAACGTGCTATCGTTCCATCGACCATTCAGAATAAACGTGTGTTCAATGTTGTTAATGTCCTTTATATTGATCGGATACGACGACATGAATTCGCAGGTAAACTAGACTTCATAAAGACGTTTTTTGAGTTATTTATGAATATTCGATATTAGTATGAAGACATATATGGTTCACATTTGAAAGGACATAAAATGGTATTTTGATACGCGAATATGATTTATTATTATTTTAAATTATATGAGTAAAGTGTACCCAAAGTATTCATCAGAAGAAAAAAAAATCGATAATAAAGGTATTTGTGAAATGTCTTAGAATATAGCTAATACAAAGTACTGTGTGTTACTACAAAAACTGCCATCTTATTTTACCAAATCTGGCATCGTGTGGACGAACTTTTGCATATATCACCCTCGTCTGCAGTGTACAAGGGTAGTAGCTACTTGTAAGCGTCGACTACTGAATGTGGGAATGTTTGATATTTTTCGATCAGCACCCTCAATTTTGTGAAATGTTTTTGAAAAGATAACAGGGAGCTAAAAACAGGTTATACACAGGGTAAAAAAAATCCTTCAAAAAATTTCCTTCAACATGAGTTTGATTGTGCACAACCATGGTTTCTCCGACAATTCAAATTGCCAGAACGGTATGTCGTACAATCAGTAGGAGAAATTTGGATTCTCCATAGTATCACATTGTCATCGACACCAGTCCTGGTTATCTGGAGTCCTGGTTATCTGGAGAGATACATTTGTAAAACTAGGCAAATGGAAGTGTAAAATATTCTGTACCTAACATAAACTAATTTTTAATAAATAAGTTTTTGCAATACAATGAAGGTGCCTCGGGAAATTTGTCACGAATACAACTTTAATTCAAATTCTAGACGACACGTAAAACGAACTTAAGATATTGTGCATAAAATATCTCGCATTCGAGTCATTTATCTTATGATATCGGGTGTGGTTATGGATAATCACAATATTTTTCAGGTCAATCCTATTAAAATCGACAAAATAAACCTGGAAACTTTTTAGGTTTCTTTTAAATGAATTTGTTATTTTTGCGCCGGAAACGTCGTAGATAGTCTCGTTGGATCTCACATAATCGCATTAATATTTAAAACCCTAAAAGAATTAAGTCAGAAATAAGATCCCCCTCTTACATCTTACGGGTAAGGAGAAAAGATTTGTTCAGGTAAACAATCTCGCTTTGAAGATAAGATACATGAGCCGTATGTTTATTATAAAATTAGGCAAAACCTTAATATAGACCCAAGCACCTACACAGCTATAAAGGGAAAATTTATATTCGAATGTTGTATTTGACTAAAATGTGAAATGCGCTTCCGAATAAGTAACACAAACGCAGTTTTAGCAGTTTGACTTGATATATATATACTGGACGAAACTAGTTTAAAGAAGTATTAGGCCTAACGCAACCCACCCAGGCTATTACTAATCCAATTTCGGAATGTCCTTCTGCTTGTGCTCGTGATATATAGATATAAAGAAAGAGAGGGAGAAAAATATTTAGTATCTTGCATATTTTACCTTTTGATATTCTAATCTATCTTAAGGAAAGGTTAGCATGACAATGATTGATATTGTAATACAGAAAATAAATATTAAAAATTAGAAGAGTTTGAATTATTACACTGACCACGTTACAGTAACTTACATTATAATATATGTGTTTTGTTAGTATGAAAGAATATTAAATAGCGCATCAAGATTTGTTTCTGTTTATTTTTACTTAAATGCCCTATCCGCCATGTGATTAAACTAGAAGTTGAAAAGGTCGACATCACTTGATAGGAAAATTGCAGAAATTCAAGTCATGGGTGTTTCCCCGGCTCTTGGCCCTAGAACCTTTTTTGCGTATACTTTGCAATGGCGAAATTTATTATGGTTGTTTTTAAAAATATTTTTTCGAGTTAGCGCTCCCAAATTGTCTTACATATTCATAAACATCTTTTTGATTCAAATGTGTAACTATCTGCAAAGTTAAAAGTACCGATTAGATAATGTTTTAACCTAGTCCTTGACAGCTATTTCGGTACTAATCTTCAATTACTGCAACTGAGCGAAAACTTTTTGGCCAGATTGAAAAGGGTTATTTATTTAATTTATCCCTATTTTTGGAAATCTAACTAAAAACTGATAAATTACTAAAAAGTCACAAAAACGAGCTAATGTCCTTCGACATTGACAAAAAAGTGTTATGGCGGCTGCTAACACTTTAATTCAATATCTTGCTGATTAGTCACTGTTTCGTGAATAATCAAAAAAGTCTATATCACGTTCATAGTTAAGAGAAAATGACTAATGTAGTAAAATGGCCAAGTTTTCGATTATATCAGTAAGTATTTTTATTCTTGCTCTTGACGAGGGCAGAAATTTAAGACAAATATTGTTCGTTACAAATTCTAAAAGAACAGTCTCAATAGAATCACATTTCGTATATGAAAAGGACGATAATATTTGACAACATGTTGACATCTGTTACGTATACTCTGTTAAAATATAAATCAAGGTTTATTTTGTTACATTCAAAAAACTGAAACTTGAGCCAAAAAATATGTCGTAATTTTCAACGTTCAAATTGCTCTGAAGCCCAAGTTTACTACAACATGACTAAACGTAACAAATGTTAATTGAAATTTGTTCAGAAAATGTAATCACCGCAGATAAACTCACATCTCAGCTTGAGAGTACGAATGTTATGTTATCTGATATAAAACATGAATAATTTGATACGAAAGACCACCTAAAGATATAATCTTTTATCGGTATCATCTGAATACAAATTTGACCCATCTTCAACTGTCGTTAACATTGATAGTCTCTTGGGATGCGAATATTTAAAGCTGTTTATTGTTGATTAATTTTCTAAGATCATGAAATAATTTTGACCCGGTTTAATGGACCTATAATGGAATATTTAATGGGTTAAACCACGATGTTTATATTGAGAAATTTTTCATCATTTAGAGCTGTCGAAAAGCCAGGTGGTAAAATAGTGACTCGTGTTTATAATATAAAAGAAATAGAAATAAAACTGCTATGTTTTCTATCTTACTCATCTGTAACCCCATTTAATGCAACATATTTGATTCTATTTCAAAAAAATTTTTGATGACTTCATTTACCGTGAAAAAAATATAAACAAAATATACTAAAAATTACGAAATATTCACTGTAGTTTCACAGTAAATTCAGAAATGAAAAAAATTCGAAAATAATTTATTGATTAATTATCCATTAAAAAAACTTTAGGTATTAACAGTTCGACAGCGATGTATTTATATTCACTATTTTTTATCAACGCCGAGTGTATGTTCATGGCATATTGATTTTACTATTTGCTAAATAGTTTTATTCTGCTGTTTAAAACGATTCATATGGTTTATACTCCCTTACAATAAAATCTTATTTTTTTTAAATGATGACGCTGCACGTCTTGTTACCTAAGCTTTTCTAATAACTTTTCACATGAAAAATTCTGAAATTGGTCACCATGCCACATCGCACCAACGGGGCTGGCGATCCCAAACTGTCTTGAATGACATAACCCCTGTTCAAGATTCAATATTAAAAATGTTTTTGTACTTCTGTTGCCTTTCTCCGGCGTTTTTTGAAAATTTTCGATTTTGATTTTCTGATGCCGTCTTTTTTCCCGTTCTTATACTCTCCTTTCATGCGTATGTAGTGTAGAATTAGACAGAAATGGATATCGCTGATGCCGCCGAAGTGTGCTTTAGCAATAGAACAGGATAACTAGGGTGCGGTTGGGTATTATATTTTGAGAAAGACATGATTTAGTGTAGGGTTTCTCAAATTGGGCTCCCAGCTCCTAAAAGGAGCTGCAGAGCAATCCTATGGATGCCATGATCAAAAGCCTTCACGGGTAATATTCGCGATGACCACATTATTTTAAAGTAAATTGAGTGCAATTTGTTCAAATGCAAAGTCTTTCTTATTCTGCTTTCGTTTGGTGAATTTTTTATTGTTAAACATGACGCATGAAGTAGCCGACGGAAACACGTGAAAGCTAAACTATGGTATTTTTATAAAAGAGCAGAGGGCACTGGTTCCGTTTAAAAGTATGATAACTACTGTTGGATTAGATATTAAATTGAGATTGATTTAGAGATTTGTTCGTTTAAATTGTTTAGCAGCCACCAAACACACTTAAAATTTTTACAATGCTGCTCTTCATATATGCCTCCCAACAGCCCGCTTCTAACTTGAGATACCGGTAACTTTTTCAGTGCCTCCGTTCTTCAAAGAGCACCTACGAAACGTCTTATATAAGGATGGAAAGGTAGTTCGTTTTCGTTGCAGCGTTGCCGGTTTTCCACCTCCTCAAATTGAGTGGTTTAAAGGACCTGAGAAAATTTTAGAAGCATGTGATGTTGAATTACTGGAAGAATGTATTGGATACAAATACTACGCATCGAACAACAGTGGGAATCTTATGTTAATAATAACTAACATATTAGCAGAAGACTTTGGACCATACACTTGTAAGGTCAGTATTTTGTGAAGATTTACAGAAAGCAATGCGCTTTAAACTTCATTTCTATATGCTATGTTTATTTTTGTGTGTATCTGTCTATGTTTTCTGCTCATATTGTTATTTTCACACATTTGTGTTCCAACGAATAACGAGAAAACTCGAGAACAATTTTACGTGTATATTATGATTTCAGTCTTGGCTAAAGACAAATCAAAGTTGCCCGCGTATAATTAACTATTCGGAACTAGCATTGTTCAGGTTGTTTTACTACAATTGCAGCAGTAAAAAACTTACTATTTACTTAATTATAAGTCATAGTCATATTATATAAGACATATCATAGAATCTGTGCACAGGTCTAAAACTTCTGAATCGGTTTCTGGACTAAAATGCGCTGCTACATTCGAACAGAAAAATCGCTAATTTTAACACTAGCCACTATCTATTTTCCCCCCTCGGTTATGATCTAAGAGGGTTTTGTTAGAAGATGTATAGAAACTATCAAAATAGCTATTCAATAAAAAATCGAAATCGCAGCTTGTCGTCGAAACCTTTAAGATTTAGTTAATGCTGAATGTTCGATTTCACACAATGGCGGAACGCGTACGATAATAATGAATTTAGTTCCATCCGAATACATGGAAGATAGAATCTGGAAAGTAGTAAACTTTGTGGAATAGCATCAACAAGAATAAAATAAGATTCTAATGTTTATTGGAAAAATAAAGAGATTATTCACACGGCGAAATATGAAAGTCCTATAGTTAGATGTACGATGTGTATGCCAACGCCAGGTGGTAAATATCATAACATGCCAGTTTTGTTATATAAACTCGTTGACCAATCAATCCATGCATGTTTATTCCGAACGAGATTTAAACCCGATATTGAAGATAATCAGCTATGCAATGAGAATCATGATTATCATACTCGTCACAAAATCTGGCCTGTCCACCTGGATACCTCGAATTGTTTTTTGTTTATAGACATTGTGATAACAATTTTTGTTTTACAGCTAACAAACACAGTAGGCGAGGCTCGCTCGACAGCAACGTTATATTTGTCATCGACAACCAACAAGCCCGTCAAAAGTAGTAAACGTGAGTAGCTAATTTGCTAAACTCTATGCGATCTAACTCAAAATGTATAATATTTTTCTAGAATTGTATATTATGTTGTATCATATATTTCTAACCACATCATTTTTGCAAAACTTTACGCGACGGATATGGTGATAATATTACTATTGAGAGACGTGGATTATGTGTACTCCAAAATACATTTATTTTACGGTCCGCAAAGACCCGTTCATTTGATTTACCTATCCTGCTGGTCAGCCAGACAATTTACTTCATTTGTGTGGCTGGCGATAAATTTTTCTGTTATGTATGATTTACTGAATGGGCTGTGTTGGTTGCTACCGAAATACTTAACGTTATGAATCATCCTGCGTTTGGTGAGAACACGATAATAACTACCCCTAGCGTGGGTTGGCAGGTACGATTTTTATGAATGGTACAAGTAGTACAGGCGTACAACATATTTGAGAAACCCCATTTATCGTATCGGATTTTGTGTTATAGATTCAAAAAGACGGAAGAAAAAATTAGTAATGTGAGTACAAATATTATTATCCCTCTATATCTTCCGATGGAAAATGGAAGTTCAAAGTTCATTGTGTCTAAGTAACGTTTCATTGTTAATAAAGTGTTAAGACGTACAAAGTGAATTGTTTTAGCGATTACCTTTTTTAAATATTTTAAATTAGGATGCTAGTCTAGAGACAAAACAACAACATCACTCATTTCTGTATCTAAAGTTAATTTTGAATTATAAATCAACTGACATTGGTTATGGTAATGATAATAAGATTGAATTGAATTTTCGGATAGTAATGTGAGCACAGAGAGGGTGTACTTCCTTATAGTGAGTTTATCAGAATGGGCGAATATAATTGTATAAACTTTCAGAGAAGAAAAGATAACTATCCGTGAAAAACGACGATCCCCAATCAAAAATAATTCAACACTTGGAAACTCATACGCGATATCAAACCAAGAAAACAGCGTCGCTATTACACCCATTGTGCAAGACGACGTCATGGCAAACCAAAGAAACAAGACAATCGAAGATATGCTGACAATCATGTTTGCAGTTCCTACTTCATGTGAAACACATGATATAAAAGGTTAAACGTTGGTATATAATAAATAATACTGTTAGGAATAGGATATGGTCCGGCATTAGGACGGTCTTCTCCGTAATACGGATAGACTGCACGCAGTACATGATTTGTGATGCCAATCGGGTGCAAACTATACATAAAACTTATTTTTTCATAACATGTCCAGGTCTCTAAGGTAAATATAAATGATAAAAATGTGCCGGGGCTAAATGAACCACATTTTCAAAGCTGCTCCAATAAACAACTCTTAAATCGAGTACCCACGATAGATGAACTATGCTTTAGAGCAGAGGTCGGCAAACTGCGGCCCGCGAACTAATTTTTTGCGGCCCTCGAACGACCCAACTTTTAATGCATAAAACAAAAATTTATCCGAACTTTAGTGGTAACAAGTGCTTATGTGCTGCGCTTGTTTTGTAATAAATAGCGTCAGTTCTATGTCGTTTACTTGATGAACATCTCCTCGTTGCTTGCAATTAAATGTTGAGTTAATTTTTGAAATTTTTTCTGGGAAACGGAGGGAAGTTTGCGATGAACGTCGAACATTTTAAAGTACTTGGATGGAAAAATATTTTTCGTTCGCTTTCCAAAACCAGTTTGTTTGATATGCCAATTCAGCACCGCAGATATTTGAGGGATTAATTGTTAAACGTCATTACGAAACGTGTCACTGCAAATACGAAATTTAACCCTGGGCGCCACTGCTCATACGTGCGTCAGTGCGAAAGTGTAATGTGCACGTTCGGAAGCATATATTGCCGTGAGAAGCTTCATCTAAAATGTTATACTAAGAATTAATTTTGTTCTCGATTGTCAGATTGTCCGAACTGCGAGGCAACCAAGTTGTCGATTAATTTTAACGCTTTGGCCATACACAGAAACAACATAATCCTTCACTTTGATAATGATAATTAGTAAATAAAAACAATGCATTTTTTGATAATATATTTCAAAAAAGACCACATACACGTCTCCCAATGGCAGGCTTTTACACGGTAATAGAAAGTGCAAGTGCGTCATAGTTTGAAGTTTAATTTGGCATTTGTTCGTAGGCGAAAATAATGCGGCCCGCACGCTACCGAAAATGTGTATATTTGGCCCGCAAGTACATAAAGTTTGCCAACCACTGCTTTAGAGCTTGATAGAATGTGCATAAACTAACTTGTTTAATTGACAACTTGATTTATCTGTTTTGCTTAACAGTGACGTCATCCGAAGTCGGCCCTGACACGTTAAAGGCAATCACACAAGAGCAAAGTAACGATACGAATGATTTGGACGCAACGCCGAGGTACAATTTATAATAATTCGAATGTATAAAGTATGCTTCCTTATTCTAACTATGTTTTTACAACAGTAATCAAGCCCTAACCAATGACAGTCGTCTATGAACAAAAATTTCGTGAAATATAACCTGCACAATTCCAATGAACTTGTTAAATTTTATATATAAAATAGAAAATTTCAATTGGAAGAATTGGAAAGACGAGAGTCTGTAACCAGAGTTTCAAATTCAGACATGGAACTGGAATTGGATATGGAACCGAAGAGCGAAACACAAGATAAGTCTGGTAATATACATTTGCTTAATGATTTCCATATTTTTCATCAAGTGCTTTGGCGCCATCTTACGGTATTTTATATATATTTTCCATTGTGGCCTTCTTGAAATCATGATGTAAAGTTTAATAATGAACATCAAGATTTATACCCACAGCCACGACCTATATTTAAATGTTCATATTTAGATGTAGCCTTCAAGAAATCATAATGTAAAGTTAAATAATGAACATCAAGATTTATACCCACAGCCACGACCTATATTTGGGTGTTCATATCTTTTCTCTCGGCAACGCTCAAGAGGTTTTAGTTGTAAGATGGATACAATATTATAGAAGAAATAGAATAATTCCGGATCATAAGAAACTACCGTTTTTTTTTACAACTGCTTCATATACGGAGCTAGTAACCTTACAAACAATGCTAAATTCCATAGGTCAACGCATTAACCACTCGATCAATAAGCCCATACGTAGTGTCTTTGTCTTTTAATTATGCAATATCTCCCATTAAATTAGATGTGCATTAACGCGTTAGCGACTAGAAAAGGATTGCAAACGAGGTAATATTAGATTTACTCGTTTTGCATTGAACATACAGCAAAATATCAAAGTAAAAACACAAGTCTTGTCTTCGGCTGACATAAATTTTTTATTACTAATTGATTCAGAAACTGTACATACTCCTGATAGCGAAGGCCACATAAAGAACATTGCTGACTGGATTAAATGTGGAGAAACTTCAGATTCAGAATACAGAAGAGGTTCCAGCCCGTATCCAATACCACGATGCCTTACTGAAAATACAGGTAAGCCTTCAAGTGTATCTTAGTATTTTGAAATGGATAAACAGGGACAAAAAAATGCCAGTTGAAAAAAAGTACTTATCGTACATCTATTGGGCAAAATCTGGTAAAATATGTTAAATAAGCATATATATATACAAAATTTCTGAACATTTTTTGCTATTTTTGTAAACTATAATGTTCAATTATTTTTTATGTTACTTCATATAGCGATTGTCAAATTTTATTTGGAAATATTTGTACCCCCGTTTAAGAGAGAATGGTCACAACACAAACCCGTTTTAAACCGATGTCCGTGGTTTTCTATCTTTTTGGAAGAGCGGAACCCCTATGAACATTCCAGATGCTCACGGAACCTCTGTGCAATAGTTTAATTTAATTTGGTGCAAAAACATCATTTGATTATTTAAGTAAAATTGAAATAACCTACTCATGTTCAGGTTTCTTTCATAATTTAAGATACAAACTGTGAAAAAATTACATTTGTTTTCATGAAAAAATAAACGGAAACTTGAGCCTGGTGTTTCTTGCACAGCTCTTCAAGATTGGGTTGTATTTTTGACAGACATACCCGAGGAATTGAAGAAACTATAAATATATAAGCAAACCTAATACTGGCAAAATGATCTTGAAAGTGTAGCAAGTTTAATAATAGTGACAATCTATCGCAGTGTTTCCCAGCCTATGAGTCGCGCGACCCAAAACTGACTTGCCTTCAAATTTTCTTGGGTCGCTTGTTCTTTCAGTAAAAACCTAAAAGTTACTAATTTTATTTCCTAGTGAATTTTATAGTTATTTTATATTCGGTATTGACGTGTTTCTCAATAGTAATTGAATATGAGGGAAGTATCAATTTGTAAAAACTTGGCAGCATTCATTTAGCTAAGTAAACCATGTCAACTCGTTAATGGCAAGCGAGCGCTATCTTCTCACTTTCGGGTAAATTCTGGGGGAATAAATGTTATGTAAAAATGGTTTTTTATATCAGTCATTATGTTTGCAGCCATAAAACTTCTACATACAGTTTATTATTTGAGCTTGTCCTTGGGTCGCGAGATTTTACAAAATTTATTTCAAAAGGTTGGAAACCATTGATCTATGGTATTTGATTATATTTAAACAATATACTTATAATAATATAAACTCTCCAATATGAATGTAAACCACTGTTATATGCTATAATATTCTATCATATATACAAATATTTTCATAAATATTATTTAGTATTTTCCGGGCCTCTATTGAACGACGTAACGCCTAATGTCCAGTCGATAACAGTAATGAAACATATAGTCGAACAATAGAAAAACATTTTCCAGGGAAATGTCTATGACAAGGGGACATGGCATGACAATTTCTTAAAAAATAGAAAGTAATAAATGTCTTCCCATACCCATACGTATCAGTGTCATACAAAGTTAAAAAAAAGGTGTCAATACGTTCACGAGCGGAAAACATTTCCTCTTTTGTACATTGACACCTAAAAAAGTATGTGTGTAATAACACTAATAGGATTTCAATGAAAATATTACGCGATTTCCCTAGAGATCCATGTAACGAAGGTCATAACAAGTGTTGTTCGCATAATAATTCTATATTAGTTTGACAAGCTATAAGTTAATCCTTTTTCGTCATTTTTTCTCAAAATGTCAGTACACTGACCTCTGTATTGAACCCTTAATCGTGATAATAACTTCATTTGAATATTTTAAAATCTCTTTTAATCCGATAACTTGCTGCTTCGTCAAACGATATATATGAAGCTTTAATAATGATAAGGAAGTTTCTGAATTCATTTCCATTTGTTGGACGCGGAGTGTATAAATAGATCGGCTTGCTACAGTTTATTACTTTTTGGTCTTCTTTGTAACCAATTGACAAATAGATTTCAAATTTTCACCACCCAAAAATGGAGTGCGGCATATTCTTCCATGTGGCATTTGGTATATTTCTCCCAATGTTTGGCTAGAATTGGATATTTTGCTGACATTGTGGTGACCGTTTAAACTTCGTTTCAATATTTTCATAGTGCCGTCTTGTTTCATTACCCACTTTTATTCATATTTGCATAAAGATAGAAACCCTAATTCAGCGTTGTGTATCTGTAAGTTCGCAGTGTCTGTGCATATAACGTATGGCGTAGCGAAGAGAAAAGTATATTCGGAATTTAGCATGTTAATTTTGTAAAATGTGTATTCATAGTTTTTTGGGCATCTGATCGTGTGTACAAAATAATCGGTTTATCGAAAAAAAGGTTGCCGTGAATGCTTTGGCAACCTTTTCGATACCCACTTCAATGACATTCGAAATAGCTTCATAATTTCCAGTTGTTCACAATCTTCCTATTATATAAATATTAAATGAGAAACCTGAACTGGTTCGTAAATTAAGAATATATTCATTGAACAAGATAAAAAGAATTACTATAAAACATTATTTTTTAAAAACTTGGCATCACGGGTATTACGGATTGTGTTTAAATCTAAATTGCAAAATGATATTTTGCATTCAGACGATACTTTGAAGACAAATTCTGCTCCGGAATCTGCTGGAAACTCGTTAGATGAAACGTCGGTGGAAAATAACAAAAACGAGTGGTTGACTTCGTGGAGAAGAAAAAGTGGGGCATGGGAGGAAGGTAGCGAAGAGGAAAGCAAGGATACAGTTGGAGGAGGATGTTCTGGATTGTTTTCTACTGGGTAAGGCAGAGAATCATTTCACAAGCATCTCTGTATATACTGTCACATTCATTGGTCGAAATCCGTACAGACAGGGGCTGCGCAATATTCTTTTTAACTATACGAGCATAAGTAAGATACAGTCATTTTATATGAGTTATTTCGCTTAGAACAATACTCTTGACATGCAGTGGTCGATATTGATCCACTGTGAATCTGGGAAATATGAGATCTTTTTGGTTCAGCTTAGCATTTTTGAAAAGGCCAGTATTTTTAACAAATATTCACGAACTCTGAAGACGAGAAGTGTATGATAACTATTCGAAAAGATGCCATAACTCGTTAGTTTAAATATATTTAACAGTGGATTTAACATATTCTATGTAATGAAATATAAAAATATAATTTTGATGATAATCGTTGCTTTATTATAACGGAATATGTTTAAATTATTAAGTTTGAAAATTCAAATATTTTCCTAAACGTTGCCTGATCTGATGCTGAAACTTGAACAATTCTTCGACAGTCGATGCCGTCATTCTTCTAGCAGCAGTGTCGGGACAGGAGTAATTGCAAGATTCGTTCGTGCTATTTCACAAAACGAATATTTCGATCGATTTTTTGATCGATCCACCCGATCGTATTCTCCTTTTGACTACAGTCCACTTGCAGAGTAAGACGATCTGTTGATGAAAACAATCAAAAATCATAAAGTACAATAAGAGCCAAGGCGACTTTGCCCTTTGCCTTATGTACTATTTAAAATTTATGATATAAAAATTGATGGTTTGATTATCTCTGGCATTGGTGCGTTACAAAGCGTTCCAATATTATCATTCGGAATACGATAGAAAAACAAAGAGTAGGACTTAGAAATAAGCACTTGCGCTGAAACAGGATTTTTGATTGTTTTCATTCACAGAATAGCTGTTGTCCGTTTGTCGTTAAATGTCGTGATGTGGCACGTATACAGGCATACGCGTATAATATATATACAAAAAGACAAACGCACATTCTCATATTAGCATCTGGATCAGCAGTATTTGTATTTTTTACCATTTTCACGAGCAAAACCATCTCACGATTGCAATATTCGATTTGCAGGGGCATATTTCAGTTTCGTGAGAATGGAAACAATTACGAAGGTCGAAGTGCATTTGCTGATGTATTTGAAGACGATGTGGCCAATGAATCAAAAAGTCTCGACACAGTTGAAACTGTGAATGGTATTGCAACTTTTTCTGATATTTCTCCGCTCTCCTTGGATTCAGAAACAAACGCTGAAACTATTCATCTAAATCCTGATTTCCATGATGAAGATTCAACACAATATGAAAGTAGATCTACTGAGCAGTCAGATACAAGACGCATTTCGGAGGATATGATAGAAGCGCACGCTTCCGAAGAAACCGAGTGTACGGTACTTGGCGATTTAGAGGTCTGCGACCCCGATTTTCTGTCAAGTATGTTGAGTTTTACCTCTAGATTTCGTCATTTCATAAATATAAAATAAACTGTAAACAAAGATATGACCAGGAATGTGTAACAGAATTTAAATGATTGTGAATGTGGCTGTATTTGTATTTGGCTATAAAAATGACTTCTGATTGTGCAGAACATTTCTGTCGCGAGAATTACTTATCTTGTAAATTAAATAGATCTCTGATACATTTTCCCTTAAGATAATGGAGGAACAATCAATGGAGAGCCAATAGAAAATGAGTCAAAATCTCTTATCAACATCATTGATTACCAAATTGAAAGGAAGAATGAATTTGAAGTCGGTGAAGATGCAGCAAGAGAGCTTGATGAACTCATTGCAAAACTAATTGAGTTTAGTCAGAGAAATTACGTTCTAGTATCCAGTTTGAAAGTTGGTAAGTTGATTTTTAATATTGAGGGGAAAGGGTTGTGAAAACGAAAAAGTTTTCACTTTAGCTTGACGTAACGATTACCTGACAAATTATTGCCAACACTTTTCGTCAATCCTATCCTTATTCAGATTTCTCAAAGGGATTTGTTGTGCATATTTACGATAAATCCATAGCACTCTTCCGTATATTTACCGGTCTTACCGTATATTTGTGGATCATACCAGATCCAGCACCATCTCATTTGCCACGGTGCGTACAGATTTTAGAACGTTTATCTTACACTTTCGCCAATCTCAAATAACTTGTATATGCTCTACAAATGCACAAGTTAAAAATCAGTATAGGTTTCGTAGCAATCGACCCAAAGCTATATTATAATACTAAGTCACGATTATTCAACAATATGCTACATTGACGTTAGGCGTATCTTTTAACTTTATTTCAAATTGCAAAACACTTACATTTTATTCTGCAGCATACAGTTTTGTCGGTTCTGTGTTGATATACCATTGCTCAAAAATAACTTTTAATGAGGAACTTTAGTCAAAAGTCAGAGCATATAGAGTCCAAGAGCATATAGAGCGTTATCCTACGCATGGAAATTTGGATCTAAACGTATGTTACACGACGCGGTATGTACTTAAATCCAAATCGAAAATCCAGCCCATGTTAGAGGGTCCGCACGCAGCAATTTTTGCTTTATGTGGTTATAGTTTCCGAAACGAATTGTTAACCGACAACAACGAGGGGGAGAATTACTCAGTATTTCGATAAGTTGCGTACGATCCAGAAATTAACAAAATGAAAATACTTGATGCTATAGAATATAGATACAGAAAGACCAACTCCGTTCGCCTCAACTCCGATATAGGGACATGACAGAAAAAGATGTTGAAACGACATCGGGTGAAGTAATCACGGTAAAACAGACGATAACTGCTTGATGGCCGATCAAACGCTACTTTCACAATTGGAAAAATATAGTTAACTACAAATTGAACATTTATAACTCATCAAGACAATGATGTTTTTGAAATGAATAGAAGCGACACGGTTACTACTTACAATCCTACTTGTGCGTCGATGCCAGCTTCAATACTCCAGCTATAAAAACAAATATCCGTTACCGAAACTCTAAGCAGCGAAGAGATGACGCTTATAGTACTATGCACGAATAGACGAAGAACCTAAAACAGCGCAAAGCGTAGTAAATAAAATAAATAGAAAATTTTTCCAGCGTCATTTTTTTTAAAATAAAATTTAAAAAATTAAAAATGAAATTGTTCTAAAATTGCCTGTTTGTTCATTCAACTGTTTATTTACAATACATATATAACATGTATACTTAATCGATTTATCACAGGTCCACAATAAATAGGACATGATATTGTCGTCAATAATTCACTTTTCGCGCAATAGCGACCCTATACACTTGGAAATATGGATATGCCCGTCTAATTAGAATATTTTTAGTCTTGGCTACAATAGTTATGTATGAGTACTCACGCAAATTATGAAATACAACTTAAGGCACAACGTAGGCGCGCGTTGCGTCACATTATTACTTTCACGCGAACGACACTGAGTGCTAGTTACAGATATTGAAGAACACTATTCCCACCACTTCACCGAAGGTATATCAAATTGAATAGACATTGCTGATTCCAATCAAAAGATGCCAGTGCTTCTAAGAACACCAATGTATACTAATATTGGTTGATTGTCCAGAACAGTATTCGAAATGGTGGCGTGAAAACGAAACATAAATAAGACCTCTCAAAACGTATTTGCCCAATAAAGTAACGGTTCATTCGGTTTGTTATGAAGGTATGCTAAAAAGTATACGATATAGAAACTAATTTTATCTTGCTTAGCCTGATGATGTTATGTCCTTGATTTAAACAATCATTTACACATCAAGAGCGCGGTGCTAACATAACGGTTCCATTACATTTGAACCCATGACAATTGCACCTATGGGAATTCTTTTTTGCTTTACGGATATTTTAACCCATACTAATCCTAACCCATGGTTTTAGCACCCGCATATAGATTGAACCCGCGGATATACACGTGTTCAAATGTACGTGGGTTCAAATGTACGGTCACCAACATAACTACAACGGAGTTCTTTAAGATATATTTATTCATGGTATAATTTATCAGGACCTTCAAGTCAAAAAAGTCAACATGTCGTTGACCAAGATACTGTTTGTCCCGAAGAAATAACGCAAACAATTGCAAGCAATGAATCTTCCAGTTACATGAGTACCAATGAAATGCAGCATGAGAGAAGAAATTTTCCAATGCACCCGATCGATATGACGGCAAATGATGAAAACGAAGTTAAGCCTCATGCACCAGAATTCGTGATTCCGCTTGAAGTAAGTCGAATTGTATTTAGTTTATGATAGAATGCTATACTTGAACAGCTTTTCATATATGATCAAAACCCAGTTAACTTTTCACTGAAGCAGCTGATACCTTATTTTAATTTACCTAATTTTAAATTTTCAGTACTTAAAAACGTAAGAAGTAGATAGAATGCTATTAAACCATTTTTTTCTTAAATTTCACCCCAAACCGAGCTCGTATGCTGATATTGTGCATTGCGCCACCATGTGTCATTCCGCCGCACAAGTCGCTGAAGCCTTGGGCTCGAATATAGTGGCATCACAAGTTAAAATTCTGCCACCTTATAACCAGATTGGGTTGGCAATTGCGAACGGGAAAGATGTCGGTCCCCTTAAGAATATAGCAGTAGAATCACGAATTTGCATTTCCAATACTAAAAAATTCTTTTGCTTTCTAGAACATGGAAGTCACTTCGGACGAAAACGTCGTACTCAACATTTCTGTTACCGGATATCCGGCACCCATAATAACGTGGTTTAAAGACGGTCTACCACTAGGTAAAAAAGAAGAAAGCGGGATTATACACGACAACTTGAAATATCAGAAAGCAGTTTACATATGTGTTGCTGAAAATACATTAGGAGAATCAAAGACATCAGCAACCATAACAATAAAGCAACTAATTTCCTCAGGTAGTTTTTTATTTCTATCAGATTTTGTCTGTATTTCTCAGTTTACGCCATATACAATGTTTGATCGCACAATAGAAATAACGTGAAATACCTGTTATATTATAGCAATATATATACTAGTAATTGCACGTGAAATTATTCCATAAAGCTTAGAATTGCCTACGGAAAAGGCAATGATTGTTTCTCACCCTGTAGATAATAGGGCTGGGCATTTTGAATCGAGTAGTAAATTATTCGATTCGGTTCAGATTCGAATCGTCGCCGTCTCGTTTTATTCTTGTCCGCAAAATGTCATGGTGAATTCTTCAAATTTTTTGTGAAGCCATCACCCGTCGGGACGTTTCGATAGCTGTTTTTCTCTGTGGCGTGTCTGAAACATGCCCAGACTAGCACCTCTTGTATTTTTAAATTGCAATCCCTACATAAGAGCCTGTTCTTCCTAGTCGAGTTATTGATAAAAAGTATTGCTTATTCGGTGAAACATCTGAGCGAACTGACTGAATGATAGATTCTATTTCCTGTAATTTATTTGTCTAAGGGTCTCATTACAATAGAAAACATCACATACAATTACGTCGTTGTAATAATTCAAATATCTTCCAAGTATATGAAATGCGATTTAATTCGAAAATAATATTCGATTCGATTTTGAAATCATCAGGTCTTCAAAAATGCCCAGCCATATTTGATAGTACAGGTAGAACACTCACAGTTACAACAATTATTTTCACAGTACGTCATCAGTTATTAAAGAATTCAGTAGTCATGCTTGATCAAAAATAATTTTTCGTGAGAGCATTGTAGTGCCTAGTTCGATTACCTGCTAAATTTAATTAACGAACCATATGTTTTTCAACCTAGTTTTCACCGCATATGGTTCAAGTGTTAACGTATTTGTGTACTTTATGTTTAAATGAAAAATTATCTAGTTTTCTTCGGGATTAAGAACAGGTCTAAATAAACTAAGCGACTACTTCTATCGAAAGTTTATAGGGTACTACATAAATAATTTATCTGGTTGTTGTCACAACTGATCTACTGGTACCAACTTCTGTTTCCTCGCATCGCTAAAAGACTGAACGAAACCAGGCTTTTGTTTCAATTTAATTCGCAATCAGCGCAGAATCGTGACTTTGCGTTAGTCAGAACTTTTCCTGTGTGACCAGAGTAATATGGGATTAGCATTTGTGATGCCTGATTTTGCCACATCGACTACAAAGTCGGAGTCATCTATCTCGCGATAAAAACATAATCCTTAACGTGGAACTGCAAGATACCTTCACCTGGAGTATACGAATCAGCTCTCTGCTTTGCTTGAACTGCTTGCACCGTCAAGTTAGCCGAAATCAAAAACAATTTACCAATAATGCGTTACTGCTGCATTGGTTGAGTTAATTAGTGCACAGAAATTCTTCGATAATTGGGGAAATAAAGCGTTACCAGAAAGCGTGAGAGAGTGCTGAGTTATTGTAGTGAAAATAATGTGCAAAGAAGAATCAAAATAGTCAGTAATCAGATGCACATTAACAATAATAATGTTTTTCAGCGCAGAGATGTGCAGACAGGTTTAATCAAAATAGGTTTATCCTGATTTGTCATTGATCTTAAATGTTGTATGAATAACCATTGGCTTTGTACGAGAGTCTGTCGGAACTGACTGCTCAGACTGATATTGGCTAGAATCGAATAACAGCGATATCCGAAATAACCAAGAAACGTTGATTATCCACTGTTTAGTTATTTCAAACGCCCAGATAGGCTATTTAGAATAGTATCAACGAAATATCCTTATAAGCTAATTTGAATATTGTGTGTCGTAGTTATTGTTAAATTCATAGCAAATTTCATTGGATTTTCCCATTAGTCATTAGCCATCGTGCATCATACAAAACAATAGACTTAACCTCAACCTGTGCATTACCGAGCCGGAAGATGTAAATTATCGCTTGCACAAGATGAATAAGCGGTTTGCACAGCATAACCTCGGACCAAGTCAGATCTATATCAGGCTTGCCACAGAGGATTAGTATTATGTAAATGGCAAATGTATATAAAAATAATTAAATCGACTAGTTCGAATGTGGAATATGATATTTAACGGCAATTTCAAGTAATCCAATCATTTAAACTGCAATTGAAGTATGTTCACGACGTGAATGATGGCGCACGGTCATATACAACAATTATCACTGAGAATAACTTACTTATTCTAAACGTTATACGTATTTGATAGGTGAATTACCATAGTATATACCAGGGATGGTACCATAACATTTGAACCCACGTACATTTGAACCCGTAATTTGAGCCCACGACAATTGCACCTATGGAAATTTGCACCTACGAATATTTGAACCTATACTAACTCTAACCCACGGATTTTAGCATTCGCATATAGATTGAACCCGCGGATATACGGGTGCAAATGTATGAGTTCAAATGTACGTGGGTTCAAATGTGTTGTCACCACCAGGGATACTCAACGATTTTCACTAAAGGTCCGCACACAAAACTTAAAAAGCACCGGGGTCCGGTCACCCAAAAAATAAATTTTAACTATGCAAATAAAATTTCAAATGTATCGTTTGGCGAAGTACAAGAGCAATACTCAATATCGCGATTCGATGCCAGTATGACAAGGCTTCACTTGTGTAGATGAGGTATATATGAACTATTCGCCCCCATAGCACCCGTAACACTAAATATATTTGAGACTGAAAATTTGCAATATATATATTAGTTGCGCATTACATTACGATTTTGAAATGAAAAGGAACGATGTATTTAAAGTCAAGAAGCAGCTGCGGTCCAAGTTTAATACTCGAAAGATCCGCGCGCGATTCGGTCCGCCAGTCGAGTAGCCTCTGTATATACTATATATATAAGTTACAATTTACATCGATTTCTAACTCGAAGTGGCTCCAGCGTTAATCGCGTTCGTAAGTTTTGTTTGTCCCTCACATGGCATTCAGAGTTTAATAGCGTTTGAGATATTACTCCAATTGAATTATGAATTGGAGTTTTCTCTGTCTGTAAAACATAAGGAACCAGGGGCCTGCTTAGGCCACTTCTACCTATGCGGCCACAGTGGGTCCCGCGCCTTGATGGGCTTATTAAGTTAATCATTTTAAATGATGCTCGCGTGGGTCAGCACGTTAATTCTGTATCCGATTAATGACCATAAAATGGCCATGTAGACTTTTCAGGATATATCAACAAGGAACATAATATGCGTATTAGATAATTTACCGTCGTTAGACATATATAGACTATGAATATGTCGTCTAACATGAAATTCAGCACATTTTATGTTGACTACTTCATTTGTTACGCATAGGTCAAAAATGTCACTCATAATAATTTACAGTGTAAGCAACGAACCTTAGGCAATTTCCTATTTTGAACGTTCGCGGGGGTGTTTTTGTGTGTGTGTGTCGGGGGGGGGGGGGGTTGCTTTGTACTAAAGATCCCAATTTCATTTACTATATTAAGTAATCATTACAACATATTTCATTTCTTTCTTAAAAAATTTAACGGATATTTAGAAAATGTTTTTCACATGAAAAGACAAAAACACAGTGCCAAATAAAATATCCAACTAACGTCAATCGCGTCGCAATCAAAATAAGTTTGTTTCAATTTTTCCGCAGCTGCAAACAACTCTCGAAATGGTTTATAATGACACGTTTTAACACCCGTAATCTTTGCAGTAAATTAGAACGTTCCATGGCGTTTACTGCATTTTTGCCATTGTTTCATTTTTCAAATATTTTGTTGCTTTATTATTCTTTTTCCCACGTGTTGACTCTTAAAATTTAAGGGTCAGCAGCGTTCAACCATGATCAGTAACATAAACTTGGATTCAATCGCTCGCCAAAGATAACCTGAGATTTTGTAAGCGCTGAGCAGAATTTGCTGTTATTATAACACTTAGATGTCAACCTATAGTTGAAATAGCGCTTACCGGCATTATTCATACAATACTATATATATATATATTGAGTTTGGTCCCAATTGTGGTGCCACTTTAACGAACGAGCTGTATGTGAGACTGCACGACAAGCGCCACAGTTGTAATCTTACGTTACTGAGGATTTCTGAAATACATCCTTCTCAAGGCTGGACAAAGGTCAGGAATGTCCGAAAAACAAAATCCGTTATAAGAGCCCGTGGAATACTACACCAAAGTTAGGTTTTGCAAACGAGAAAAGATTTGTATTTTAATCCAGTATATTTGTAACTTTTATGATATTTTAAATTGGTCTTGTAAGTCCGTTCCAAGAGAAAATTGGTAACAAAAACCTTTATTTTCATTTATGTACCCTTGACCAGTGGGATTATTGGGAATTATGAAAAAGCTTCCGGAGGTAATCCTTGAGTATACGGTTTTGCCCTTGTATACAGTATATGCCTGAAGTGGTTCCTTATTCGACAACAGATACTATGTTTAAAGGCGTTTTCAATTCTATATTTTTATGTCGACGAAGGGCGATTCTCTTTAGCGAGCTTTTTGTGCCCTTGCCTTTTATGAGCAACCAGTGCGAAACAATTTGTCTTACTCGGTAAACCAGAACATCCCACATATTGGCACAGCTTACCGTATTCAAATATTTACCTAATCTAATGTATTTTTCTGGAATGCCAATGGTTGACCATTCCACCATAAGCTAAGAAAAGATACATCTGTACGGTCGCTTCGGCTTTACACAGTATATGCGACATCGCAATGCGTCCGTCGTCCAAAACAAATCTATTTATGTCTTGTTATGCAGTGCGCATTGGCAGCTGCTAAAACTCAAGACGGGAATCGTGAAGGGAGTTGAAGACGTGTCTAGCGACGGTAAGCAGCTAGCAGGCTAACATTAGGAGCTGCTGTTTATGTTACCAGGCTATAATAATCAAGCATATAAATACAGTACTTTGATGCACTTTAACAGAAATTATAACCTAGCTGTAAATAGGTAGATTAGTAGGTAGATTACACATCGATAAAGACAAGTCACCTACGGAAACGGATAATTTGATGAAATGGCAAATTGTAATGGTAAGCGCTTTTAATTTAAATTTCGAGTATAATAAAGTCTTTGTAACTTCTTGAGAGCGTTATTTTTGATGAATTTTTCAGACAATTCATCATCGACAGTAAAATCTCGCGACATTGCAGAATTAGAGAAGGTTTACGAAATAACAGAACTCCTTGGAAGGTAGGTTGCATTTTTGTGCCTGGTATATACGTTAGGTTCGAATCAGTGTTTTAACTGCTAATATTTTGTGATTTTCAGCGGAAGATTCGGTACAGTACATACAGCAAAGCAAAAAGATACCGGCAAGGAATTCGCCGCCAAAAACTGCGTTTGCAGACGACCTAGTCAGCGCAAAGATGTTGAACTCGAAATTGAACTGATGAATTTATTAAAACATGACAAACTTGTGCAACTTGTCGATACTTTCGTCAGTAAAAAAGAAGTTGTTTTGATAATGGAATTGTAAGTGGTATTTATTTTTTGCAAACCTCGAGTAACTGTTACAGTAAAGTTATACTTATAACCATTTCATTTTGCTTTGTAGAATTACGGGTGGAGAGCTTTTTGACAGAATTATAGACGAGTCGTTCGATTTGACTGAAGAACTTGCAAGCGGGTACGTGAAGCAAGTTTGCGAAGGTGTTGGATTCATACATTCAAACATGGTGTTGCATTTGGATTTAAAAGTACGTGTTGAATTTTTTTTTTTTTTGAGAATATAACGAAAAAGTAAGGGACTTTCTAAAATATTATCGTATATTTGCAATTTAGCCGGAAAATATTCTTTGTCTTCACCCTCAAAAGTTGGACCAAGTGAAAATAATCGATTTTGGATTTGCTAGAAAGTACACTCCAGGCGCACAACTCAAAGTTATGTTTGGTACCCCAGAATTTGTAGCTCCAGAAGTCGTCAATTTTGATCCACTTGGACCAGGCACAGATATGTGGAGCATCGGCGTAATTACATATGTTTTGTAAGTACTTACAACGTACATGCATGTAATCATGTAGACATATTACGCGTTTAGCATTCTTTAATATCGGAAATTTACAACTTATCTAGTCAATATAATTCATTATTGCATCCTCCTTATAGCTTTATTGCATTTTTGTTATTAGGAAACTTATATATTATATACATATGCTTAAGGACATTGTATTCAAATAAGAAATACGGCCAAGACGAAGCTGAATATACTATGAACATAACGTTTGCATTGAAATACACGCGGCCTTTCAACAGAAACCAAATTAACCATACAAAATAGCCAGTTTATCACGAAAGCCTATTTTTCAGACTGATACTCATTTTCTCATTCAGAAATATTTTTGTTAATACCAAATTTAACATGGGCACTTGATAACACGTTTCACTAATAGTCAATTTTCGGAACACCTTGCTGGCAATACCCCACTTTCCAATGGATGGAAAGCCCACTGTATAGCCGGGATAGTATTTTATCGATAATAATAGAACCGTGAATTGGATGCATGAAGCAAAAGTTACCAAACAGTAGTTTATGAAATAATTTGTTCATAACAGTTATTTGACCGATCTAACTTGTGCTGATTTGTTTTAATTTTCTATCGTATTATTTCACCAAATGAAATATGCTGACGGACATTTTGTTCTCTTCTGCCTTGAAGAGCTTATTTCTAGATTACGACTGCTCAACAACTCGTTCTATGGTTATTTTGGGTTACTTATTAAATGCTGAAAATGTTTTTGTAGATTGTCTGGATTGTCACCATTTATGGGAGAAGATGACCTTGAAACACTCTCCAATGTCACAGGTTGTGAATGGGATTTCGAGGAAGATTGTTTCAAGGATATTTCTGACAACGCAAAAAATTTTATTGAGACTATTCTTCACCCAAAAGAAAAGTACGTTTTGTGGTTTCTCCCTTTTTTATATCTGTTTATATTATATTTATATGACTCACGGTACAATTTTCATGTATTTATGTCAACACAGTATGAGAGCAAGTTGCGTGAAATGTCTTCAACATCCATGGATAAGTGGGGAAGCAATGAAAACTGACAGGAAAATGAGTTCAAAGTTGAGTCTAATAACAGCTGTGGAGCATTTGAGAAAATTTGTGAACCGTAGGAAATGGGCGGTAGGTTTCTGATCAAACATATTTCCCGAAGTCGATTATTCCGCAAAACTCTATTTATTTTTGTTTTATTTTTAACAGCGTTCAATTAATGCCGTCCGGGCCATAAACCGTTTCCAAACTGGCGCAAAAAAGAATGGCGACAATGCAAGTCCAGACAGGAAGAAGGTGCAGCGGACTAGAGAATTAATGGGGAAATGACGTCATAGATGTAATGACATATTATTTATCGTTGGAGCAGGGATCATATGACTACCAATCTCACAGGAGACGTCCGCCTCATTTCTCCAGAGACAACTAGTGACTCATCATGAGTGTTTTTTAAAGCTATACAGAAGTGGTGCAAGCTGTTTCAAGTTTAAGCTTATATGTTTCCATTTTGATTAGCTATTTTTCATAGTTGCTTTCATATCGTTTCATTTAATTTTTACGCATCTGTTTATATCCAGTGTTCCCTTTGAATCTTATCGTTTTCCTATTAAATAAATATAATAAAGTGTTGTTGTTTTTTTAATTTGAATAAATGAAGAAAAATTACCACATTGATGAACATGTCTGCAGAATATATTGTTTTTAGAAATATTGTAGTGAGCACTTTATCTTGGAGATGATTACAGTATACAATAGGAACACTTTTTAATTTGCAGCTGTTCGCTTGATACATAGACAAAGAACTACCGTCAAATGATCAAGTGTGATTCGAAGATGATTTTCCCCGATTTCAACATAGTAGAATTTAATTTTTCACGAGTGCGTGATGACGTAACCTCGATTTCAAATAAACACACAGGTTATGTTCACAACTTTTCCTAGTTGGTGTGCGACTTAAGATCGAGCTAAAAACTATATGTTATTGTAAATGGTTTGAAAAGAATAGGTTTGTACATCATTCAAGTCGATTTGCTCTTTTTTTTTGAGTGTGAAGTAAGGTATAATTAAAACAAATGAGTATAAACGATTCTTTTCTCGCCTGTGTTCTACACGGGGACGTGTGTTTCACAATTTCGAATCGAAGTGATTCGAATCAAGTCGAATCGATTCGAACCAATTTAGAAAAGATTTGATTCCATTTAAAAAACAAATTATTTAGTTAACAGGAGGCGACATTGCACGGCGCAGCGGCATTGTCTCGACATCGAGCGTTTATTACACCTTTCCTATAAGTCGTAGCACCCTGAGGGTTTTTATATTTCATATGGGTCGCAACTTTATAACAACTTGAAATGTTAAGAAATTTTACAAATATATCTTCATATAAATTTTATAAATGTTTTTTAGGGCGCCTATATATTATCATTATAATAAAATATTATTGCATTATTTCTTATTTTGAAAACGTAGGTCTGTGATATTTTCATCGTAATCATTGCTTCTTCTAAAACCATGGCGCAAACGGTACTAACATTTAATTAACGAATATCATTGAGTAAATTTTTAAAGGTTAATATTAGAAGAAACATCCTTGTACATCTTGTACTGTTTCCGAATATAAATTTATGTGAAAAGTAAATATAAAATTGAGTGCACATCCATGTAAATTTTCTCAGTCGTGATATATTAGGTAGTTGATACATCCATTCGAAGTGTTTTCAAATTTCAATATGATTCAAAGTCGATATGAAATTATACTAGATAGAATCAGATTTGAAACTATTCGAATCGGAACATTCTGATTCGGCAATAAAATATTCGAAACTTACGTCGCTAGTGTAGGCCTCGTCCAGGTTTTTATTTTGTTGTTTATTCTTTGCGAATTTCAAACTGAAAAACTGAAATACAAAAACAGTTTCAAGTTTGATACCCTATCGAGATATGCTCATCAGATGTTTATTAAAATACAGAGAGATGATTTGGTGCAATTATGGTAAGATAAGCGAGAAACTTTCCTATGAAAGTCATTCAGAGAATAATCAAAAAATAATCGGTAATTTGATCTGTACCGTTCAACTATATTCTATATACCTGAAATGAAGCGGATTGAGATTATAATATCAAATTGAAGAAATATATAGTTATATATGTTTTATTTTATTGTAAATAAAAGACCGTACATTCCAAATAGTTTGAATTCATTTGTTAATTTTAATTGAATATATACCTTCAATTTTTCATTAAATTCATGACAGATGATGCTAATTCTCCGGAAATCGAACAATCTGCAGGTGATGATGTTGGAGTGAAATTGAGACAAAAACCAACCAATCAGCGTCCACCAGACATACGAAGATCTCAGGTTAGTTGTGACATATTTATCTTCAACTTGTTTATCTGTTAAATGTGCTACATAGTGTATATGCATTATATATATGCTTGCTGCACAATAAAATCAGGTGAGAAAATGCGGCTTGGTGTCTTATGATCGTGTTACCATGTTATATTGTGTATGCATATCAAATTATTTGAAATCTGACAAGAATTTTTCGTTAAATCATATATTTATTTGTTATAATAATTTCCTCATTATAACATGTTGTTGGTTGTCATCAAATCCGCTATTCCGACGCCAAATTACATGGTACTAGCAGTTATATATTATTTGGAGTAATTAATGATGAGGTACATGAAATTGTTCAGAATATTTTACTTATTGCAACTCAGAAAGGTTTCTGCCAAAAATGAATAAGAAGAGAAATAATGCAAAAGTTATGATTTATTATCAATTAAAAATCAACTTTTAAAAATCAGTATTTGTATTTGTGTGTTTCCAAATTAATTCGCGAAAATGGTAGTTATGTTAATTCTATTTTACTCTTTAAATTTTACAAAGTTAAATAATGATAATGTGTTTCAAATTCAATTAAAAGTTTAAATGTTTTATTAAGATTATCTCAGCTTCTCTGGTTGACTACTTACGATGGAAAGCAAAATTAATTCAGCAAGCTAAAATATCGACTGAAAATTTAAAGGCAGAAGAAATAATAGACACCACCTCTTTCGCAGCGTAAGTGAAAAATCATAAATTATGGAAGTTCAATGAACATGATGTATCATTCTTATATACAATGGTTCACAAAATGGTTCATTCCCAAATTTATGAAGATCTCCCTCAATGAGCTATATTAATCAATGTGTAATTGTTGATTTTTTTTTATCTTTCTGGCGGTATTAGGATATAGAAATCATCTGACAGAAATATTTATTGGTATACTTAATGCCATGCCTCTTGGCAATTATTTTGAATAAATTTATCTGAAACCAGGTTATGGCTGCATTTTAATTTGTCAGTTTGCCTACCTACCTAAAATGTACATAGTCAGTACATTTGGAAAAATCAAATATTTACATTTTTTCATTTCGTTAGGTGTTTGGCATCGGGCCCGAACCAAACCATATTTATACTGTAACGTTAACAACTTTGGGTTCGAATTAATAATCGAATCTTATGCCTAAGCAATTTCTGCAAAAATCTATCCTTATTTTAATTTATTTATGTTTCATTGTCGTCAACAACCCTATAACCTAATGGGCATGACATTTTCGTTACAGGTCACGATAATGAGGCTTAACTAGTACACAGCTTATTTATGCCAAAACTGCTAGATACGTGCAAATCGCTCTGTTGCAGAAATAATGGCGTTAGACGCAAAACAACCTTTCGGTCTTCAATGAACTAATTGCCCTAATTATAAATATTAATTAGTTATGTATTGAACATGGGGATATCGCATTTACTACGATTTATCTTTGGCACATGTTCGGCCAGGTAATTAAACTGCAGATCTCTCGCAAAGCTGTGAAGTTGTTTTCACTTTGTTTGCGTAGGATTCCCGCCGGTGTTGACGGATTGACGCGAGATGACGTCACTTTACGTTACGGCTCTATGTTGAGCCTCGCCAGCATATCGACGACTTCTTTTGAAAGTGCGGACGAAGGCGTATTGACATCATCTGATGGTAAGTGTAAAACAAAATTTAATCTTGTATTAATGTTGACTCAATTATCATATAATTCGTTAGAAAATGATACCGGATATCCGGGGTTTGAGATATAGCTTTTTTATTTACCTCTCAGCGGTCTGGGAAGACGTTATGTCAACGGGCGAAGAAGATTTCATGTCTACGGATGAGTTCTTTTTTCCTGAAAGGAAGACAAATAGGTTAGTGACTAATGATATACATCGTTTTTTTTTTCAGTTTGAGCAGAGTAGTAATAAGGGCGTGTTTGCAATAACTTCTTCTAACAAAGTTTTCATGTATTTTTTCAGCATTATAATGTTTACCTAATGTCTTGTATTTCTTGAATATTGTTCATTTTGAAATCTTGTCTTCCAAATTCTGGTCGTACGTACACTTCTAATTTCCATTTGACTATTACTCAAATTTTCATTATTTTATTCAATCCTGGTTTGATCCAACGTTCTACATTGATCTAAATCGAGGTCCTATAGGCGATCGTGTATAAAACAAATGCTCGAATATGAGGAAACGGAGTTCGCATCGATACCGGTACATTAATTTCTGAAAGCATCGAGTTTGCTGAAACATCAGCGGCCAAGCGAAACGATAATTGTCGAGCACTTCCTGATCAATATTGGGTTGAGTAATTTTGATATATAATATTTGGTCGAAGGTATAAGTATTTCCATAACTTTTTATGTGGATAATCTGAATTGTTTATATAAAGTGCGATTTATTTTGTTTTGAAGTGGAAATGCAACTTCGTTCTTTCTCACGACACCTAGCCACGGATGTCAAACTAATGACAGTGATGATGATCTTTTCAATCCACGACCTTTGACCCCAACACCAGCCAGTCCAAATCCTCCACTAATATACGAGATTGCGACTGAGAAAAAATTGCGTCCATTTACAAGGCGGCCAACGGATCCAAGACTACTATCGGTAATGCTGGTAGCTATTAAAAGTTGTGACAATCAGACTTACACACATGCCATGTGCGCCTGTGCATTTTCGTTGAATTCGGTTTTGTAATTAAAATTACTGATTTTATAAAAGCTTTGCAAATGACTGTAGGATATTATTTGTACAAAGAGTTAATTTGAACTAGTAGATAAAATCAAATCGAATAGCATAAATTTGCAATTTCACATTTTCAGCTTGACCTGTCTGAAGAAATGGAAAGCGCAAGGAGTGAAAATGTTACTCCAGTTCCAACTCGGGACGAACAATCAGGATTCAATGAAAGTGCGATGAAGTGCAGATGTCCAAAATTTTTGGTAAATTTAAAAATGACTAAAATACCAAAAAAATTTGTACATGTTGCTGGACGTTTGTCATACTATCATTTTTGTGAGAAATGCGTATACTTCTAACTGAATTTCAATTCTTTAGCTTATTAATATCTGTGTTGTCTATTTGAAAATGGCTGCATTTTCGTATACCACCGGCCCAATTTTACTATTGCCTAACCTTGCTTCAGGTTTTGCTTAAAGATGCGAGGGTGTTACTAGGAGCATCATGCTCATTAACTTGCTGTGTTATTGGCGACCCTGAACCAGATATTGCTTGGTATCGTAACGGTATCAGAATATTGCCGCCAAATCCAAGTTCTGGGAAAACGTCTCCTCATACTTTCATAAGTTCTTTCTCGTCCGTCACTCCACATCAACGTTTCAACATAACATCCGAAGTAAAACGAGAAGTCGGAAAAGATGGAAATGCTTTCGAGTGAGTAATTATATCAATTACATTTTAAGACACGAATTGGACCTATGATCGTCTTGCTAAATAGCTCTTGTTGTTATGAAAAAATCGCTTTTCGGTGCAACAACTGAACAAATCATTTTCGAATTTTCAGAACTCGACGATAAAAAGTTGAAAAGGCCGTTTTATTTTTAAATTTTTTCACCATTCCTGTAAGGACTCGATATTCTAGCCCAAATTTTTTTTTACGCTTTTTAGGCTGGAATATCTTCATACATTTGTAAAATATTGAATTTATACATGTAAACAAACACTGTGAAATAAGCAAAGCTTTCGATCATTTTATTTCGTTTTATAATCTTTGTTCCGTATTCTCTCACACAGCATGTTAGGCTGAACACCGTCTCAAGGCAATTTAGGTTACTGACGTTTGACCATTCGCACGTGTGAAAGATTATCATGGTAGAGTTAATATCAGTGATGAGTACAAGTCCCGAAAACCCGAGTCACGTGTCACCTTCGAATTAAATCCGAGTACTAGCAAACTTCATATTTCGAGTCCCAAGTCGGATAAAGTAACTGCACCGAGTTTCGAGTCAGACTGAGTCAAAATTGTTGCGAATCAATCCTAATCCGAGTCATGGTAGATTTCTTAAACACTAGTGAAATGGAAATTATGAGTCACATTGACACAAAATGACTTGAATCGTAAAAGGGGACTCGGGTTCGAGTCGAGTCTTCCCAGCAATGGATGGAGAGTAAGGCGAACAATGTGACAAATGTAATTGAATCACGAGTTACAAATGGGGGATTTTATCTTTTACAGATACACCTCCCATGAGCTCACAATAAGCGACTGTAGAAACACGGATGCTGGTGAATATTTAGTGACTGCTGTTAACATTTACGGAAATATCATGAGTAAAGCAAGAATTATTATCAAGTCGGAGGTAATTTTCAAGATTTGCTTTTTCGTATATGTTTTCACCATCAAGGTTGCGAGCTTTTTCTATAGTATAATAGATAATTGCCAAATTACCAAGTATATTTGATAAAAACAGCAATGAAATGCTGTTTGCATAAAAAAACTATTATTTTCTACATTTTAGAACAGCCTCGAAGAGTCTGATTCTAATGTTTCTGAATTCACCGCTCCACATTTCGTGGCGACAATCACGGACTCCGATGGAATGATTGGTGAGGAGACGACAATGACCTTTCAACTCTCTGGACAACCGGAACCGGATATTAACATTTTTCATAATAGAGAAGAAGTTGAAGAAGGAAAATTTACACTGAGTACCGACGACGGTGGAACGTAAGTTAGACATTTTGAGTTAATAGAATAAAGTGCATAGGCATCTCTATATCTTTATCGCAATGGAAAAATCTATAATCTTGTAAAAATATTCTAGTGGGTATGAGTGAAACAGTGACCCAATATATATTTAACAGTCCCTTCCGTGGCGGGAGTGTATAGGCTGCTTTTGGACAAAATACAACTATTGTTGTCACTAGGTCTGTCGGTTGGAGAAATGTCTTTTCCGACTCTGATTATCACCTCCGGATTTAGATAGACTTTGACTCCGTTTTTAGCACCCCACTCTGAGTCCAAAACAAAAAAATTACTCCGAATACAGGGAAACTATATGTAGACAAATAAGTTGAACTCAATTCTCTCATTTGTGAGTTTGGAGTTCCGCGGAGTCTAAATATTTCGATCCGGCTCCGACTACAATACTAGCAAAAACGTCAAACCTGGACTCCAGACTATAATTCCTCTCTTAGTATTTTTTTATTTATTCTAGGTTTATTGTATAAATGAGGTCTCTAAACAGACGATGAAATTTGGAACCTAAAGTTGGATATTTTAGCGTTATCGTAATAGTATCAAATATGTCGTGCCCCACTGTTGTCCTACTTTGCCATACTTATGGCACGAGACACCATATATTTTAGTTCACCTTTTAGAGTAGTACTCAGATTTTAATTTCCCCATGATGTGTTCGAATGGGTATAATATGCACCTTTAAAATCGGCGATACTGTGCCGATATATAATTGTCCATACAGGCATTTTTATTTATTAGCAAATCCTATTCAAATCGGTATGGTTTATGAATAAAGTGTTCTTTTGTGATGCACTGTATTTAAGCTTTCCTATGTGAGGTTTAATACCTAACTTTTTAAACCTCCAAATTTCATGCTGTGTGTCACTATTTCTATGATTTCTAATATTCAGCTACATAATAACAATAAAAGACTTGCAACTAGAAGACGAAGGTGAAATTCGTGTTTGTGCGATGAATGTTGTAGGATGTGCAGAATGTTCTGCAGAACTTTTTGTTGACGAGAGAAGCGCAACTCCAACTCCGGGGAAAATAGGGTATGTAAGTTTGTTTAGGTTAAACTTAGCACAGCTGCTGATGACGTTTGTCGAAGGTCTGCGTTCACATCGATTGGGGGTGATGTCAAAAGTTCGTATTGAATCGGATTGTTTAAATTGATTCAAATTGAACATTTAGGGGGTAGTGCACACCTTGCGTTTAAACTCGGGATCTTCAACTTTTGTAAACAAAAATATTAAAGATTTGGATAATTAAAACAAACACAGGATAGGGTATAAAAAATTCAATCTTTATAGGTTTCGGGTATTGTGGTATGTACAAGTTGCTACTAGCGCTATTGTACAGTTTATTTATTTTTAATGTGTGCATATATATTATAGTTATGATGAAAACCTAGAAAAATCAGTATACTACAAAAAAAAATCCTTTCCAAGAACGACAAAATTCCTTTCATGGGGGGGGGGCATTCCCCAACGGTTGGGAAACGTGGCTTTAACGTAAAATTATCAGATGATCGTCATTTAACTTAAAAAAAATGATTTTATAATTCTTAACCTATTTACTTTTCAGATTTTTCCAGTGGCCGGAACATTTAGAAGATGGTGAATATGGGACGCTTAATATCAAGGAGCAACTGGCTATGCAAGTAATTCGAAAGATAATTAAATATTACCGGTATATATCTAGAGAGAATATTACACTCATGACAGTACGTAACAGTACTCAATAATTGACGTGTGGTAGCATTCTAAAATTGCGACATCGCGAATTCAAATTTCGACGTTGTGCAAATTTCGAAATGTTGCAAAAATGTTACGAAAATAATAAACAAATAGGATAAGCCTTTATGAAATTTCCAATTCTTTTATTGTGCACTGAGAAATAATTTTCTGCAAACTGACACAGCCTCTAAAAACCTAATTTTTGTCATTCTAAGACATGCAAATTACGTCAACACGAAATTTTGGCACTGTTTGCATTTGCAGATAAGTTTGTATCATGTTAATTAAAGTGGGTGGATTGGAAATATTACCTACGCAGTTCCAGGCTTCTAACCAATCTAAATTTCACTTCAGTTCCGGTTTAAAAGAAAATTCAATTGTAACTCGGTGACTGGAAGAATTCGACTCACTGGAATAACTAAAACAGCTTGATCAATTGTAAAAAATAAACGGATAGAAAGAACAAAAATAATAGAACATTATTTCTGAAACGTTCATATTTTATTTCTATGTTTCAAGGTGATTACCCCATTTTTCGATGTCGTCACTGATGATGTCACAGTTTCAATCGGTTCAGAAGCATCATTTGCCGTTCGTGTTCTTGCTTGGCCCGCACCTGAAGTTTTTTGGTATAAGGAAGGGAAATTAATATCCGGTGATCGGTTCAGGTACAAAAAACTGTTAGTCTGTTTTAGTTTTCATATTTATAGGTTGAATTGCTGTTAACAGTTGTAAATTTGCTACTTTTGCCTTTTTTTCCATGCTTTTTTGTCTGTTTAACAAGTATTTATTTAGGCTGGAATCACCTGATTTTGGAACTCACGTCTTAACGATAGGAGACGTTGTAGAAAGTGATGCAGGAATATATACTTGTACAGTTAAGAATTGTTCGGGGGATGTTTCATGCAAAGCCGAATTAGTTGTCACTGCAGCGGACGTTACTTCGGATTCGTCTGCAAATGAGTCACTGTCGGAAATTGAACAATGGAACCTGAAAGGTTATTTTATATATTTTTTTTTAAACTTCGAATTGAAGTATTTGTTCAATTTCAAATGTATATAAAAATTGAGTTAGCATCCAAATTGTGAATGAAAATTCATTATTATGTATGTAATCCTCAAAATTGTAATGAAAGAGCATAAATATATGGACACAGAATGGTAACATTACCGCCAAACGTTGCTTGTTGATACTTGATAAAAGGGTATAAAAGCTATTGAGGTAAGACGTAAGGCCCCAGGGCCGCCATAGAAGTCATGAAAGTATTAAAAAAATGAATATTTGATAGTACCGCGTAGAAGATTAGTAAACATATCCAGCATATCCTCTTTCGCCAGCATTGGTATTTAAATTACTTCGGCAATCCATTGATTCAGAATTTGGTTCACTTGTTTTCAGATTATTACAATATATGTCGCGACATTGGCTTTGGGTGTTATTCATTGGTGCGTTTGGTTCAAGATAAACAAACCGAAATTGATGAATATGCTGCAAAATATATACGATGTTCACACACGAAATCGAGGGAAAAGTTGTTATCTGAAATTGAAATCCTGAAAAAGTAAGACAATTAAATTGAACATCAGTTTCTCTATTTCAGAAGCCTCTTGACAGTGTGGAGAAAACACATATATAATTGCGATATATGAATTTTGAAAATTCAAAATTAAAAAAATATTAAAAAAATTAACTGTTCACTAATCTTTGTAGTCTAAAATATATGTTATACATTTGGGTTTTTTCTAGAAAAAATAAAACCTGCTGTAAGGCTTTATATTTTTCATATTTTTGCTTTTGCTTTCATGCGCTATCTACTGTGGTAGTATGAAAACTTAATATTCGACTGCAAATATATCTATCTATATAACATTTATATTTAACATATTAAAGGAGAACTTCACGTTTATTTATCTGTCTATTATATACATTATCTTTCACATTGCAAATCTATCTTAATCAAACTTTTCGTATAGGTCCATTTTGATTTTATTAAATTGTGTCTTGCATTTTACTGTGGTATTGATTCAACAATATTTTTCTCCTTGTGCTTTAGGTTATCTCACAAAAACATTGTAATTTACAAAGAATACTTCGAAACAAAGAAGCATATTGTATTGGTTATGGAATACATCGATATGGAATGGTTTGAGTTTCTTTTAATGAAAGAAAGTGTCTACGAAAGAGAGGTAAATAGCAAAAATATAGCACGGAGAATAGGTCTATTTGTGAGAAGACCTTTTCCGCGAACAAATATATTCGAATAGGATGCTTAAATTTAAATAGGATTTGATAGTTAATCTTTTTAGGTTATGATTAGAATATATTCATGGCAAATTTGGTTATTCGCACCAAAGGTCTTCCCGTAAATGGCACAAACTGGGACGTAGTATATATTTTTACTTTCTTACTAATATATTTTTTTGCAAGATTGCTGCAAACGTCAAGGATATCTGTTGTGGGATAATGTATTTGCACCGGAATCAAGTTGTTCATTTAGATATGAAGCCTGAGAATATTATGATTACGGCTGATGGAAGTACGTTGAAAATTATTGACTTCGGAAGTTCAAAAGAAGTAAAGGTAATAGTAGTCACTTTTTAACGTTTATTTCAAACCCAAAAACATATATATTTATTATTGCTGTTGTTTTTAAACACATAAAAAAACATCGCAGCTTTATCAGTATAAATAAATCAAAATATGGAAAGGCGTATTCTCTTCATCAGATGTCCGTTTTGTCTCTAAATCACTTTCTTCTACTGAGCACCTCCAATAGATTAAATACAGCAATCTTCGAAAGTCTTATTATGTGATTTTTTTAATTAATATATTTTGTGAACGTCATTGTACCATAAATAATTTTTGGGGTTTTCAGTTAACAACCATCTGGCATAAATAATTATTATTTGGAGAGAATTATTGCACGATTGCGTAGAATTCAACACAATAGTATAACACGGGCATTGGCTTATATTTATCACAATTTGTTTTCAGCTCAGAATACATTTGTATTTTAATTTACTGTAAGGTATTTTTTAGAATGACATGAATAATTGATTCTAATTTGTGGACAGAGTGATAAAGAAATAATGTGGAACTATGGAAATCCTGAATTCGTCTCACCAGAAGTAGTCAAATCAATTCCGGTTTCGACAGCCAGTGATATGTGGTCTTTGGGGGTGATCGTTTATGTTGTCATCAGCGGAATATCCCCATTTCTTGGAGAGAGGTATAGTGCTACATTAGCATGGGTCTTTTCTACGCATTTTACTCACAAGAGCCACCGATATTAGAATGTCCAGAATTTTTCTGGTTCGACATTGTCTCACCCTTGGTGAGATGGTGGAAATGGGATTTGAAACCGACATGTGTAACATGCGATGTCAACATAGTTAAGTTCGACGTTCTAAGTAATATATATGCCACGGAGTCTCCCAAAGAATCAGTTTTTAATAGCAGTCTTCCGATGTATTCATCTAGACTCCTAGAGGTTTTGGTATGCATTTGAATTGGGGTTAATAATAAAAAAGTTTTCTATTTAAATTTTCCCAAACCATAGACTGACTATAAGCCACATCGTCAATAATCTAAATTCTAAAACAAACAACCCGAATTTCTATTTTGTCGAAAATTAATTATTTTCTGTTTCAGAAAACCTTCCTACCTAAAAGAATCGCAGATCGTCGTTGCTCTTTTTTCCTTTTTGTAGCTCTCCGCTTTGGTGATTTTATACAGTCTGGGTATTCGTATTTAATGTCTATAAAGTATTGTAAAAAATTCCTATTTCAACTCTTTAGTGACTACGCAACTGTATTGCAAGTAAGAGACGGTAAATGGCATCTAGATTCACGGTGGTTTTCGACAGTTTCTCTGCCTGTTAAAGATTTTATTCAGAAATTGTTGGTTTTGGAACCGACCCAACGTATGTCAGCTACTGAAGCAGCATCACATAATTGGTTGTGTCAACAAGTAAACGATGAAGGTCCTCTTCCCGACGGAAGATTGAAATACTTCATAACTAGGAGAAAATGGCAGGTGATTATACCATAAGATTTTCATATTTATTCCTGGGGAGATGAAAAACGTTAAAGATTGTTAATCACATAGGAAAGTAGGTACCATATACCCCGATTCAAAAATACAACAAAAAGACTTCATGTTCTATGTTTAGAAATTTAACCCATGACTCAACGTTGATACATTAACCTACGATGTCTATCCACCCACTGTAGGCCACCGCCAACGCACAAGCAACAATGGCATGTCTTTGAGGTCCATAAATTACGATTTCATCATGCTCATGGATCGCGTTATTCTCATGGTTGTTTCTAAATCAGACAATCTCTTTGCTGACTTAGCTGAATTTTGTTTTCTCAAGAAAGTATTACTTTTGGTCAAATGGAACGTTAGTGTAACATAATTCTGTTGGTGGACAGCAAGGCTCTCAAATCAATTACATATTGAAATTCTGCATCGATATATTTTATTGACAGAGATCTTTAGTCAGTCCAAAAACATCTCTAACTTTGCGGTCGATATCTTCTCTTCTGAAACGCGAATATGACTCTTCTTCAGTTGCTATTTCTCGCACTCTCGCAAGTGAATATATCAGTTCATCAACCATGACGGAATCAGAAGATGACGTCACGCCAAGTTCAGTGCCAACGTCACCACGATTTCAACCACGCTCTTATAAACAGCAACAACATCTCCCACCAATCTCCCCACGTAAAAAGACAACTTCGATCTCAATTGAGGATATTTTGGAACAAGAAAAAGAAGAGGTGAGGCTCATTTTCACCGCCACTACGTTTATTTTAAATTGATCGCACTTTACTCTTCTTGCTTTATGCCAAGATTACAAATGACAAACTCCAAACAGTTTTTAAAGAGTCATATTACCATGGATAAACCTGGCAACCCTAATGCACAAAACATTGACAAACAGTCATACGGTTGCCAGATTCACCCGTTAAGAGGTTCGAATTTTACTGATCCAATCTATTTATATTGCGCTGCTCCGTTTAAGAACTCATCATTCGATGTGGTTAGTACTGATCTCTGTAACATAATGTGACATTATATAAAAAAAAAAATAGTTGTAATCCCTTTTGCGGAAAGTAAATTTTATAGAATAAAATGATGAATATTTTACGTTTTTTATATACAGATCACCCCACCTACTGTGAAAATAGTTGATTCGACTCCAAAATCTTCACCAACTAAAGAACGAAAATTTGTCATAAAACCAGAATTTCAGGACTCAAGCTTGACTAGTGGGATTGAATCGCTCACCAGTGGGTATTGGTCTGACTTTAGATATTTCCGTATTACGGGCAACTCGAAAAATGACTCCGACTCCGATAGACAAAAAATTATACTTTTATACACCCGACTCCATTTTGAGAAGTAGGATCAAACCACAGCTCAGAACTCAGAACATGAAACTACCATCTTGAATTGATTTAATGTAAATTACAAATTGGAGTAAAACGTAACATATAAGAAATTGTCTTAATTGAAATTAAATGTCATTTATCAAAGCGGCCTAAACACTTTATATACAGTGGCCAAACGGCCTCATTATATGATCATTACACCTCAATTGGAGACAAATTTAGGACTTCCACGTGGTTACCCCGATTATTAGACACAATTTTATTTCGGCTTCAGACAGGACATTACCGTTAGAATAAGTAGTTTTACAGAATAGGGTGTCCTAATACCGGCCTCTGTTACTCTCATAGGAGAATATTACTAGCTTATTTAAAGTGTGTTTTACATTTTTTAGCTTCAAAGAGTTTTGGTGTTAAATGTAAAAGATACATTTATACTATACAATACATACTCATATCAGAGCGTTTAAAGAGTAACTTTTTCAACTGTTGTTATTCTATGAAATATCCTGTTATTTCCTCGTATATTTAGATAATGAGTTGAAAGAAAATGTTGAAAAAGATGTAGAAAAGAGGTATATTTCGTTCTTTTATTTTTCTTTTTTGTTTAGGGTTAACAAATTTCTAACTAATATTGTTGCCTTTTTTATTTCAAGATTTGACGTATCCAACGTAAATCTGGCAAGTCAAACAAGACCAGTAAATCAGCGCAAGAAACTGCAAATGATAGGAAAGAAGGTAAAATTTATCCCTACATATACCATATTTATAAACAGGGTAAATTTCCGACTTCGACAATTCTTGTTTACATGGTGCCTGATCTAATGCCCCCTTTAGTTATATTTACCGTTTTCACGGGGATATCGTTTGGAACGAAGTTTGTCAACGTTTCAGTCAAAACTATGGTAACGAGATAGGTAATCTATAAAGGTAAGTTATTGAAGCAATTATTCAGCATAGAAATTCACAAAACGACATTTTTGTTAAATACCACATGCAAATAAATCTTCTCGATTCATTCTCTATTAGCCAAGTTAAATTTTCTTAATTTCAAGCTTATATTAATTTATTAAAGACATTTTTTTTAAATTGTACAATTGTCCTTTCATTACCTGTACTTTTTTCTTGAGGCGTTTAACCATCTTTTCATACGGCTTCTTATACTTTTCCTCCTCAACAATAGCGAGTTTTTGGTATTATATCTTATGCATTTGTATCACATTATCGTTATTGACATGTGTTGTTGTATAGTTTTTTTCAAGGCCATGTGTTCATTTGTAATTACAATTAATGAGAAGAATATATTTTAACACTGCAAAAACTTCATAATATAGGTGAGTTTCGATGATCATCCGATCAATCCAATTGTTTTCGAGGAAACGAAAGAAATGGTTCTATGCGAACAAGCTGAAATACAAGAAACAACCCCTCCTATTCAATTAGGGGAACAGGTAAAAAAGAATTTTAATTTTCTTTATAAAGTGCTTATCCATTTTACACTGGAATATCAGGAGGATCGCAGCAGAGCAGTGATGTCGGACTGGTCTAACGTCACCACACTGCAACATTTGTATAAATAGCAAAATTTTGTTTAAAATATCAATCTTTGTAGGGTAAAAAAACAATCTTTCTATCGGCTTCAGTCATATTCAAGTATTGAAAATGTGAAAAGGATTGGTACGTTAATTCCAGAGGAATGCGCTTTTCTCAAACAAACAATGTCACCCCAATAACAAGTTTGCAAAATGATCAATATCTACACTCCGTGTCCAATAATATCCTTTCCGTTTCGAAATTGCCCAACTAATTAGTTGGCCTGCGATGACAGCACAGTCCAATGCTCTAAATCACTACCCAATCGCCCTCGCTATTATTACAGTACAAAGTTAACAATATCACCCTAACAATAATACATTCTGTTTTCTCGAACTTCAGAAAGCGGAATTGGATTTGCCACCAGTTGCCCAAATGCCTGAATTACCAGTGCCAGAATCTGCGTCAGGACCGCCCGGCATTACACTGGACAGGCCGCAGAGTGTATCACAGGTAAAAGTGTATATTAATATTTTATTAACGACAGAAAATCATGGAATGGTTGAAAACGAGGAAATGCTCAAGCCATTGTATAGATACAATAATACAATAGTACGATAGCTTTAAAAATAAATTAAGAAATTTTCAGACATATTCACAAGATCTGGTAAAAAGGGAGATCCTTTCAACGAAACAAAAATCCCACAAAAATGTGATTAGATTAAAATACTAATTTCATAGATCAATATTTTGATAAGCATGAGAACAAAGCTTGAATATATTAACGCGGGTGTCCAATATTTAACGGCAGTACCGTTACAAATAAAATTCCACAGCCCTATCATCTTACATCGGTACCGATAAGACCGCGAAAGTCGCACATCGGTACTGTTACCGTAAGGCCCTGGAACACCGAGTTTGCTCTGCTGAAAAGATTCTAATGAAACAGTAACATTTTTGGTGAGATATTAGCCATTAAGAGTTTCTGAAAAAATTTCGAAAATTAAAAGTAATATTCTTTGAGCGGCTTCAACCCCCTGTAAGTACTGACAACACAAAATTGATTAGTTCATTAGTCGAAGAGAAAGACGATTTTTCCAACAATAAAAATCACTCCAATTGCTACAACAACATAGCAAAATGATACATTTCAGGTCCAATAAATATTTAATGTATGTATTCAAACAGTTACTAAAGGAAGACAGAAGACAGATTAAACCAAGAAGGGTGCGGGGTATAGAATCTACCAGCACGAAAGACAAAATAAAAAAGAAATTGAGGTATTTTAATGATGTTTTCAAAAAAAACATTTTTGCTATTAGTTTGATATAAAAGCGATCGCAATCTCATAAAGTGGTAAAACTTTGACTATAGTAATTAAAAAATTTGTTACATTTTTCAAAATTTTGTTGATTAATTTTTGTTTAGTTCAATAACTTCAAGGAGGCATCGTTCGTTTGACATACATTCTTCCAGTTCAGAAGAAGACCTAAGAGCAAATAATCATGAAAAGAGCAAAAATTCAACACATAAAGATTCTCCGAATTCAAGCAGATCAAAAAAACTATCATTTTTTTCTCGTCGAAAAAAACAAGTTGTGAAAGGCAGCTCTCTTGATTCTTCACTGAATTTGAACGAAATGAGAAAAGAATTTGATGAAAAAAATAAACAAGAAGAGCAGGCAAACATAAATTTAGGTGGGAATAATACCAAACCGGGTACTGAGAAGATAAACAGTGGAAAAACAACTCCTATCAAAGGCATCTTAAAACACGGAGGAGCGGGAGATACAAGTAAGAATAATTGAATTCTGAATTATCTTCAAGTATTCGAATAAACATATATGAAGTATTAAAATTAAGTATATATGTATATTGAAAATCTGTGAAAGTTAGTCAAAATAATGTGTATAATTGTTGGTAATCGTGAGAAAAATCACTCTTGGTCTAATTGTACCGTCTAGGGTCTGATATAGGATAAGCTATTATTACCATTACTAATACAGAAATTGATTTTATAATGTTACAGATCACTATATATATAGTTTTAAGTATATGCGCGATTTTAGCAAAATTATAACATCGCTTTACCAAGCAACTCAGAATGCTGTATTAGGGTCCACTTACCATTTTTTACACATTTATCTGAGTACTATGGGAACCAAGATTTCATCCCATATTTTGTCACCGCGTGACATAAGGCCAGGCTAGTTCGCCATTTTGTTCTACCAACCTGGTGCTCTCATGTCCCATACCATAATAAATAGGTGTTTTCTGGTATTTTTAGGTTCACACAGTGATCCGTATATACAAAAATCTCTTCATAGTTCAAGAACGCCAAGTCCGAAGATTATTTCGAACATGGAAGCTTATTTTCCTAAGCAATATCAACGGCGGCCATTGGCGAAAGGAGTGTCATTGGATTTAGATATGGTAACATAATCAATCTTCTCATTACTAGATTTCGTCGCAGAGGTTGTAAAGTAATTTTAGTGATTCATCTATATTCGTTTTTGAGCTGATGATAAACTAGAATAACACACTTGTTACAGAACAATTTTTTTGAGTCATTATGTTTGTTTTGAGGAATATGACTGAAGTTTTGCCCTTGCCATTTTGTCATCAATTCTAGTAAAAAATATTTTTCTTTTAGTTTCTGTTATATCATATATTCACAGAGTCATGAAGATGCAAATGGCGACATTAATTTCTTTTTTTTCTCTCGCATTGAATAGCACCAGTGACTAAAAAGCATGTAGCCAAAATTCTTTTTGTTAAAGCCTTTAAAACGGAATAAAAACTGGAGCTAGTTTAATATTTTGCGGCGGTAAAGAGTTATCTAATCTAAACCATATATTATCAATGCTATATTCAATCCGACTAAATGCAGTAGCTCCTCTAAAATAAAATTGGATCTCTCACGGCACATCAGTGTGCTTTGAGTTTCAGAACCCGTGCCGTGTAGCTATCTTCCTTTTATTTCGAGAAATATTAGGCTGTATTAGATAAATTAGATTGCTCATTTGTACAAGCAGAAAATGAGATTTGGTAACTTTATTGTATATTTTGAGTTTTGTATTTATAAACAAAATTTGGTACAAATTATAAGCATTTTTAAATTCTGATATTGCTTTGGTTTCTGCGGTGCTAACCACTTATCCCTCTTCTATATTTTTGCGTCGGTGGATTCGTATGCATATATTGCGAGGATTCCATAGCAAGAGAGAAAATAACTATCCTGAGTGATTCAAAAGTCTTGCTCGACACTACCACGAATATGTAACGATGTAGCAACAACTTTTCTTGTTATAGCTGAACTATGTATGTCTGTGCAGCAAAACTCTTTAATCGCTAAAAATTCAGAATTTCACTTGACGTTTACGTACACTTCAACATATTGTTGAAGTAGTGGCCTCCGCGTTGTCGAGTGAATTTAAGAAATAAGGGTAATTTGTCTATTACGTGGTTCAACTTCCAACTTTTATAACATTCTTTTTCCAAGATAAGTCAAACTAAAGATATTTTGTGTCAATATACGTATCTTGAATGAACGATATTACTTTAGGTTGCAGAATCCAATGGTGAAAATGGTTCTAACAGAAATCGAACAAGGCCAATAAAGTCTGCTGCAGAAAGGCGTCGAACACAGCTACGCAGAGGGTCGTCTGCTGAATCAGCTCTTAACCCTCCACCGAAGTCACGTGTGAGTGGCTTGAGAGGCCCGTTGCTAGAAAAAGGAGGCGATGACGAAGACGAACCTATGGCAGGGATGTCGCTCAGACGCTCTTTGCCTGGAGGCGCACAAGGTACCAATTTTCCAAATTTATTCTGCGTATTTTTTAATAATATCAAAATATGTATGTATTATTAAATATCTATATTACCTATTTATTCAAATGAATGAGATAACCGGAATTGAAAAAAAAATTCATTATTGAGTCTTGAAGTATGATTGCCTTGTTTGTTCGTCCACCAACAACAACGCTGTCTTGATGGGGTCGGGTTTAGATTGTTTTCTAAGTCTATTCAAGCGAACGTATGGGCGTCATGAACGAAGCGTTCTGCTCACTTTTGACTATCTATCATATCTACTAATAAAAACTATCTATTTAAAAAAAAATTACTCTTGTGTTAAATATGATATTGTTTAAGAATCATTATTTTCTTCATCAATATCTTTATCTCCAGGTAGTCTTCATAATCATTCACGGTCCTACAGTGGGCCTTTGAATCTCCACTCCCCGGGATTCGAGAGAGGAAAGTTTTCTCCTCTTGCCCTCTCGCCTCGCGGTCCTCTGCCGTCACCTATGGGGAAGTATTCATCTCTCTCCCGCTCTTACTTCAGTCAGTCAGTTGATATATCGAGTGTGCGACCGTCGGAAAAAATGACATTCGAAGAACGTATGACAGGTAAACGCTATCATTCTAATATCATATCTGATTTAATATGATGTTTTTTGCTCATTTCCCAAGCTTCTTTACGAAAGCACGCCCCTGTTGATCCCGATCGGTCCACATTCCAATCACCTTGCATATCGCGATACCATACCCAGAATACCACAGGTGAAAATGGTGCCGTTTACTAATTAGTCGGTATTCATGATTATTCAATCTAGACATTTGATATCACGATAACATATATTTTTGTTAGGTTTATACTGTCAGTATTTCTTCTCCATATCCAATATAACTTGTAGGTAAAAAATCGTTATCCGCACAACTTCCAACATCAGGTATAACGTTGCCAAGGTCAAGATCACAGGATCGTCCATTAGGTCGAAGAAGCAAAAGTTCGGATAAACGATTGGCAACAGAGAGTGAGAATATTAATTATTAAATAACGAGAAAGCAATGCTCAAATGCATGGACCCCAAAGTCAAGGTGTAACGAAGTACCGGTGGCCTGTTCAACTTGCCTAATAATTCATTACAAATTAAGCGCCAAATAAATTAAAATTCACACCGGTATCGGCAGTATCGTAGCTGATCTCTGAGTATTAAAACGATGACGAGTTGGTGCCGCAGGATGCACACAAATAACAAAATGTGGAGTGAAATATCGACTCCTATAGCAGGCAATGATCATTTGAGAAAATATTAATACTATTTCGATTTAAACATAGTTCTGTAACATTTAATTTTGATATTTCCCCATCCTTGCGCTGGAAGAAATGCCCATATATCAGTATATTACATTAATTTAACTGGACTGCTCGATGAACTTGATATTTTTGTATAACTCGCTTTGAGTTACCATTAATACCATAACAGGAAATCAATTTAACATAACATAAATTAATCTAATTCATTTGATTAGCCGTAGTTAAGTCCCATTTTAGTGAATGTTAAAAGAAGCTAATTTCACTTTCAAATTATAACTCTATTCAGGTTACCCACCATGCCTAAAAGTTCCGCTTGTCGACCAAGGTGTTATTCGAAATCAAGAATGCGTTACTTTAAAATGTTTGATTGATGCTTTTCCATTGCCAGAAATAACATGGTACAAAGGTAAGGACAAAGGCTTCTTTAATAATTATGTATGGTTTCCAGTATATGACTGTTAAAGGTTTAATTACGTTGAAATATAAAGTTATGATAGAACCGTGCCACTTTTCATTCAATCGACACACCTACAAATGGTGTACCTAATCAATTCAAAGTATAAAGTAAATTAGGCATATCATTATTATTTTATAATATTAAAAACCAACTATGTCATAACAAGTCTATGTATCACCTACCTCATTTATCAAGTTCAATATATTTTATACCTCAGTCATTAAAATCCGTCCCATGTGGAAATAGTAGCAAAAACGATGGGAACACTGGTAAAATACACCGTTGCATGAAACTGCTTTTCTTGATGTTTTAGTTTTTCTTAGCTTTTTACATGAACTTTGGCATTTGTTTTAACAGCTATTTTTTGGGGGTAGTTTTTGAAAAAAAATTCTAATATCGACACTGAAATTTCATCAAGGAAAAACTTTTTCCGGTCGTATCGCGTGGTCGTTCCCAGTCAAATTGTCATAAATTGAATGAATCAATAGGCCAGTAAAAGACACAGAGTATGCCAATCGTAGTTTACAATATAATGCACCTATTCTGTGTCAAACACAATTTTTTTCAAAACTGCCAATCAAATCAAAGTACATGCACTTGCGTCACGGTTTAAAACATATATCATCATATTTAATGCTCTCCCTTTATCATCGTCATGGGCCCAAACAACCATTCAGAACGGCTTGTCATCTTCTTTTTTTTTATTTAGAAAGTGAAAGGTTAATAAAAAGGCATCATGAAGCTTATTGTTAGGAAATATTTTTGTGCCACTTTTTATTTATGCGCGTTGGAACGGAATGGAATGTCTAAGTTCTGCACAAAATACGACGAAATAATTAGTTCATTTTTTTAGATGGAGAAGAAATTAATGCATCCGACAGAATAGAAATAATCTCTGAAGCTTCCATAACACGATTTCAACTTAAAATACGAAAATTGAAACTTCCCCATGATTATGGTGAATACCAATGCGAGGCTCGGAATTCTGTCGGAATCTTGAAGACATCCTGTATACTAAAATTAGCAGGTGATATATTCATTTTATATTTTTAAAATCGTACGAATTTTTGGTAAATTTACCACAAATTCTTTACAGGGAGAGTTTCTAATATACGAGTAACTCATATCTCAATGAGGCATTTCTTATTCCCTCTCAAGAACAGGTGGTGGACAAGCAGCCACTGACATCAAGTTCATTATCGGTTTGGCAAAATCTATCTGCACTGTAAGAAAACTAGTTTGAACTTTGAACCCGATGCTCCCTAATTTTTTAAATGGTATATTTTTCGAGCTGAGCCCTAGATTTGGGGCCTCGTTTGTTCGGATATGTACCTGTATTAAACTAAAAAATGTACACTGGATCGAGTTGGTGTCTTTACTAACTTAAACCTAAATTAGACTATCCACTCTTCGTATTTTTTTTTAATAATAACAACATCACCCTCTGCTCAGGAGTGTATATTATATGAAAAGTAGAAAATGTGCCAAAGTAACATGCACCATGTTATTTGTCCTATTAATACATTATTATAGACATAAAAGATATAATATTATCATTTTTTTTTAGTTGTCCCCGACAAACCATCAGTGCCAGATTTTTCAGGAACGGATGGGGCAAATGTCTGGATTTCGTGGAATCCACCAACGAATTGTGCGGCTTTTCCTATGTCGTACATTTTGCAGTATAGAGAAATGGGTGAGTAAATAACTACCAATGTTGCAAAGCTATGCAATAAGAAATTATTGTAATTGTTAAATATTCTTGGCCGCTGTCAATCATACCACCCGCCCATTATCCTGTGATAGATTTGCTTAAGAGATATTAATTGAGCAATGGTCAAATGTATGGTCACAAAGGTTGCGCATAAGCGTACCAGTACGTCAAGTCCTGCGGGAAACGTATTGGCTGAAAATATCGCCTGAAAAACGTAAAATAACCTCAACAATAACATTAACAACGGAATTAAAAGCAAAAATTTAGCACAACAATCCGTATAAGGCTCCCTTCGTTACCAATTAAGTGCAAGATCCTTGCTGAGTTTCTCTTTCATCGAAGGTTCACACTACCGATATAAAAATATAATTTGTTTAAAATACTTAAATGCTAAAGGTTTTGAAGAATTTTTGAACGAAAATAAAAAAGATTTCAAGTTACCGATAACATTTCCCTGGATAGTTTCGAATAAATAGCTGTGTGGGTTCTATCTGTGCTCTTTATCTGTGTGTATTTTGGTTAGCGTGACGCTGATAATACAACATCAGCTATTTTTCAAACCATTTTTAAGATTTTTTCGGCTTTTGTTTGCTTTTTGGAATAAATCAAATTATTTATAAATATGTCAAAAAAAATTATATCTCTGATAATGGTATTTCATTTATTCAAAGATTTATTTTATTTTCTATTGTAAGCTGGAATGCAATGGATTGTCGCAAGCAATAACATCAAAGATACTCTTTATAAAGTTGAGAATTTGCGACCAACTACTTCCTATCGATTTCGTGTTTGCGCTGTAAACAATGGAGGGATTGGACCATACAGTAAAGTTTCCCAGAGGATTCAAATAGATACTCACGCCAAAGCAGAAGCACTGCAATTTGCTTTTTAGCTTTATACATCCTTAATTTACATTAGCGATTGTTTATTTCAAATTTACGTGCCTATAATACATAGTGTCCATACGGCCTCTTAACAATTTAATAAGGAGAATTTAGGAACGCCATGTATATTTTGTTGTTGAAATGATTCTTTTACATAATACATTGAAGATATCGGTTTGAATTATTTATTTTTTTCAAGCGAATAACCCAATTTAAACAACTAATTTCCATGATAGTTAAGCTGTTGACACTTTTATCTCCTTTTTCAAATTTCTCTTTATTTTCTCTCTTTCAAGTCACGATATTCTTCTCTCATTTTACATTTTGTTTGAAACCAGTGTTCCTTCACTCATTGATATTTATTCCAGTTTGTAACCATGTATCAGCTGCATAGCTTTTCTTCTCCCTAAATTCACGTTTCTGTGATCCAAACGTGTTTGATACATGCTTGGTCAATTTTTGTCATGGTTAAAAATAGTTGTTTAATTGCTTGTTGGTTTACGAATAAAAAATCATCTTTTGCTTAAGTTTGTTATGTATGAGTGTTTATCGGTGCTTCCGCATATGTAGTACAGACCTCAAACCCCGCGTTTGAAAATTGCAAGATTACCAACATGAAAACCAGGAAAAATGTAGAAAAATTGTCTGAATAACATAAACGTCCTAGTATCTGAATGGCGCATGAACAGATGTTTATTACTTCTTTCCAAACAGACTATCGATTGAAATGACATCATTGTCACGAAGATAAACCCAAATACCTCAGGCTTTGACACGTCTGTGAGCGTTTTCAACTTTTCTGTGGTCTTCATTTTTAGTTGAGATCCCAAGAGTAAGTTTTTTGACTTCCGAGTAAATTTTTAGGTAATCGCGTAGTGTGTGTATCAATCAGTTTAGGGTTAGGTAATAAGGGTTGCAATTTTCCTTATTTCAGTTCTGTTACGAGTTCGGGGACTATCTATGTCAGCCACGTGAATATACCCTTCTGTTCATAGGTTTTATTCCCTTTACACAACCTGATGTTAAGTGGGCAAACAAAATTAGCTACCTCCGTTAGCTTTACTTCTGAAGCGAATTTTATATGCTTTTTATGAGGAAAATATTTTATGAAACATATTTTAGTGTTACGTAGCTTTGCAGTGATTGTTATAAAGAGATTACTTCCAACTTGTTTAGAGCTTTGTTTGCAGTTGCGTGAGAAACACTGTAAAAGCTCACACAGATCGTTATATTTACCTGTTACTGCACAGAGACCATTTATACTACGCATTGTATATATATTGATATTTTTAAAATAAAATATATAACTAAAATAAGCCGACCCAACAAATCTCCCTATTTTAATAAATTTAAGTAAATTTAACTGAGTGGTTGAATTTAAAAGATGGATATAAACAAGATAAACAACAACAAAAATATGGAATTTTGGCGAGAATGCTAGCCTGGTATTGCCGTATGAAAAAAAAGTAGAAAGAAGTGTTTCATGATTCGAAATAAAATAAAATTTTATTCTTTCGATATTTTCCATCCTTTAGTACTGGAAATTTGAAGTAGAATGAGTCAGTAGATACGGAGAAATACTTCTCACGACAACAACAATCACTTCAACGAAGTTTTATCTTAGGGATCCATAGGTATGTCCATAATAACAATGATGAAAGTTTAGATTGCTCCTATAGAACACACATTTTGCGGATTTCATAGCATTTTGTACCTGTTATATCAAGTGATTCCGGGCCCAGTGCTCAATTTTTCATGTTACAATACATTGTTAAATAACCAGACCAGGTGCACGTTATGTTAAGTGCAATGGAGTATTAATGGAACGCTAAGTAAGTAATCGAATAAAACATCACTTGAAGTTCTAATTGATGTGGTAATTAAATAATAAAATTACCTTTAGGTATAAGTGCTACTGAAAAAATAAAAATAATTTATATATAGATTGAATACAATGGCGGAAACAAATTACTTTTGCTTACGAACTTTCAGCTTTTCTTATATATATAAGTGTTTTAGGTGGCAATAATTAATATTCGTTTAATCTCTTGAGTTTCTCACGCACGTGCGTGCATTAGATATGATTGAATTCGCCTCAATATAACGTAGCTATCAGAATGGAGTCAATAGCAGCGGCACTCCCATAACCGTCGTATACAAAGAAAAATTAGAGGTATTACGCTGTCGCTCAAAATCATCAGAGCATACTTTATGCTTGGCGTTAGGTGCGTTCGAATGGAAAATAATTTTAAGTAATTGTCAAGTAATTAAATTTTCTAATGTCGATTTTAAAACAATAAGTGATTGTTTTGGCATAATATAACTTCAAATATACTGAAACGTATATTATATTCTTATGGAAAAATCGCTTTCTTCGCCACTTTTGATCTTCCCTTATAAGTAAATTTCACTCTCAATTGTCATGTAGTTTAGTCAAGAGTGTTCGACGAACAGATTGTAAATAAGAAATTTGCTATTGGTGTAATTTATGTTCTGTGCGGATGTCTGTTTTCGTTTAAACAATTTTATTTGTATACTCCCAGATTAATTTAAATTATTTGAATTTTGAATGCCACAAAACCGTGTTTCGTTTCAATCCTGTCAAATCAAGTGGCACTCATGGAATTGCTCAAATCCTTGATTTCATTCAAATTGTTTATGAAAAATTCAAAAAAGTAAACAGTAATATGGCGATCCATGTCACGAAGGCTGGGTTATCGTCGATGTGCGCACTCGTGTATAGAACAACGCAACAATATATATTAAGCATTTTCGAAATTACTCCAAACCCAATTTAGGGGTTTTTGAAAAATAATAATTATACGCTTGTTATCCTATGTTGAACATTAATCTTCTTGAACATTAGTAAATTTCATACAAATATACAGAAGGTAATGTGCTTTTTATGTCATTTAGAACAATTTAGATATTCTAGTTCCTAAGTGGAAACTTGGAGACACCAAAAATATGAAAGCAATATTGATTTTAACCGTGCTCGTCGTCATCTTGTCGGTGCATGTGGATCAGTCAGACGCGTGGTTGTAAGATGATATTATTTTGTATTTAAATGTATTCTATTCAATAATATCAATCTCATTAGAGAAGTACGAACATTAGAAATTCTACGAAACCATGCAATATTGATCTGAGTAATTCCAATCCAAAAATAAGGTCTAAGTGAAGGGTGAATATCATGTATATATATATATATATTCACCCCAAACACAATCTCCTTGGAATTAAATGAAAACTACGAGAAGCAAATATTTTTGTGATTTGTAGGGCTTTGTATTTTTCTGTTGGTATCCTTCTGTTCAATTTCCTAATTGTTTCTATTTTATGTCCTATATTTCTTCAGCGTCGCGACACTGTGAGTACATATTTTTCTGTTTAACATTCGGACTTGGATTTTTATAGGCTTTATGTCTTCCCATAAAGAACAGTAAAATCTGGTTGGGAAAGTTTTATGAAATATTTTTGAGATTTTATGGGAATAATATAAACCAATGGCTTATCCTAAGTGATTTATCTTTTTGTCCGATTTCCTGGACAGGCGTGTCCCTATATGTAATTGTTTCCATTATGTTCTATTTCTTCAGCGCAAAGAAAGCGTGAGTACACATTTTTCTGTTTAACATTCGGACTTGGATTTTATAGGTTTTATGTCTTCCCATGAGGAACTGCAAAATCTGGAATCATGTTTCAACGAAATAAAATTAGACTTTTTACAACTACCGAAAAAAAAAGTCAATACATATATTAATTAAAATGTCTGCAATTGCCATGTAACTCTGGAAAGTAATTTTCATTATGTTTCAAGTAACATAATATAGTATTTTAGCTAATTTTTAGATGTCAAGTCATGTATAGCATAGCATTTTTGAATTGAAGATATCATTTATGCTGATTAATACAAAATCTATCAATCAACCTTCCTCTCATTTCAATTTGTAGTAAACTGAGGTCATACCTACAAAATTTCGCATGAAATGAAAAAAAGTTTGTGACATTGAACCAAATAAAAAAGCTACAACACATATAAATTTAATGAATTTCACTTTCAAATAATTTACTGACTAAAATTATCTTTTGTTAATTTTTACAGTGTGACAGCGTAAGTTTCATATTCTAAATAATGGTAAAATAATGGCTGATACTTCACATAACAAAATCATTCATTATTGAAAAGTCTGTTATGCCTGTAAATGTCTGATGGAGTTTTGGAACCTAATTTCTATGAGATTTCAGTATTTAATATTTTTACTTTTTTGGTATCCTAGAATTGACTGTGTAAATGAGAATACAGTTTCATATGATTTCGAATTGATGTTTTATGTCTTTTCTCTTTTCTCAAATATACATAAGGCAATTGATAAAATAATAGTACAGCAATAATTAGGTTTTGTTGTGATGCAGCGGACGTTGGTTTACATCAGCATAAAACGAAGTTAAAATTAAGAATCGGTATTCCAGAACCAAACCGCAGAACAGTATTCAGCACAATTTTCCTCGAATTTCACACATCTACTGTGAGCCGTTTGAATTATCCAAATCTGAAAACGCATGATTTTCATATCTCCTTAATTGTATTTATATTGATTTTACATATTAAAAGAAGACAGAATATTAAACAGCATCTACTTTGTTAATAATCACTTAATAATAAATTATTTCTACTCTTTCAGTGTTTCAAATTTTGCGTGAGTAAAAACCACTTTCAGAATTTATTCTACATGATTATTTTTATGTAATAAATTTGAAGATACAGTTGCTTCAATTTATTTTAGCTCTAGTTTGCTTTTGCAATCATTTGCAATGTAAAACATACTATACTGTAGATAGTTATTTAAAGTTAAATTTCAAATTCTAACTTACGATAAAGTGAACAAAAAAAATAGTCTAAGATCATTTATGTCTTTTATGAAATAGTTCGCCATTTTCATTTCAAACTAATTTGACAAACAAAATTTCAGAAAGCGTAAAGTTCCTAGTATATAGTAATGTCGCACCGAGGGTAATCTTTATTCTTCCTATATTCTTCATTTATTCTTCCTAAAATTTGTAGTATATTATGGCAAATAAAAACGATGAACACACATGAATTAATTGATTTGTTGCTTCCAGAACATTTTACTAACAATATTTCTCTTTGATTTTTTTTACAGGCTAAACCAGTAAGTTTATTTTATAATTTAAGTAACATATTTTATAAAACTTTTTGAAAGATTTTGAACAGTATTATTTCATATTTTATACTATAGTTGTAGTTGAAATCCATTGAATTGCTTTAATTTTCCGCCGTGGCACAGTTTTTGTGGATTGTCAGTTAAAAGAAACAAAAATAGTTCGAACGAGCCGCGCATTGTTTCTCATCAGTTGGATATTTGTAATCGGTTCATGGGAATGTAATTTCAATTCGAATTTTTATTTTACTCAGACTATGTAAGATAAGATGCACCGGGCATGGGGATTGCCGTGGCGGAAGTCAATGTATGTGTGACTCGGGTTGGAAAGGAGCATCGTGTGCTTACGGTAAAACGAATAAAAATGTAAACTTACCAAGAATTTCAGAAAAAGTATTTAGAAATGAACTTTTCTTTTTCTACCAATCAGAAATAAATATGCATAAAATACAACTTCAATTTAAAATATCAAACTTCAATATGCCAACAACACAAACTAAGTTATATGGTAGCGGTTTATCATTTAAAGAGTTTTCTGATATGTAATAATAAATTATTGTTAAAAAATATCCGAAGCTGCAGAATTTAAATTATTTCTTTAAAATAATTTGATCAAACTCAATCACGCGCACTCACATACAAGTGAAGAAAACGTAACACTGAGCACAACAACTGTCGACGACTAGAATGCCAAGAAATAATAAAAAATATATGGGTTTATGGAGTGGCATAATGTTCAAGCAAATATCAATTAACGAGAAAGGCGTAAAATAGTTGAATCCAATATGATAAGAAAAGCAGCTATAAAAAGCGGTGAATTCCACATTTTGTCTATTAGTGCAAAAAAAACTAACAGTTATTTGCAATTAGATATCAAAAAATGTGATGGAAATCACGGGTGTGAACAAAATTGCAAAAATTCTAACAAAGGATATTCGTGTTCTTGCGATCGGGAAAAGTTGGAATAGAATCTGTAACTCAAATGAGTGCAAATTAGTGGCAGAAACAGAATCTTAATGATTTAAATTAGATTATTTTACTAATGAACTATAACGAGTTGTCATCGAATATTTGTACTAGTCCTAAATAATATGAAAAACAAATTTTAAGAATAGAAACGACGTTTAAAATAGAATATGACTACTCTACAAGGAATTTTAACACAATTAAAGCATTACCATGGTATTCGGAATGATACATTTTACATTTTTTTTTTTCAATTGGGTAATTGACATTATTGGTGATGGAAACGTATAGCAAAAATATCGGTTTTAAAACATACTATTCTGTAGATACTTTCTAATTATAATTTACGATATAATGATTACAAAAAATAGTCTGAGATCATTTATGTCTTTTATAAAATAGTTCGCCATTTTCATTTCAAACTAATTTAACAAACGAAAACAAATGTCGCACCGAGGATATCATTTATTTTTCGGGTGCTCTTCCGTGGTATTATAGATTTTAACGTGACATTCAAGTGTTGACTTAAAACAAAATATAAATGTGAATCATTATTTATATTTTGGAATTACAGATATAAATGAGTGCACTTCTAGCACGGATGGATGTGCTGGAACTTGCACAAACTCTGCAGGAAGTTTTACATGTAGTTGTCCAAATGGAAAAACTTTAGGTTCTGACGGAAAATCATGCAATGGTGAGTTTATTTATTTAAACTTTTTCAAGCCTATATTTATGAACGATTATGTTTTTTTTTGAAGTCAAACAAATAATTTCGTCTATATATCAGTTTCTATACTGGCAGCGTGGTACTCCCAACTTGGGTCATAACGCTTTCTGATTGGAAACAATAATTCTTTCACCCAACTATTGTACATGCTTAAGACAAAAAACGTGAGAAAACTTTATTCTCACAATTTGTTTACAGAAATATGTATTTATTAATAATTATTCCAAATTCGTATTTCAGAAAATTTTTCTCAATTTATATACTAAACAAATAATATATTTATTATTAAGATGTGGATGAATGTAGAATAAATACTGATGGATGTGCTCATGTTTGCCACAATAATGATGGAAGCTTTACATGCTCCTGCAACGCTGGTTACAAATTAGGCTCCGACGGAAAACGATGTGATGGTATGTTAGTTTTAACGAGATTTTTTAAAGCGAATCTAATAACAAACTGACTGAATAATTGATTGGGTTCAGCCTGTCGAATTATCAGTTAGTTTGGTTTGAATGATAAAACAAAAGTGGTATGCTCAAATATGTGGAAATGGAGGACAAAACGAAATATTTTATCGCCAACTCCCCGAAAATCCTATGCGGTAACTAACCAGTACCTATACCAGGGTACCGTGACAGTACAGGAACTGCTATGGTATTTTCAGGTCCTATGACGATGATCCATTTTTCATAAATCATTTTTAACGTGACTATTAACTGATCCGAGCCACTTCTGTTTTACCAATTGAATTGAGATTATTTTGTTAAAAGAATTTGAACAAACTCAATTACGCACACTCACACACAAGTGAAAAGACGTAACACTGAGCACAACAGCGGTCGTCGACTAAATTCCCTAGAAATAATAAAAATATATAGGTTTGTGGAGGTGCATATTGTTCAAAAAAATATTGATTAACGAGAAAGGCGTGACATAGTTGAAGCCAATGATAAGGAAAGCAGCTATAAAAAGTAGTAAATTCCACATTTCGTCTATTAGTGCGAGAAAAACTAACAGTTATTTGCAATTAGATGTTAACGAATGCATATTGTAATGTCGCACAGAGGATACCATCTATTCTTCCAATTGTAATTTATTCTTCCTATGGTAATACTGGTTTAGGCGTGACATTCAGGCGTTAACTTTAAAACAAAATATAAATGTGAATCATTATTTATATTTTGGAACTACAGATATAAATGAGTGCACTGCTAACACGGATGGATGTGCTGGAACTTGCACAAACTCTGTAGGAAGTTTTACATGTAGTTGTCCAAATGGAAAAGTTTTAGGTCCTGACGGAAAATCATGCAATGGTGAGTGTATTCATTTAAACTTATTGAAGCCTATATTTGTGAACAAATATTTTTTTTTTTTTGGAAGTCGAACTAATAATTGCGCTAATCAGTTTCTACTGGTAGCATGGTACTCCCAACTTGGGTCATAACACTTTCTTATTGGAAACAATAATTCTTCCACCCAAATATTGTACGTGCTTACAACAAAAACTGTGAAAAATTTACTCTCAGAATTTATTTACAGAAATATGTATTTATTGATAATTATACCGAATTCGTATTTCAGAAATTTTCACATAAATCATGTACTAAAAGATAATGTATTTATTATTAAGATGTGAATGAGTGTGAAAAAAATACTGATGGATGTGCTCATGTTTGCCACAATAATGATGGAAGCTTTACATGCTCCTGCAACGCTGGTTTCAAATTAGGCTCCGATGGAAAACAATGCGTTGGTATGATAGTTTTGACGAGATTTTTAAAATCGAATCTATAATTGATTGAATAATTGATAAGCCTGCCGAATTATCAGTTAGATTGATTTTGGTAATAGAGCAAAAGAACAATGCTCAAATATGTGGACACGGAGGGCAAAACGAAATATTTTGTTACCTATTCCCCGAAAATCCCATGTGGTACCTTACCAGTAGCTGTATTGGGGCATAGCTTTTACAGGTCCTGTGACAATGATACATTCTTCATAAATCAGTCTCAACGTGAAATAAAATATCAAGTGATCCGAGTCACTTCTGTATTACCAGATCAGGCACCGCAGTCTACCACTCCCCATAAAAAACTTCCCAAAATTATATGCGGTAACTTACCAGTACCTGTGTTTGGGGTACCGTGGCGGTACAGGGGCTGCTAGGTCTTTGTCGGGGCCTGTGACGATGATCTATATTTCATAATTCAGTTTCAACGTGAACTGAAATATAAAATGATCCGATTCATTTCTGTATTATTAAACTACACTCTAAGAAATATTTACCGGCAATCGCCTGGCATTACATATTACTGGAATGTAGTTGTGAAATTTTAATGCGATTTTAAGGTAAATATCACAAGAATTTTCGGTAAAATCGCTGTTGAACACCTGTGAATTTTACAGGATTTTCCTAGTAATCCTTACAATTATTTTCTAGTAATTTTCACCGGCAATGCGTAGTAATATTTACCGACGCTAGCCTGTGAATTTACATTACAAATTCGGTGAATTCACATTCAGAACCCGGTAAAAAGTACCGTAAATCTCCTGGCATTACATTTTACAGGATATGATCAGTAAAAATTACAGACTATTCTATGAAACAAGGTTTATTCAAAAAATAAAAGTGAACGTGAAATGAATGATTGAAAACTTGGAAAAATGAGAAATTGTATAGTGAAAAGTTAAAAATGCGAGGTAAACAGAAACTTCTCGTTGAAGAAGTTTATGCTCGCAGGGTATCCGTTCACATAGTCACTTTAAACCAGTCGTCTCTATAGACAGCCTCTAAGAGAGAATAGTCTATGGCAGAGGGGGAGTGTTTCCGGGTTAGTGTTGCCCATGCTGATTGTATTGCATTATCCATTTGCTTTGAGGAACTCATGGTATTTTCTTCTCCATGACTTCAAGTTATCTGAAATGGAATGTACAAAGAGTTTTACCCAAACAACTCCAAAACTTAAAAATATTACTTAATTTTCGAATAAGATTTAACATTTTGTAGTATTCAATCAATCAATCTAATTCTTTTGCAAGTTGGAAATATCTGAAATTATTCAATTGCATATACTAGCATTCATTACAATATCCCACCTTTCTATAAACTTTCATATTTTCTTTTCCTCTTGGAGTTCAAGGACAAAAATCTGTGGGCAATCAATCGATACAGACTTTTCCAGTATTACCAAACTTTGTAGATGAGATGGAAGAGGTAGGCTACCAGAAATAGTATTGAAATGGAATAAATTATTCAGAAGTCCCTAAATAATAAAAATTACACTCCTAATACTTTATTGTCAGAGCAGATGACAAAGTTTCTCTTTTAACAATTTAAAATTAACATTATAACTAACCTCAAATTCTTCTTCCTTGAAATAACATGTTAGTAAGAATCTCAAGTATTATGAAGCCTTAGACATTGACATTTTCATAGTTCAGAGTTGGGGCAGACAATTTGTTCATGCCTGCATAATCAGATTCTTCAGTTTCTAAAAAGAAAACACTGTTAAAAAGGATTGTATTCATTCCCCACCATCATTATATGTAATATGTTCAAATTCGGTCTTATTCAAAAGAGAAATTCAACAAAATTTATAGAATTGGTTTTGGTAAATATGCAGAATAAGGTGGATAAATGTTGTTTTGATTAATTTTCTATTTATAGTGTCATAAGTTAAAAGAAAATCTAGTGTTTTTATGACAGTTGAATGTGAATTGGCCTAAAATTGCTCTTTTTCAAATGAAACTGTTCTGAATTAGTCCTAGAATCAATAACTTAAAATATCATAATCAAATATAAATCTGTCTGTCTGTAGATGATTTTCAATCACTGAATCAGTATATAATTATATGAGTAGGCCTATATAATTAAATGATACCTGTTTCTTTTAATGCCACATTCTTCAAGTCACGGTTTCTGGGTGTAGAGCAACGTCACGCCCTCCCCTGTCTGCCTGTTCATGTGTTTCCTGTAGTCCAGCCTGCCAGTAGTCTGAGTTTGCGATCATCATAAAGCTGTTGATAATTTTGACGGTTTCCAGGTTTATCTTGATTCAGTAATTAGATGCTAACATTTCATAGTCTAGAGCTGTAAAATGGGCATATTCAGATATTGTATTGCCGTTTCGGCATTTTAACATTTGCCAGTCTACTGACAAAAAAATTCAGATTTGGAAATACGAATCAAGCTCTGGCTGTGTTAAGTATCGACAGGCGTAACATGGATCTGCGGATGTACTGATGTAAGCTAGTCCAATCAACCTTATACCAGTACCGTATACTGCTGTACTGTTATAGCCAGTATGCATTCATATTATCATATATATATATTAATTCAGTAATTGAAACGATAGATCTTACTCTACAGCTCTACTTCCCGACTGCCCCATACTGCCATAATCCCACTGAACAATACATTAATACCCAGCACTAAACAACACAACACCTACACTGACATTATTGAATCCAAGATGGCTTACAGAAATACTGCCAACCCAATACTGCAGTAATTACAAAAGCGACCAAGATATGACTGTCGACCGACCAAATATCAAAATCCAAAAGTCTGGAATTCGTCAAATCAAACGGACAAATTAAGGAGTAAAGCAACAAAAAAACGCGCGTGATTAATTACGCGTTTGAAATATAGCGTCTGATTGGCTGCTCTCCTTAACCAGTGTGCGCGCGCAACATTGACTAATGCCACGCCTCCCATGTCGGTGATTATTACCGACATTTGTAGGTGAATCATTTTACCGACCTCATTTTTTAATTTTTTACCCCTAAAATGACGGTAAAATTTACCGAACATTTCTTAGAGTGTAGGTATAGTCTCTAACTACAGCAATTTGACAATTCACAGATGTCGACGAGTGCCAAGATGATCTGGATAATTGTGCTCACAAATGCATTAACGAGATCGGAGACTTCTCATGTGATTGTGACCCCGGGTATACTCTGGCTACCAACGGACATTCATGCAATGGTATGCTGAGTATTTTCTTGAGCATAAATAAAACTTGAAAAGGATTTATAATTGCCAAATATACATTTTTTCTGAGTTGTAATTTGATCTTTATTTGTTCAAAGTATTTTTATAAAATCATAACACGTAAAATTAGAAAGAATTCAAAGTAGACGGTTCGGGTGTATTCGTTAATCAGGGCAACTATGTTATTATACAATCAAACATACTACACTGAGTGTACCGTGACCATCAGGCAGTTAACATGTTTTGTAAATGCAATACATCAGAAAATTATTTTTTGAGTGGATAAAAACTGCCACTGGTCTACTACTATAAAAAGGTCACCTTTTATTCAGATATTAACGAATGTGATCAGGCTATAGACGACTGTGATCAAGTTTGCACCAATCACAACGGCGGATATACGTGCTCATGTCGTGTTGGATTTAACTTGGCATCAGACAAGAAAAAATGTGAAGGTAAGTTGATATAATTTTTTTAATTGTTACGCGTCGTTTTTGTGTCTACAATTGTAAAAACAAATCAAATGTAGTTGTTAGGGACATTTTTCTCTTTTAATTATCTTTGTGTCGTACTATTTAAATTTATTCTAGCAACTATGTAAGCGAGGTATTAGGGAATGTTAGTAGTATCCACGACCTAATTTGTAATCTAAGTAATTTTGGACACTATAGTCCTACACCTGTTGCATACCTTTACAGCAACAAGAAGGAGAATTTAAATTTTAGTTTAAAATAATAAATATTTTTTTATAATAACTACGTTTTGTTAATTTTAGATCGCAATGAATGCGAAGGGAATGTGTGTCACCAACTTTGTTATAATGAAGTTGGTAGCTATTCATGTGGGTGTGATCCAGGCTACGTTCTTGAGGCCGACAAAGTGAATTGTGCAGGTATTCAAAAAACTTACTTGATATTGACATTCGATTCTGATTTGACAAGCAACACGCTTCAGTATATAATATATATATACATTGTACGCAATGTGTCAGGAGTAAAATCTAAATTTTTTAAAGATTGCTAATTATTGAAAGTAAAAAAATATGTTACCGGAAAACATTCCCCTGCCTTTCGTATTCTATACTTCACCATTAGAATATTTATAATGCTTATTTTTAGAGTGTTTTCATAAACTGTCTCGCAAAATAAGCGATCGCCATTTATCAATATTTTTTTAAATTTTCAAACATCTGTGAATATACCTCATAAAGACACAACTAAAGAAATAAAAATTCAAATGAATATTACTAAAACCTGGATATTGAATTTGAATTCTGCGCCATTGTTTGAGTCGTAGCGTTTACTTATTGCTGATCGCTAGACTAGTATTTCAATACTCTTCGATACATCCGCTCTATAGCACAGTTAAACTTAACATTTTCAAAGCTAATGTTCCAATTTTTCATTTACTCTCCAAACAAGCTTTTCGTGTGAGTGAAATTGATTTTAATAAGCGCAAACATGAATGATTTTGTAAACACATGCGGGTTATTTAAGTTGAAAAGCAGGTATTAAACATAATATATACTATCAAAATTGTTTCAAAGATATTGATGAATGTAAAGAAGGACATAATTGTGAACAAACGTGTGAAAATCAACCAGGATCTTATACCTGTACTTGTAAATCCGGATACAAGGTTGATGACCATAGGTGTCATGGTAAGTTAAATTATTGATTTGAGATATTTTGATATGGAACCTCATTTTTGCTTGAAGATTATTATTGAACAGCTATGTTTTCGCCCCCATTCTTTCGAAATGTAAAAATATACATCACTGTAAAATAATCAACAATGGACGATATTTGATAAATATCGTATAACTTTTCTCTCTTTTGGGGTAAATCGGTTATTCATCTCATCAATAATTTCATGAAGTTTGATTTTTTACATTATTCTTCAATTCATAATAACGAGTTCCAGTATCCATTGCACCTCGTGCTTCCAGATTTCAAAATACACAAGTTGGAAAAAAAGTATTCGATCAGGTTCAAAAAAAGTTTTTTTTTAAAACGTAGATATCAATGAATGTGAAACAAACAACGGCGGATGTGCACAGGTTTGCACCAACGAGTTAGGGAAGTTTTCCTGCAGTTGTGAAGCAGGATATGAAGCAGAAGGATCTAACTGTAACGGTAACAATATGAACATTCGTTATTGTACTTTGAAAAAAATATACAATTTGTGAGTTGGAAATGATGGGATGAAAAGTCTAGTCTTATAAACTATTTTACCAATAAATTTCAACTGCATGTCAATTTTTCGGCACTCTGTTTTCGTTTCAAATATTCCACGATACATGAATGTCAAATTATAAACCACAGCATTTAAAATAAATTTCTCTCCAATACCTTTTACTAATTAGTGAATATTCAGTTTTCGGATTGATAAATTTTGCCACCATTATTCTTCTGTTCCATTTAATTAAATTGGATAGTTATAATCCTTGCCTAGGAAAAACCTCGTTAAATATTGCCTTTACATCAGCAAAGTTCCAAAAATAACTTTTATAAAATAAATAAATTTAGATTTGGATGAGTGCACACTTGGAACACACGAATGTGATCAGACATGCACAAACACTGAAGGATCATACACATGTTCTTGTGCGGCCGGATATATCTCAGAGGAACTGAAATGCTTCGGTGAATCTTATTATTTTGTATGAACGCACGTGATTTGAGTTTTTTCAAACTTGTACAACATGATGGGGATCTATTTATAATCATTTTGTTAAATTATTGTTGATGTTCCAGAAATCCATTTTGTTCTCGCTTCTGGACAAATCACCCTTAAATTTATAAAAAATAAACACCAGAGGGTGTCGGTAACAGCTTTAAATTTAACGTTTTTCATAGTTTTGCGTGTCATCGTGAATTAGTTTTTTATTTTTATTTTCTGTGGTGCACTAGCAACCGATTTGAAGAGTTAAGGTACCATGATAACCACATAAATCTACGTTGCGTCTTTTCTTCCACGGTTTACTATTCTGTCTTTTTGTTATTTTTAATTCCTTAAAATCGTGATATATAGTTATCTCTTGATTTAATCTGAGTCGTTTTGTTTACGTGTTTTCACTCATTACTTACAGACATCGACGAGTGTACGATTGGTACGCACGACTGTGCACAAATTTGCACAAATATCAAAGGCTCGTTCGAATGTTCCTGCAGTGATGGTTTCGCGAGTGCAGATGAGGGACGCGTTTGCAATCGTGAGTATATTCACTGAATCTATTTTATATAACTTTGATCAGTTTAATGAATACATCAATCCTAAATGATTCTAGTCATCTTTATTTTTATTCGAGTTTGTTAATAATATGGTTAAACGATTTTATATATTTGCCAACAATAATGATAAATACTTTTCGAATTTATGAAATTCTTCTGATAGATGACTTGTTTTTGTTGTGTTTCAGCCATTTGCACAGAAGCCTGTCAGAATGACGGAATTTGTGTCGCACCCAATGTTTGCAACTGTACGATAGATTTCCACGGAGAAGTCTGCTCTATACGTATGTAACATTATAATAATATCGACCCGAATCCTTGCATAACGCCCATAATTTTTATGATGGCATAGTTTGACCCGATTCCGAGCGGTAAAATGAAATAATGATTTTGTATACATATGGGAGGGGTCGGCAAACTGTGGCCCAATTTGTTGCGGCCCTTGAACAGACTGACATTTAATACATACAACAAAAATTGATCCGAAATTTATTATTGTCTGTACACGGATTTATGTGGTAAAAAGTGCAGCTTCACGTCGTTTGTTTTGTAATAGTAGCGTCAGTAGTATGTCGTTCGAGATAATTTTGATTATTAAAATTTAAAAATGTCTTGGAAGCGAAAGGAAGTTCGTGACGAGGTTCGGTCCAACATTCCGAAGTGCTTGGACGCAAAAATATTTTACTTTTTTGCGCATTCCAAAACCAGTTTGCTCGATATGCCCAATCAGCATCGCAGATATCAAGGGATTTAATGTTAAACTCGTCACGAAACGTGTCATCGAAAATTCCCGAGACCCGGGACTGCGCCAAAGCTCATCTGTGCGACAGTGCAAAACGTGTAATCTGCATGTTCGGAAGCTCATAATGCTTTATCTAAAATGCATTACACTTATAAATACTTAATAAATTTCGTACTCGCTTGTCAGATCGTAATTTGGACGACGTACCGCGGGCAAGTTGCCATAAAAACATCATCCATCACATTGATAATGAGTGAATAAAAACGATGTTTTGTTAGATAATATATTATAAAAGGCCGCATACACGCCTCATTGTTGCAGACTTTTAACATTATAATAGAAGGTGCAAATGCGCCATAATTTGAAGTCTAATGTAGCGATTGTTCGAAGGCGGAAATATTGCGGTCCGCGCGCTACCGGAAATATGTATATTTGGCCCGTAAGTACATAAAGTTTGTCGATCACTGACATACGGTATAATTACGAATAACAATGAGATGCATTGCATTTTTGGATTAAAAACGATCTAGTAGAAGTCAGATTTCGAAATAAAACGCTTTAACTCCAACTTGTTACAAACATGTTTATTGTTTCTGTTTAAAAAATTTCAAAACAACGTAAAACCAAAAGTTTTAGAGTTGACTGTAAAGTTAAAGCCCGATCATAAAATAGAAATTTGGATTGACAATCAACGTCGCTAGCACATTGAAACTTCCTATTTATTCTTGGTTTTGTTAACAGCTAAATGCTACCCCCCATGTGATTTCGGAACTTGTGAGCAACTTGAAACATCGAATGAGTGTAAATGTGACAACGGTTGGGACGGCAAAGCGTGAGTATAATTTTAATTATAAATTGTTGCTCTATTTGTGCAGAATTATGTACAGTCGCATATGAGTTGGTAAATTGTATTTTAGAGAATGCTGCACTCACAGGATGTGAGTACTAATTATTAGAAACCGTACAAACCGACCACATTGTCACCTACAAAGTTGAAATTAAATTGACAACTTCAGTACTTATTTATATGACAAAAATATACATTTCATGTTTTTGATAAGTATTTTTAAATACTAAATGATTGGATTAAGTATCAGTAATATATAAAAAGCTAAAATTCATCGCCTATTAGCCAGACAAACACTACGTGATACAGTTTTTACATTATGACATAAATACAGTTTGTCATTGAAATACCAATTATTCACTGAATATGTTGTCATAATTCCATATACGAACCGGCACTAATTACTAATTTCTTTTGAAATTCTGTCAATTTTTATTTCATATTAATTTCTATTTCAGATGCGATCAGGATATCGACGAATGTTACATCGACTCGCCATGTGGACAAGTATGTAATAATCTTGAAGGAAGCTATTTCTGTTCGTGCAACGAAGGCTATGCTTTGTCTGATGACCAAACTACTTGCATTGGTACGATTGTAAATTTAGAATCCTTGGATAATACCACTCAAATATCACAAAATAACACTAACGATATGTTGTTTTGTAAAGTTCTGTTACGTTACTCTAAATTTACTTTTGTATAGATGTGGATGAATGCTCTGGCGAACATGGCTGTGAACACAACTGTAATAACGTTGAAGGCTCCTTCTCCTGCAGTTGCAACGAAGGCTGGTCCCTCGGTGGTAATAACTTCAACTGTAAAGGTAATTTTTCACCGATTGCTTCTCATATTCAACACCATTCAGAGGACAAATTCGACTTACTGGACACAAAATGGATCTTTGACTCGTTTTGTTATTATATTATTGTTCTTGTTGATATTTTTCTTCTCGTTGTTTTTTTGAAAAAATCGATTCTCTTTCTGGCTACTGGACCAATCGATCAGAAATATTTATTTGTTAAAGATTGTTATTGTCTCTAGAAGGCTATTCCTTCTATTTATTTCTGAATTTACTATGGATCTTATGAGAACTGATATTTTATACAACTTTCGCTGTTTTATTCTTATTCATGAAGACACGGTTTTCAGTCATCCAAAAATTACGCCACTGCGACGTCACAATCACGTCAATACGAAAAAAAACTGGCTTTAGTGAGTTCGTTGAAACAAACGCTACTACGGGCGATCGTCGCTAGACTTTGGCAGACTCTATTACGTGATTGTAACATCTGCAAAAATTGTTACACCACGTTCACTAGAAAGCTTGTTGTACTCAACTACACTAGACCGATATGCACGGTAGCTGTTTCATAGTTACAGCCTCGTTCAGGATATGGTTTTGGGAAATTGTGAGTGAAATATTACGTTTTAACCTTTGTGTCCATATATTTAGGCATTGCTCTCTTGTTATTTACATAAGTATTATGTGCCTGTTGGAGTCAAGAATTGATATTGAGCTTCCAAATGTACCAGGTTTTTCATATTTTCGTTTTGGTGCATAATTATACCTGATTTGCAGACACACATACAAAAATCGTCCGCATATCTAATCCAATTTCTTTTTGGGTATTTTCTTTTAAAAATGACTTTAATATTTTATTCTTTTGAGATGTCAACGAATGCGAAGACGGCAATCACGGATGTGAGCATACATGCATTAATAACAATGGATCTTTCACATGCCTTTGTAATGAAAATTATTATCTTTGGCAAGATGGCAAGAGTTGTTATGGTAAAGTGTAAATATATTGGTATCATACAGAGTTGAATTTTTACGCAGTCGATCTATATCCGAATATCAAGCGGCGTTTAATTTTTTGCGATATCAGCACCATTTAAGCTGGTCATATCAACAATTTTAGAGCATTCCGAATATTCGGTATTGATAAACGAATATGTTTATCAGATCGTTAATATGATAAATACGACAAATGCCGATAACCTATAATAGTACATATATATGTGAGTAATGAATTAGAATTGAATATTTCACGTCAGTTTTGTTTGCAATTTATTCAACTCAATATTCAGCATAAAATTAAGAAAATAAGCTTCGATACTGTGTATATGTAGTAAACCCAAAAGTTAATTTCATCATTTCTATATTTTCCACATCATTGTTAAATAGTTATTTTAAGACAACAACTGACATTAACTGTTCAGTCGCATCGGTTACCGGTACTGAGCCCTTAAAATTCAAATTTTGTTGAAATTCCGGTAACAAATTAAAAACTAGTAACATAGGAACAGCATTCGAATCGTCCTAGTATTCATAAGTATATAAATTAGATCGATCCTTAAAGTGTGTTATTATAAATAACTTTTATTTTAGAAATTGTCGACGAATGGACTCTCAGTCGAAAAACTTGCCAATGCTATTACGACCCGACGAAAACAGATTGTGCTTGCTGCATTCCCGGCGGATGCCAATGCGACAGCAGAAACCCATCAAGATGTGTCCAGTGCGGATACGGGGATACATGTGCTATTTCAATCGACGGTGTGGAATTATTTTTAATAAAGCAATTACCTAGGCCCCTAATGCTAAGTTTACTAAGTTTTGAAAAAAACTGCTACCACTTGAGATTAATGAATTCTATATAATATGTGGTCGATTTTGCACAATTACAAAATTGCTCACTATCGCATGAATACATATGGCGTATTAATTAGTAATTAATAATAATAATAATAATAGTAATCTAACTAAGACTAAACCATTGATTCTCAAAGTGAGGGATATCTCCCCCTTGGGGCGAAAGAAATACAATACGAGGCGAAAAATCAGAAGAAATCTTTAGGGGCCACGAGAGCATTCTCAGAGTTATCGCAATAATAGCGCATAAATTATAACATGTCTGCACAAATCGTCATAAATCATCAAAATCATCCATCTCACATTTAGTATGCTAGTTTAATTACCATTTTGACAATTTTGCATATATTTCTGATGCTGGGGCGATGATGATGTACAGATTGCTGCAAGGACGCGGCGGTACATAAAATTTAGATGATCTAAAGCTAAACTACGAGGTCATATTTGGTTTCCTAATTTAAGTACGAGGCCTAACAGTTCTTTTACGCTAGCAGTCTTAAGAGACATTGAACGCAGTCGAACACTTTTAGCGAACAGACGATCTATAGTCTTCCTGTGAATGAAATTGAATACTAGAATATTAGTTCAAGAATCTTGCTCACTCTTTATAGAGGAATTGTCAGCATTGCTAACCATTCGCTTCCCTCAAACAGAAATTGCTGCACCTTGCTTTTTCAACAACTCCAAATTGGGAAAACTTGTCGCTTCTAGGGGCCAGTGTGACACAAGAGGCCGTTATGTTCCACGACAGTGTGACAACGACGGCAATTGTTTCTGTGTTTCAAGAATTGGAATAAAAATAAAGGGAACTGAGGGAGCTGATGCATGCGGTATGAATACTTTGATAATAATCTTGAAAATAGTATTTATAGTATATATTTTAATTTAAAAAACGTAATTAATATGGTGCATTTAGAAAATCCCTACTTTCTCGATGGATGGACTCTTCCCGGAAACTGCCAGTGCGATCATGATCCTACAAAAATGAACTGCGCATGCTGTCGTAACCTCGGCTGTCAATGCCCTAATAAAAAGGGCATTAAACGCTGTGTGCAGTGTGGATTGTCGTATTTGTGCGGTAAGATATCTTTACTCTTGACATGTACTTTTTGTACTATTCAGCCCCACTAAATAAAAATCATTGATTTGATCATTTTTTCGGGTTTCTCAAGTTGCGTGAATAATATGATATAAAAGTTGAAACATCTTTGATGTTGTGGTTCATTCCTGTTATTACTTATCGATCTTAAGGTCAGTAAGTATGTTGATAGGTATTTGTCTGTTTTTTGTTTGTTTGTTTGTCTGTTAGATACACGCGGTATCTCACGAAAGCGAGGATGAATCCGCTCCAAATTCTGCATATGCATTCATCATATCTCGGATCAGAAGCCTATTGATTTTGGATGAATTTTGTCGTATAATTAGCGAATTATTAATTATTTAGTGATGGGACACAAGGTGTCACTATGGAGTAAGAGGACTGTTTTGGGGGGTCCCCTAACTTTCGATCGATAAGTCTTCGGTCTCTGACCGATATTGTCGTTCACCCTTCAATAATAATTTGTTCAGATAAAGCTACCTCGCAGTTAACTAAGTTAATTCGCTAACCTAATATTTTGCAGATGCTCTTTCGAGTTATTACGGCCAGTTCGACTTTTCCGTTGCTCCACACATCGTTGTGAAGAATATGAACAAGCAGCCATAAATATCATAATAGTCAGTCACAGTAGTCATTCTATAGTTATCGTATAGTTAATTTACGCTTAAATTTAACGCCATACCGTTTTTTCACCAAACTAAAAACTTGATGTTGTTTAATATGATTGCACTTAATCAAATATGAATATATTTTTGGACATTAATCATGGATTTGAATACTATTATCAACACTATTTTATTGGTTATATATCTTATCATCAACATCATCTTAAATTGAATTGTTCGTAGCCTAATGCAAATTTTTGACGGGACAAGAATTACCACGAATAAGTAACATATCGTAAAAAAGGATATGATGTTAAATTTTCGTTTAGTTTTGTGTTTTTGTCTTGTCTCTGTTCGTCCTTGTCTCGTCTTTATGTGTGTAGGTAACGATGTTGCAATAGTATGAAATGCATAGCCGTAATTTGACATAGTAGCAGCCAAAACTTTCTTCGATATCAAAATACAATGAATGATTAATTTGGACTTATTTCTCAGTCAATTTTGTAATATGCGTTTAATATTTTTCTTTCGGTTTAAGAGCTTTCTGTACTTGTCAAATTGCTGATATATCCGTTTGCTTTATATGTTGCTACATGTTTGTCTTGTCTCGTCATGGTGTTGGCACTTAATGTTTGTCTTTGTCTGTTAGCTTTACTTGCTTACTGTAAAATTTATACGGTTAATGTTACCTTATTCAGCCCTAGTTCTTTCGGAGCACAAGTTCTTTTTTTTTTTTTGAGTGCCTTGAGTTATACTCAAGTCGAGACTGTGCAATGCTTAGCAGTTAAAATCTCGAATTGAGATTAATAATCATGTGCAACCGGATTCATTCATTCTTAATGCTGATCACTAATCTAGAACTGTAATTTTTCGTTACAAAACTTATATGTTAAATCTGGATTAAAAATACTGCTGTAGAACAAATAAAATTGTAATGCTTCGATGCTGTTTATTTGCTTAAATTAGCCGATGGAAAGATAATGCATAGATAGGATATGAGCTGCGATATATATTAATCTTGAAGCGAATCCATGGTAAAAATATTCAATCATTTCATATTGACGGGAGATAAATATAAAGTTGGCATGATGCTTCTGTACAGTTTGCAAGAGAATCAATTTTACTGCGCATAGACAGATATAATCTGCAACTCGGCGGATAATCAACCAATCAGGAGGCAGACATGAAATGATGAGTCATTTTATAACATGCTGCAAATAGATCACAAACTGTTTGCTTTCTTATCAAAATATTGCATAACGTGAATAATAATTGACTAGGTATGGCTTCATCTGCAGCAGCAGCGCATGATTTCAAACTCAATTAGCCTTGTTGTCAAATTGTGATGTAAACGGCTCACATTGGGGTTTGAGGCCTTGACTCAATCCATTCACTAATTTTCGGTAAGTCTTCAATTTTCTTTGCTAGCGCAGACAATTTTGGGACGGTCTTCAACAAATCTGGGCACATTTTCCCCAAAAAATGTGATGACATCATCCACGCTAAGTCTGCAGTCGACAGCTGTATTAAAACAATAAACATTGAGTCGGTGTGATGCTTGGTTAATATTCTGCACCAGAATATGGAATTGTTAGCCTCAAAACTGTACTCAATAAATAACGAGAAATATAAATTTGCTCACGTGCGACTATCCACAATAAAGAAGACAAAAAATATAGATTCTACATTTCATTTACATCGCAATATCGCTAATCCTACAGATTACGATTACGTTTAAATTATTCCGAACCCAAGTCATGTATTAAAAAGAACACTAAGTTGTATATACACTTTCGTTGTTGTATTTTGTTACCTGGCTTACAAAATATCCATCTCCGCCATCGTTTTGCTTCAGCAGAGCTTCGAGTTTTTGCAACAACGGTGGAATGACAGTCGTGAATGCTTCTTTAAAAGCCTCTTCCTATAAAATTTGAAACAGAAAAATTTAAATCAATAAAATAGGTAAATATAAATAGAAACATATTAAATCCAACGCACTTTCTTTTTTTCGTCTTTTTCTGTAAATGGGAGTTTCATCATCATATCTCCCATGCAGAATCCTATCATCTCAGCTCTCATAGTTTCTTCTGGGGTTTTACCCAAAAGGTTGTATTTTCGTGCAAGATAACTGCAAATAGCAGGGCTTTGGCAGTATTGAACTCCATCTACTTCCAGTAAAGGAAGTTGGCCGAAAGGAGTATCTGGAATAGGAATGAGATAAGCTGAGGATCACCCAACAAAATTCGTTATCATGCAAGCGGAAATCTCTCATCACGTGTAAATTTAAAATGTAAAAATTTGCAACCTATGTATAAAAAATATTCATGAATGACTCGACGTGACACGAATATTTCAAACTGAGCATTCGTATTTAGGATTGGTCCTAGCTGTTGGCGCATATATCATTTTGATAGAACAACATGCCGTTCGTAGCATACCAGTAGTTAGCTATTCTGTCGAATATCTAAGTTTTCGTCACATATTTGGATGAATTTACAATGATTGATATTGGAATAATTATTTGAGTGATTGCATTATTTACATGTAAAACATACATATATGTATAATATATACTGTTACCTGGTTTCATTTTTGCCCACTCTTCCTGAGTGACCCTGACATCTTCAAACTCAACACCAGCTTGAACTAGGATCAATCTAGCGAGCTCAGCTCTCGCCATAAGATTGAAATATATTATCTTATATTTTGCCATGATTTTTCATACGAAACGCACTCTTTGAAAGTAATCTAGTTTAAAGTAGGAAAAAATATTATGTTTTCACAGCCTCAATAAAATATCTTGCACTTAGGCCTGTCCTGTAATCAAGAAATTTTTCATCAAATGCTTCTGTCTCATGTTTAAAACATGAAAAAAAATTATAATATACACTTAATACATATTTCATAAATATTGACATGTAGGCGAAAAGCAAAACGTTCAGCATAGGCTGTAGTTTTATTCCCAATTAAAAAGTTGTATTATTCTTGTTAATCAAGTTCTTACAGGAAATGTATAAGTGATATGGCTATCTAGGAGCAAAGTTGCTTATAGCAAGAGCATCAAATTATATAATGCGCTGACTGGCGGTGTATACCAATGATCAGGCTATTATAAGAATTATCATACACTATACAACAAATATTTGTTTAATTGGCTTAATTTTGTTTGTTGTGGAACCATCCACCAATGACGTAACATGCACAAACTGCAAACCTCGTCATTCTGATTCAAACACAATATTATTGAATGATTTGAAGTTTGAAAAAATTAGCAGAAATGACAACTTTTCTGTTTTTACGAATGTCTGTGGCCAAAAATTTTTGTTTAAATTCAAGTGCAAGCATATTAGTCCGGCAGATAAGTGGCGTTTTCGGGCCCAACGTTGATTTCAGACAGAAGTTTTTTTTTGTTCGTGACTATCAATCTTAGGGTTGTTACCAATCATTTTCACATGAGTGTGGAGTTTGCAGAGTTTTTTCTTACGGCGTGGTATATGTAATAGTGTTTTTCGTCAAATCTAATGCAAAATTCATGCATAATGGAACAAAAATATATTGCACTAGGGTAGGCAACTGCTCAGGAGAAATTAGGATCAAAATTAATTAGGCAAGCACTCAGAAGTTAAAAATAGATTTAAGTGTTATGTAATAGCACGTGACAATATTGCAGCCACCACAAATACTAGGTTACTTCGATTCATTAAATGGAAAAGACACTTCAGTTTGCACAAGTTGTGTTCCTATTTTTATCATTTACGTCGGAAAGTAAAAGCAAAAAAAAAAAAAAAAAATAAAAAAATAAAAAAATTACGTCGGAAAGTTCATATTATTCGCTGGCTGTTTGATTAAGGCAAGAACTCGAACGGAACGTCTGGTAGTTTTTTACTGCTATTCCGAGGCTTCGCCAGACCGCTCCGAACTAGTTGTATTGGGAGTGGCCTTCGGAAATTTTTCTAGAGGCCTCCCCGGGCACCCCGCAAAAATTCTTTCAAGTGCTGCATCAACGTCAGTACAGGAGGAAAATAATATTAAAAAGGGAAACTCTTCCAGTAATCTTAACTTTAGTCGGGTGGCATCCACCCTAGCCCAACCGAGATTCAGGAGATATTCGACTCTTTAGAGTCGAGACCATCAAATTTGGCGGAAATTTATAATAGTGAGGCAGAAAACAATAATAAAGGACCCGGAAAACCGGGAAATATAATAGCGATGAAGAGAACTTCCCGAAAGTTGGCCTTCTTAATATTGCCAAGCCTTCAGGGCAGTGTTCCCTCTAAGGTGTGCGCGTGTGCGCGCGCACACAGCTTTCAGAGGGTGCGCACACGAATAGATTTACTGCGCACAAACGTATTTCGATGTAATGTAACAATGTGCTCGGTTGGCAGGTTGAGAAAGTTTGTTGTTGACCCACTTATTACCCGGTTAGAACGCCGAAATTTCTTCATTGGTTTTTGCACAAATATCAGTCATTTCCAAAAAAGCGCGCACACACTAAAATTTCTGCGCACACATACTACAAAAAATTAGAGGGAACATTGCTTCAGGGAGTTCAGATGAAGATCACGCGTCTTTTCGCATGAAAATTCGTACTCATCGTAAGTCCAAGAAGCCGGGTCCGAACTGGGAGTATTCTAAAATTGATAAAACCTCTGCGCTCAGGGACGATAAGAAAAATCGCCTGGCGCTTCTTCAGCTCTCCCCCCTACTAAATCCAGAATTTTTTCGGAATTGCCTTCTGGTAAATAAACTACAATAGGCAGGGGCGTATTAGGCCCCTTTGGCGCCCTAAGCACTGAAGACTTTGGTGCCCCCTCATGTGTAATTTAATTATAAAAACAATAAACCACATAAATGTATTCTCCATTAAAAAAAAATCACAACCAACAGTAAATAAAACAACTTTTACGAACATTTTTAGTTTTTTTAACTGTTATAAAATGCCGATATGATATATCGGCAAACACGCAATATCGGGCCGATATATCGATTGAGCTCTAATCCTGAGGGAGTGTGACAATAAAGATTCATTCCCCCAGTCTCAACGTGAATGGAAATATCAAAGGATACAAAGCACAACTGTAGTTTGAAATTTTACCGGTACCTTGTTGTCTACCTCAGGGTGGTTCGAGGTTACTAGGTTGAAGGACCGCAAAAACTTTTGAGGAGGTCTCGCGACCGCAAGTCTGAGAAAACCCCAAAAAGTGATCGAAATATCGCGAGTTTACTTATACTTTAAATTTAATGAACAACGAGAGTTTACCGTGCTAATCAGACTATCATTATGTTGTATGGGTGACGTTCTTTTAAAGAAGATATATAAAGCCTTCAGTTATTTCATAGGTAATTCCCGAGAATTACCGTTGTATTTTCCGCATCTAGCTTTAAATTATATTCTTTCGTGACAGATATTACTTGAAATCAAACCAGACACTGTGTGATGGGCAAGGAAATACGTTTCCGCCGTGTTTTCCTTATGTCACTTTTCTTGCTACTCTCATTTTATTACGAATTGTTATATTGAGTAATTTAAAAACTTGCAGCGTGAGCAAGCTTAGTGCCATCGTCAAATACCAACCAAGTCCGTCTAAGTTGGTATTTCGGGACCTAGCTAAATAAATGGATTGCGCGGCGGTAAGTCGGCTCTGCGTTTCGTCACTATACTGTCACATGGCCGACGCTTAAAAACAGAGTAGTGTTTTTACTCAAATAAAGGCACAAAGCGTCAGAAAATGGGTTCGAATCTCGGGATCCCGACCCCAGTTGCTGAATAGCTGAAAAAAACTTAAAAACGTTCCTACATTAGGTACAAATATACGTTAAAATTGTTCCGCGAGCCGCACGAAATGTATCAGCATGACAGGGTTTGTACCATCCGGGTCTATCTTATAAAAAAAATTCCCGACTTCGCTGACCACTAGATCGCTGAAGTGCGATCGTGGAACCGCCACATAGTGTGAATAGTTCATTGGTCCAATTGTTGAAGAGAAAATGAAATTTTTCAAAACAAAAATGCAGCAACAAGGAGAATATTAGAAAGAAAAAACAACAACAATTTAGGAAAACGACTCATAGGCCCATTTCGTGTCCAAAAAATAAGTTTCAGTGTATATTTTTAATAAAGAAGGTTAATATGATACTTGAAGTCGAAAAATAAGCGAATATTTTGAAGTTTGAGTCGTCTGGTGGACTCGTAATATTTTAATACACAATGATAAACTATAAAAAAATTTTGCTCTAACATTCCTGTGGTGCCCCTTTTCGCTTGGTGCCCTAAGCACGTGCTTATATTGTTTAATGGTCAATCCGGTGCTGAATACTTCTACTCTCACATCTTTAAAGTACACGTAATAAAAAGAAAAAAGATTTTATATAAAGAAAACCGCTATGCAAAGGCAGACAACTCTATCAACAAAATAAACTCAGTTATTACTGATTTTAAACAACATCTGCTGACACGCGAGATGAAATATGGAAATATCATTCTATACCAGTGCTCTTCAACAGGGGTTCCGCGGAACCCTAGGGTTCCGCAATACATGGAGTGGGGTTCCGGGAGTTCATAGGGTTCCTCAGGGGTTAGAAAGTATGTAGATATTGCTCGAGACTAGAGAGAGGATATACTAAAAAGTACAAACTAGAGTTATTATTCAGCTTTTGTTGGATTATAGTAAAAATAGTGTGAAACCCAACTTTTTTATATTTAGTCAATAGAAATGAAGAAAAATAGTGTATTTTCTTATGTGAGGCGGAAGATTAACAACGGTGGAGGTAAGGACTACAATGAGCAAAGTAGTTCAAATGCGAAAGCGGCACCTGCTTCTCCTCCGAAGCGATCTAAATGTAATTCAATTGCCAAAGTTAAAATAAAAGTTTTAATTTTGTTAATTGGGGTTCCATAAAAAACGAAATATTGTTTAAGCGGTTCCACAATAACAAAAAGGTTGAAGAGCACTGTTCTATACGATCTGGTCCCAAACTGAAAGAGATCCTCTCTGGATATGATTCCCATGTATGAAAAATTTGGCGTGCCTGATAATTTTTGTGGTATAATATCTCATTGTCAATTAACTTCTCCATAGTTACTCAAATAACTTTATCACTCCTATAATAGTTATAACAACATCACTATAATTATTAGTTTAATACCATCTGATTAATATAGTAACATAACATAGTAAACAAAGCAAACTATAACGCCACATACACCTAAGTGGCAACTTTATTCTCATTTAATTTATACCCTCATTTTTTTTTGTTTTGTTATTATCTTCTCCCCTCTTTTATAGCTCTTTCCTTCCTCACTATCATTTCCTTTCTAATCCCTTTACTTCGTCATTCTGACCCTTTATCTACTTTTTTCTTATTGCCTGGCCGAGACGGAATACTCGCCACTAGAGGGTTCGATGAGTGTGCATTTCTCCCAACCCTCTTATACGGCGGGAAATATTTCGTCGAAGCCGGGCATTCTGTTGAACTGTCTTTTATTTTCCAGAAAAAGACATAACACCTAGAAGCCTCTTTTGCAACAAGTAAGTATAAAAAGGTAAGTATTATTTGTTGATTTTTTGAAATTCTGGCTTGGTACTACATATGCAAAATAGATACTTTCAAGTTTTCACACTGTGAATTCCAACACGAATCTATCTATTCAATACTAAATACAAAATAAATAGTAAAACTTACTAGAAAATAAAATCAAAAAACTTTTAGGTTTTTGCTGAAAATACACCGACCAGCTTTGGATTGCGACTTATGATCTGGGAAACACTGTTGTAACATACGCGCATAATAGAAAGCTGCATTCAAAAATATCTGCTGCTG